CCCTAAGGCTTTGCGGGTAATCCTTTGTTCCGATGTGCATTAGTCTCGTAGTGACTAACCTGATCCATTGGCTGTGACGTTCTGATTCTCTGACAGATAAGTTTTTCTATTTATATCTTTAAGGGACAAAGGTTCTAAAAGAGAGAAATAATATTATAAAATTAATTTATATAATATTAAACAGAAATTAATACTATTAAGAAAAGATATTTAGTTAAAGTAGTTAATATTATAACTAGTTATTTACATGCATTAATATGCAAAGCAGTCATTAAATATATAGACTTATAGTTAATATAAGAAAATATGTGATTAGTATACACCATAATATATATTATAGAGTGTAGAGGAAATGTATATAGTGTTAAATAGAACTATTAGATATATAATTAGGTATATATTCTAGAGTATAAAATAAATATAAGGGATATTAATTATATAAATATACTTATTTTTATATTTAGCTTCTACTTAGTATAGCTCTTTAATCTAAGTTACTTAATTATATATTAAGAGGGTCAGTAAGATAAACCTATTTAAAGTATTATAATACTTTAAGGTGCTTCTTCTATCTTAGTTAGAATTGACTAATCTTGTTATTAACTAGTCAGAATTATGTCCGATTTTATTGACAAGTTACCCTTATAAACCTTTGTGTGGTTCAATCATCGTATTGTACCTCGACACAACCAGTGACAACTAGGGTGGATCCAGGCGCGTGACATTGCGGCGACACCTAAAGGAAACGCATTTCACTTACGACATAGTAGCTCTTGGTGCGTAATGCAGAAGGAAAACCAATCACCGAAAATATAGATAATAATGTCTCTTACTCCTTTCAAGAAATGTCTTCCTCACTGTCATTATCTGCCTATGCCATTTGTCAGAATAAAGAAATTGGTTTACATAGTAGCCTTCAAGACTCATTACATATATTCAATAATACAGCCCTCTTTCATAATAATCACCCGGTCAAAAAATTATAGAATAAATCCTAGATAATAAATAATTACAATAACTATTCATCCTTAAAACTCTATTCAAAGTAGAGAGAGCATTTTCAACTTAGTTTTATAATTAATGCTATATATTCCTTATCTTTTATTAGTACCATTTAAGGAACGGTATTTATTAGGCACTGTACCGTAAACCTCCGTACCATGCCACCCTAATTTTGGAGGCAATATTACCGTAAAATACGTTAATCAGCATCCCCACCGAGAGATAAACGCCATCAGATTCCATCAAACAGCAAAATATACAAGCTTTAGTGGAGGTTGCTGGTCGAATTTGCAACGACACCATGGAGAAGACGATATCTGAGCCAAATCGTCTTCCTTGCGCTACATGCCGACGCCGCAAAGTCCGTTGTTCCAAAACTCAACCTTGCACGAATTGTGCAAAGGCGGGGATCGAGTGTCACTATGAGCGTGAATCGCGACCAGACTTCTCGAGTCCACTTGGAGGATCGGCTCCTGTGGATGTCGAATTGGTCAATAGAATAACCCGTCTGCAAGAGTCAGTTATACGGGTCTCCAACCACCCGGAGCGTAGCACTCGGAGCTCTCTTGGTCAGTCAGTAGGAAGTGCCGAGGGCCAGCCAGCACTGGCAAATATTGTTTCTGTGCTGGAAAACTGTGTTAAAGACTTGGAGAATATCAGTACAAGAGGAAATCCACAAAACCATACTGGAAAGCTGTGTTTTCGGAATGCGCAGGCGGCATATGTTAAGGAAACATTCTGGGCTGGACTTTATGAAGAGGTGAGAATCGGCACATCAATAAGAATACAATCGGAAAACAAGCATTAAAACCAACTCTATTTTAGGTGGAAAGCCTCTCATTTCTACTTGAACAAGATAAATCAGAGAAAGCATTACATGGCACTACCGGGCTTTTGTTTCACTCTCAGCAACAATCCGACTTAAGCATGTACAGGTCTCCGAGAGCTGCATCGGAGTTTCTAATTGATCAGTTTTTGTCTAACGTTGATCCATTCGTTCGTCTATTCCACAAACCGCGCTTTAAGTTGGAATTAGATCTATTTAACCGCAACGAAGAGTCATTTGCGTCCCAAAGAGGAGATTTCGAAGCCCTTCTCTTCTCGATCTATGCATTTGGCGCGCATTCCCTTCACGTCAAAGATGTTCTCATATATTTTGGCGAATCTAAAGACAATATTGTAACTCGCTTTATAGCCGCCACCCAAAAAGCTCTCGAAAAGATAAACATTCTCTCTACACACTCTATGACTGCACTCACAGCATTTGCATTATATATCACACTCCTGTCCGAAATAGACATTTCGAGTCTTGAATGGACGTCATTGAGTGGCCTCTCATTAAGTCTAGCCACCCGCATGGGCCTCCACCAGGACGGAACGCAATTCAATCTCAGCCCTTACGCCGTGGAAATTCGCCGTCGACTGTGGCATCACCTCTGTACGATCAATGTACGAGCTCTTCAAATCCACGGTATTGAGCCGTTTCCTATCTCGACATTTAGCAACGGGGCTACGCAGCTCCCGCAAAATTCGCCAGACAGTGGCTGGGACGCTTGCGAGTTTAGCCGCAAGCTTCCTCCTGCGATTTCTGGCTGGACTGAAATGGCTCCAGCGCTTGCCTTCTACGAATTATCGATGCTGACGAGAGCTATTCTTGAAATGGAGATACCAGAACATGGTTCCGAAGACGCATATTTGAACAATAACGATCGGCTTATGTCAAAGGCAAAGTCTCGAATCGAAAACTTCTACGCACAAAATTCTTTCAACGAGCCTATACAATGCATAACCGGAGATTTGGTGACTCTTAACCTCCAATGGCTATGGTTCTTCACGCGGCAATCCTTATTAAAGCATCGGGAGTGGTCAACCCCCGAATTTCGTACAGAATTGTTTCGAAAGGCTCTTTTCATCTGTGAGACTACTCGATCTCTGCGGGAAGTGTATGCCGAACGACACTGGGACTGGCTGTTTCACGGATTCCACGAAACTACCAAGTGGCATCTTGCATCAACAATACTGGTATATTTACGTCACAGCACAGACCAAGGGGATCCAGAGGTGCAGCGAGCCTGGACTCAAATACACATTATATTTGAAAATGGAAAGATCCATCAAGGGGCATTATGGAAGCCACTTTTTGCTCTGAAACGCGAGGCTGAAATTCGTCGTGATGAAGCTCTTATTGCCAAAAGTGGGAAAACGCAAGTGACTAACTTTGACGGCCTGTGGCAGACTCAATTGGATTTCGGAAACCTGGCAAACGTTCCTGAATTAGACCCGAGTTTTATTCAATGGGGAAGTTCTGAGGTTTCTTTAAGGCCAAACTCTGGCATATCTGACCATTTCTATAGCTCAGTCCTTGGTGAATACAGCCAGTCAAATTAATTTACAGCTTCACGGCTTCTTTGGAAGATTATGTTACGAGTGTATGACTATTTTCCTACTACTATCTAGGTAATATACTCTTGACTATAGCACTTTGGTGAAACAACGCTCGAAATCAATACATGTTTAATGGAAGCTTTTGTGCCCGTATTCATGTCTTTATATTTCGAACCAAATTCTGAGACACGCTGTGAGTTCTAACTTGGGCATTTTCTCTACAATATACGTGAAAATTCAGTCTCAACGCAATACTCCTCGAAAGTGGTCATCTTTATGCCAATCTATTAATATAGTCAGCCAAATCTTTGTGAACCTGTACAATCAAGTAAGGAAATACCTGAGATGAACGAATATAACTAGGAACTTTACCATCACCCCCCCCCCCCACCCCCAAATTCCATGCTGAACAGCACGTTTTCTCCAAATTCTCTCCCAAGACCTGGAAGTGTTGTTGACGAGAATCTCATCTGAGAGGCCGTAGCGCCTCCTTAGATAACAATCCAAGACTTTCCAACACTGATATGTGCAATGTTCGTTTTGTAACTTACCTGATTGATCATCTCTTCTCTGCCTTGACCAAGGCGTCAAGCCTCGTCCAAGACGATTTCAGCTCGCCAACGGCACATACCTCAGTTTCAGTAAACATTCATAATAAGCACTGTGCCTATTTGTCATCTTCTAATGACAAATCTTGAGTTGATCTAATATGTATCCAATAATATATTTTCACCTTTTAGGGCTAGAATTACTCAGCAATTTTCATGTCCAGTGCGGGTCCATGGATACATTACTATTGGTAGAAAATAACATATGAGCATCCTGATTCGTTCGCGCTGTTTGCAGTCTCGCCGAGCTCGCCGAGCGACGGCGAGAGGCTCAGAAGCAACATTTCTACCACATCGAGTGTCATTAATTCAATCAGTTGATTTGAAAGTCATCACTTTATGAAGAGTAGAAGATGAGTGATGGACTTCCAGATTTGTCTTCTGTAATATTCTTTCATTTCCCTCCAACATGTGTCCGCATGTATAAATATGACCCTCTACTTCAGAATAGAGCAGCTTAGAACAACGACAACAATAATACCTAACTCACTAAGTCTAGCACATTTGATATCTCGATTGCCAATATATGCCCTCCGAAGTATCACAAACATCTTCCTCTGAGCAATTCGCAACCCAGCAAAAATGTCTCTCAAAGGAAAACTTGCCATTGTTACTGGCAGCGGAAAAGCAAACGGAATAGGCTTCAGCATCGCGAATGAGCTTGCTCAACTTGGTGCGGATGTATGTTGGATATGAAATAATTTGCTCTGTTTTTTTGAGCGTTCTAAACTAACAACCGTGTTAGATTGTTCTTCACTACAATACCAACAAAGAAGCAGCTCTGCAGAGTGTGAAAGCAATCGAGTCGTTGAACGTGAAAGCCATTGCTGTCCAGAGCAATGCATCCAGCTTGACATTTGGCAAAGATATTATTTCCACAGTCACTTCCGCATTCCCTGGTCGAAAGATCGACATCATTGTGAACAATTCGGGAGCCGCTATATTCCATCCTGATACTGCAACCATTGCTCCGGAAGACTTCGACACGCTTTTCCAGGCCAATGTTCGCGGGTCCTTTCTGCTGGTACAAGCGGCTTTGCCGTATCTATCAGCTCCAGGAGGAAGGATAATCAATATTAGCAGTGTCGTGGCTCGCAGTGGTAGTCAATTTGCGGCCCTGTATGCCGGGTCAAAGGCTGCTCTCGGTGCGATTGCTCTAGGATGGGCAGAGGAGCTCGGTCCCGAAGGGATCACGGTCAACACTATTGCGCCAGGTCCTATTGATACTGATCTGGCGCCACCGGAGGATCACCCACTGGTGCAGAAGTTCCGTGTCGAGCAAAGTATCAAGAGAAATGGGACTGTCCAAGAAGTTGCACGTGTAGTAGCTTTCATCGCCAGTCCGGCAAGCTCATTTGTGACCGGCCAAAACATAGCTGTCGATGGAGGCCTGACCTATGTATAGTGGACGAAGCATGTTTTGAAGACATCATAATAACTATTTAGGCCAACAAAACGCATATTTTGTCTTATTCATGAGTTTAGATGCATTTATCCTGTCTATAGAGCAACTTAGGTGAATTCAGCTGCTTACAAAGTTTGCTGTGTAATGATATCTATTCTTGAGGTTCCATCCGGCACTAGAAATATTATGAACTTTTGCTACTGTTATGTAGGTGTGATTTACTTGACCCATGAAAAGATAAGGTTATACTTAAGATTCACTTCAGCTCTGTACTTCTAAGAGAATGCTAATCTCGAGCACATCTTATAAAGTATCTACAGAAAACGCTACAATAACAACAGAGCCACCTCTCAATGCCCATTGCAAGTGATATTCAGCTTTTGGAGATGGCAGATCTAGAAAATCATGACAGGACATACTTTATAGCTACACAGTTCAACAGCCAGAACAACGACTACCCGAGCGAGAACTGAAGTTTGAAATTGCGCGACAAAAATGAGGTTTATGGACTTGAGAAGCACACTCTTTAACTTTCAATAACACAGGCTATAATCTGATCCTAGTCTTTATGGGGAAAGATATCTAGATTATTAGAATAGCCATCATTTGTTATTTATAGTGATGTATGCTCAATTGATCAAAGGAATTTTTCATTCCTTTCTACCTCACGCTCGATTCTTTTTCCAACACCTCCCATGGGCCACTGCCTTCAGCGATACAATGGAGCGTCAAGATTATCATCACACACGCTTCAATGACGCTCTTGTCTGGTTGACGTTCCCCTGTTGTGATGGAAGATCATGAGATCAAAGGAAGAGATTTTAGATTGCTCTGCTAGATTACTAGACATTATCATACTGGGGAGCTTACAGTTTCAAAATAAGTGGAATCGGTGAGATAGTTGGTCGAAATATAATTTTTAATCACTGTTTATGTCTCGTCGGGATTCGTCGATATGGCCGAGTGTATGTGAACAGCGACTCGTAGCCATGTGCCCTCTAGAAGTTCGCAAAATCGACTTGGCCTGTACCTCTCACTCAGGTAATCCGCGAGGATTACTATAAACAATTTGTGAATTGTGATTCTCGTAAAAGGGCGTCACAGCGCCATATCCAGTAACACGATGAAGTTCCGCTAACTCTGCAGAAGCCCGGTCATCTTCTTTCGACCATCGCACAAGGATCCAGTCCTTCCTATGTTTTCGTAGGACATAGACGGGAAGGATGGATTTTATCTTCGTGCGCCGTTTGGTAATTGTACCACTGCGTTTAACATCGACATTTATCAAGACCCGTTCCTCCATACTTGAATAGCAATATACGTACTACCTGGAACCCGTATGCAAATTATAGTATCTAAGTTTTCATACGACATCTTAGATACCAAAAAGAAAGCCTCTCGATTCCACCGCCTCTTAGTCGCCGGAATAGTCCATCTGACAGTAATGCCTGTTATGCAAGGTCGCGGGTACTTAGCATTCGAGCAAAGAGTATCAAGAAAAGCTTTCTTCCGAGCTGGACGGTGTGGGGTATTGATGACGGGCATATTTAGTCTGTAGCCACACGATGTTGACGGTCTGTCAGGATCGGGGGTATTTATTTGGCGGTTGCCGCGTTGACATGGAGTCAATTTGTCCGCATACAATTCTTCTACATGAAAAACGGCAACAGTTTCGCTCGTCAATCACGATACGAAAAGCATTCTGAGGTGCTCTTGCACAAAGAATCTCTCACTTCCACAATATATTCCCACTATAGGCTTGTTTCGACCCTCAGGTACAGCCTCTCTTTGATTTCCACAAAGCCGCACATTGAGAGACCTTCTACATCTGCGTTCTATAGCGATTAATCACTCAAACATACGAGGCCGTCATCAACGTATTATTAGATGTAACCAATAATCTTGATGAAGCCGTAAGGACTGTCCCACTTGACCCGCACGGAAGCAACCTTATCCAACGCAGCTCCACACTGGCAAATCCCACTCACTGGTCCCATTTCCAGCAAGCCTCCCTCGGAAAGTATCAGCCAATCCCATCGCAGCAGAAACGCCAAGTAGTAAAAACATAACATGCATAGCACCCCATCTGACCACTTTCAACTCTGTACAGAGTACCTAGTCGTATGGAAAGTAGGGCAGTGAGGAGCTGAGTACAGCCTCCACAAAGTAGTGAACATGGCAATTATTACCGAGCTAAAGGCCCTTCAGTCAGCCATGGTCATCGCAAGCGTGATGGGTTGCGACCCCTCTTTGTCAGTTGAGCTGAAATTGTACTATTTATTCATCGATGCCAGTCTAAACCTCAGCAGTCCCATCACCCATTTCGTTCGGATTTGTGATACTTTAGTTTGCACCTATTGCATACAGAATGGCGTTCACCGACCCCATCCAACGCAGCCGGGTCAACGAGACCGATCCCAGCCCGTACGATCAGATCTTTGTACTCAATCAGCATATCATCAACGAAGGCTTCAAGGCATGTAAAAAAACGATGTTGCTTTTCATCGACACGACAAGGAAAATGTGGAGCGTCGCAAAGTTAATAGACACGACAAGCGGGGACAATGGATCGAGAATGGGCTGGTCGGAGCACCCCATGTTAAAATCCACGTCGAAGAGGCCAGCCCTGCCTATTTTATTCTGTTCACGCTTAACTTTACTAGAGGCTTGATTCAGTTGCGGTCTACACCTCAAGGGAGAGAGAGCAAATTCGTCCAGTACAATCTTCAGGGGTGGAGGCTGACGTTCAAGACCAGAATTGGTATGACTGAACCGCTCGCAATTAAAGACCGACTAATAATGTGGAGAGTAACCTGAGCTAAACGGCTATCTAGCTAATAGGGCAGTTGACGATGCTGACGAAAGAAGCCAAGCCTTCTAGCAAGCGGGTGGCTTCAATAATTTGGTCTTCGAGCTATACCAACTCGATCTTGATACATCAGGCAAGAGTGTCTCTCAGGTATTCTTGTTTGATATATCTGCTGACCGGGTGGCACGCACAAATAGATCCCCACGACAGTTTAGGACTAGACACGCAGAACAGCGAATATGGAACTGATCATCTCGGACCCGACACTCTTTAAAATCTGAGGCTGTTTGCTGATGGGTGGTTAAGAACAGCGGATAAGAACAAAGTGAATGTAATTGGATGGTCGATGATACAACCACGGCGTGAGTCACTTGGCTGATAATTGTCCCTTGGTGCTATGCTAACGGTTACCCTTTGTTACAAACCACGCAGGGGAAGGAGAGCATGCTACCTTTGCCCCGTCGAACATTGACTACGCCCCATACGCATGGATCGACCCTGGTCACCCGTCCGTTGCGAAAGATGGCTCGGATAAAAATGCCCTTGCGATACTTACCTACGTTAACAGAGCCAAAGGTAATGGCTATGAGCCAGCAGGCCTGCGACACCATGGAGTATTCACCGATGAAGGCGCGGCATTTTGCATGAATCAGGACCTTTTTTGGGAGATTTACCTGCTACCAGCTTTGCAGTTTATTAACAAAAGCACTGAGGTGGTTCCTCAGGATCCACCCACTAAATATAGAGTTGAAGTAAAGTATGCCCTAGGCAAGAGCGCAAAGCCTGGAAGCGACGCAGCGTTTCGCTGGAAGCGCCAGATAAAGAATGAGCAAACATACTGGGCTTGGAAGGGAGGTCAAAAGGAGAGAGTGACCAAGTGGAACGATGGCATGGTTACTTACTACCAATATACGCAGGATGGTAAGCTTGTTTAGCAAGAGGCGTGCTTTCTGTCGCTAAAATTTATACAGCTCAATCATCAACACAGGTAACATTTAGCCCTGGGGGGCGGGATATTCACCAAATTATCGGAGTAATCTAGCTACATCAATGACGGCTATGTTCAAGAGCTTCAAAATAGTTAGCTTTGCTTTGACATTACTATCAAACTTTTCCTCTTGGTATGTTCAAGTTACATTCGCAGGTAAGAATTTCTTTTGACAAAGATAGTCTTCCTTCATTAAAGATCAATTTCGTGCAAATATTTTTACCTTATTTAGGTTCTATATATTTTTCTAATACTCGATCGTTATAAATTGTATTCTCAACGTAATACTGTACCCATGTCATGATAGTAAAACGCATTGAGAATCGAATCTCTCTATGGGAACAGTAAGGATAATCAAGGAAGGAGACACTAGGTAGATAGAAAGGGATCATCCCGCTCAAATTTCCTCCATGGATGAAAGATCCAAGAGGTCTATATAGCTCTGATGTGGGTTGCTGATATTCTTCAATTGGCGACCATTTCTCAAAAGATCCTGAAGTACAATATCATAAGATTCACGGCATACTCCGCACCGTGGCTGTTGTCCGTCACACTGGAGTTTGTGCTTTCTACACTCTTCACATGCCGCTCCAGCTCGCTGCCGCGTCCTAATAGGCGGTGCGGTTTTAGTTGTATCCATGCTTGAAGTCAAGTTCCAAGTCCCTCAGGTATAAATTTGTGTATGTATCATCCTAACGATATTTGTCGGAGTGTGGCTGCCTTTTTTAGCATGACGAGATCTCGGGCCATTGGGATGATAGCTGCCCAGCTTACATCTGAATTGGCTTGGTAGACTACGTTATATATACCTAGGTGATGGGACATTTGTTGGGAATAGTGGTAGAGGTTCCAAACTTGATTGAAATGGAATTGCTTACACTTGCACCTCTGATATCCACGCCTTGTTAGTAAAGATTTTGAGAATAGTAGAGCCTGTTACATTAAATTTCGGGTGTCTCAGTCTCGTAGGCTACTTCGGTTGATCCCTGCATTTTATTGCATACAATGAAATATTGACATAAATCTAGAGCCATCATCCATCGGTAGCGATATCCAACCAGTTACAACCCTGGTCACTCCGATAGACAAGAGACAGCTCCTTCATTTCTTTGTCTATAAATGCCCAGCAATCGATCATGAAGCGCCAACAGCAGTGAGTAAATGACAACTAAAAACACCCTCCTAAGCTGGAAATACAGACCACTCAACGTGATTGGCTATTCTAAATAACTTGCCCTATGTTTCACCGCCCTCATTGCCAAGAGACTTCTGCCGGCATTTTGACACCAGCAACGCATCACCGCCCGGCGATGGTGATCGATGCCGAAATCCACTCAGACAGTGCCTAAATTCGGCTTTCGTTCTATCGATTCTTGTGAAACTCGACCGAACATGCGGAATTGATATTTTGTATGATCACGCGCTTATAATACGATATACATCATTCCTCGGCGGTGCGCGCTTGTCGACAACGGCGTCAATCGCGTTTTCAAGGAGCTACATAGCTCATCGATCGAATCTCTTTAGATTGGCACTACCACCACTTCAGAATACAGGTCATGGCTTCTGCTCAAAATGCGGCTAACACCTCAGCGGCCTCCTCTGGCATCAATTCGCCTATCCCAGCTGCTCCAGCCGCAAACCCCAGCGATTCACAAGCAGCTAAAACGTCACCCGCACCCAGTGCTCCAACGACCACAGGCGAACAGCGCTCCAAACGAGCCAAAAAAGACAGTCGCAAAAAGCGCGAGGCGAAGGGGATCCTAGACACAGATAGCGTTGCCCCGCCAAGGAAGAAGGCAGCATTAGCAGCAGCCTCGGGGCGCCCGTCTACTTTACTGTCTATGCTCAGACCAGCGCTTCTCGCAGAACCCCGAACGTCCGATTTATACCCACCGCAGCCGAGACAGGTGAATTTCTTGTACCGGAAAACGTCGAATGTGTTGAATCAAAGCTGGGATTTCTACGAGGTCGTCGACAAACTTACCAATAAGAACGGGTTTCGTTATAGCTATGCGATTTCCGATCCCAATTTCACGAATGTGAAGTATCGACAGACAGATATTGCTCCTTATCATGCTCGATTCAGCTTTGAGGATTCGCCAGCAGCAATTGCGTTTACCAAAGACGGTCTTGCGGTGACTACAGGTGATGCCTGGCACTCTGCAAGGGCAAATGTTTGCGCGCGAGAGGGGTCGTACTACTACGAGGCAAAGGTAATTAGTGGTATTGTCAGAGACCCGCCATCCAATGCCAGCGACGCCAATTTCTCTGCTCACTCCCCTTCAAGAGGCCATGTCCGGCTCGGATTTGCGCGACGTGAGGCAGAGCTAGACGTCAACGTTGGAGTTGACTGTTATGGATATGGCATAAGAGACGTAAACGGGGAGGTAATAAACCGCATGCGCTGCGAACACTTCTTCGACAAAGGCGAGAATATTGCCGAGGGAGACGTTATCGGGATGCTCATCACACTGCCTCCGCTATCTCTTCACAAAAAGGTTGTTGAAGGAACATATGATCCTTCCGCTGAGAAGACCGGTGCACCTCAACCTCCTACAGTGACAAACTTCATTCGGGACCGAGTGCCTTTCCACCTAAAATCCGATTTCTGTTGGCAACAGTCCAACATCTACCCATCAAAACAACTCCGCGATTACGCGTTCAACCTGAAGGAAACACCTACATTCGGTCCGCCGTCTCCATTCAACAGCGAAGACTCCTCTCTTCGTACCTTGCCCGGTTCGAGCATTACCATATTCAAGAATGGGGTGAAAATGGGAACACCTTTCAAAGAATTGTTTGCCTTCTTGCCGCCTGCAAGTCGTCTTACAAATGGGACGAATAATTTGGGTATTGGCGAACGAGAAAACGCAGACGATGGCATGATTGGATATTTCCCAACGGTTAGCTGCTATGGTGGAGGTGCTGTTGAGTGCAGATTTGAGCCTCCATGGTGGTTTGGCCCGCCACCATTCGTTTCTGTTGGCGACGACAGCAAGGGTGACGATAAAACAGATAAGGTCAAGGGAGAAGACGAAGAAGAAAGTCAATCGGCTGCGCGTGTTGCTGTGAAACCGTTCGGCGAGCGTTTCAACGATCAAATTGTGGAGGATATTGTGGCCGACATAGTGGATGAAATCGAAGCAATGTTTCTCTGGGGTGGTGAGAATACGGATACTGCTGGTGGTAGTAGCAACAGCAGGACTGCCACCACTGCTACAACCAGCAATAAGCAAACTGCGAAGAACCCTCGTCTTCCTAATAATGCTGCTGCTGCACCGCCAACGGTAATCAGTACTGAATTTGGCAACGGATCCTCGTCCGCTGTCGTGGCTGCGACTGGTGGCAATGCTGATGTTGTTCAACAGGGGGTTGGAGCTGTATATCAAGCAGCCATGTTGGCGACTGGTGTGACGCCGACAATTACCGTGAATGGTAATTCTGCTATGGAGGCATCGACAACACCACAAATGGAGGTCGACGATAATAATGAGAATAATAATAACGCCAATCCTATAAATAATGAACCTGTGACTGGCACTGGAGAAGGGAAACAACAAGACGAAGACGTTGAGATGACTATTTCATAGTTAGACTACATTTGTCATCTAGAAATTGAGAATACAGGATTCAATAAAATGATTGAGAAAGAAAAGTAATAGAAATATATGGTATCTCGCTATGAACATACTCTTACATATCATACACAAACTGCACATTTCTATGTCATTGTGCAGAATCTTCGGATTGCTCTAATAGTTCAGCAACCCTCAAAACAAGCTCGTCATCTCCATATTGCCCGATAATCTGAATTCCTATTTTGCCAAATCCTTCATGTCTTGACTCATCACTGCCAGTGCTACTAGAAGGCACGACAGAAACAGGCACTGATATCGCTGGTAATCCCGCAAGACTGGCAGGCACAGTGCACGCATCAGTAACGTACGAATGTAATGGCGCGGTATTCGACGCAGAATTCTCGTCTTCTGTGATAGATGAAAGAGTGGGTGGAAGGGAGGATGTCGTTGGTCCTATAATAATATCCACTTTCGTTGTTGATGGTGGAGCCTGCGATTGACTTTCATCGCCAAGCGGGTTATTCAAGGCGAACGCATTATCAAAATCGGCCTGTACAAGCCGTCGAACTCGCTGCGCTTGCAAAAAATAATTGTCCATTGCATCGGCGCTCAGACTAAATGAGCCCAGTAGAATGCGTCGTCGAACTTCGTCGCCGAAGCCTTCGCCGCGAGTCCTGGCGTATAGATAATCACTAGAATCGCCATTTTCATCTCCTGTTTTGTCCAGCCCATCTGCCCGCGTGCCATATCTAACGCCATCGTATTTGGCGAGATTGGAGGATGCTTCTGCGGGAGCTAGAATGTAGTATGCGGATAGAGCATGTTTTGTGGACGGTAGGGAGATTGGATGTAGAGAATGACCTTGTCCCTCGAGAGTTTTAAGTGTTGAAAGCCAGGTTTCGCGGACTGTTGGTGTCAATTCGGCCAGGTTATATTCGAGAGGCACCCCTATTCGCAAGGGCCGCGATGATAGGCGGCTCGAGAGCTGGGGTTGAAGCAGAGCTTGGGCAATTCGAGAGCGAGTGAATGTAGATAGACTTGTAGGATCTCGCGCATCATGGTGGTTCAGGACATCTAGCAAATCATTAGCTTTAGAATATAAACATGTGCGTATTTTTCTTCTTCGTACCAAACACTTCACGAACAGTCGATGTTCTTCTCGCAATAATACCGACGGTGTCGAGAGAATTGGCATATGCAACCACCCCCCAGCGTGATATAAGACCATATGAAGGCTTGAGTCCAACAACTCCCGTATATGCAGCAGGCAATCTCACAGAGCCTCCCGTGTCGGTACCTAGGGCACTATAATCGCCCAATTAGCATCATCACATGTTGGAAAAAGGAAGCGTCTCACTCGACAACAGGCAACATACGCGTAGCACTGATTTGTAGCAACGGCAACCGCACTTCCACCAGAACTGCCACCAGCAGAGAGCGGTTCTCCTTCCCCTTGCCTTTCCTTACCACGCACGAAGAAGCTGCTTTTCACGGGCCCGAAACGAGAATGAGTGGAATAAGAGCCCATGCCAAACTCGTCCAAATTCGTCTTTCCGCCAATGACGGCCCCGGCATCTTCCAGGGTCTTGATTACTGTTGCATCGAAGGGACTGGAGAATTTCTCTAGCATACGGGATGCGCATGTAGTCGGCAGGGAACGAGTGCAAATATTATCTTTAATGGCGATTAACCGTCCATCGAGAGGAGATTTCGCGGAGCCTAAAGACACACAGTATTAACAATTCATTCCCAAGTGCAAGAGTACAGCCTGTCAAAGAAAGATGTACCATTCTCCTTGCGAACATCGGCATCTCGAATGTGGTCCGCATAGGCTGTTGATAAGCTCTGAAGCGGCGTGATGAAAGCATTGAGCTCGGCGAAGAGCTTCTGGTTAGCGATGCATTTTTCAGCTTCGCGAAGCAGTGACATTGACGGCTCTACGCAATGCAGCGCGACGAGTTGTCGCACTGATGCTTGAGTTGTTTGTTGTTGTGTTGATGATATTTAAAGAAATTCTTCGGATGAGGTCCGCTACTCCGCGCCCGCATTCGTGCTTAGTGCCGAGGTGCTCACCAGTACGTCATTTTTGCTATCGAACACTGCTGGAGTCGCTCTCGCAACTCTACAGACACACACTCGCATTCACACAATGTTTGCTCCAAGAGTTCTGAGACCAGCTGCTCCCAGCATTCGTCAAGCAACGAGCTTGTACCGCTCTGCTGCTGCTGTGAAAGCTCCCCTCATCCGGTCAAATGGCGGATATCAACCGGGAGTTGCAGCTCAGCGTTTCGTGTCGGCTTATGGCTACACACAGGCCAAGGTGCTGGTGTATCCAAAATTTGGAGAGCCTAAGGACGTCCTACAGTAAGTGCTATCATCTACAGGAAACAATTATGCTCGCAGCTGAAAGATAATCTATTAGACTACACAAGCATTCCATCGCACCACCAAGCGGAACACAAGTGAACCTCCGTCTTCTAGCAACTCCCCTAAATCCAGCAGACATCAATCAGATCCAGGGCGTTTACCCTGCCAAACCAACCTTCAACACCATTCTAGGTACCTCCGACCCCGCGGCAGTCGGCGGAAATGAGGGCGCATTCCAAGTCATCTCCACGGGGCCAGACGTCCAAAGCCTCACAAAGGGCGACTGGGTGGTCATGAAACGCACGGGTCAGGGCACATGGCGGACACATGCTCAACTGGACGAATCCCAGTTGATCAAAGTTGACAAGGAGGGTCTGACCCCATTGCAGGCTGGTACCGTCAGCGTCAACCCCGTCACGGCTTATCGCATGATCAAAGACTTCTGCGACTGGGATTGGATGCGCAGCGGAGAGGAATGGCTGATCCAGAACGGCGCCAATAGCGGCGTCGGTCGCGCAGCTATTCAATTGGCGCGCGAATGGGGCATCAAGACACTCAACGTTATCCGACAAAGGGAGAACCCAGAGGAAACAGAGGCTCTGAAAAAGGACCTCCTCGAGCTAGGTGCGACAGCAGTCATCACGGAGGCCGAGCTACTCTCGAAAGAATTCCGGACCATCGTCAAAGACCTAACCAACAACGGCAAACAGCCCATTCGACTAGCACTGAATTGCGTCGGAGGCGAAAATGCCTCTGCCATGGCCAAAGTGCTTGCCCCAGATTCACACCTGGTCACCTATGGCGCTATGTCCAGGAAACCCGTGGCGTTACCGTCCGGACTCTTGATTTTCAAAAACTTGGTCTTTGATGGGTTTTGGGTCAGTAAATGGGGGGATAAGAATCCCCAATTGAAGGAAAATACGATCCGCGATGTTTTTGACTTGACGCGTTCCGGCAAATTCAAGGATATTCCGGTGCAAGAGGTGAAGTGGACATATGACAAGGACCATAAGGAACTTGTGGATGCTGTCCAAGACACGCTCTCAGGCTTTAGAGCCGGTAAAACAATCCTTGTTTATGAAGGTGATGACTAAACTGCTATCGCAACTGTATAAAACCGCTTTCTCATACATATTATACTGGTGATCTGGATTTATTGATAGGAAATTGGCTGTAAGAATGCAATTCAAATTCAATGTCTAAAGATAAATCAAAATCGTGGTCACTTCTCATCTATGAAGTTGCCTCATCACACTTCCAGTTCTTCTTGATCCAATTCTCAATCAAGTGCGTCAGAGTTACTCCATCCATATATACATCGGAGTCTTGCGGTAGGTTGACATCGAGCCCCGAAAACTTAGCTGCCAGAGCTATATATGGTTCAATGAAATCAACATAGACTAAATCCACTGTCGATGGTTCCTCAGACGAATCGAGGTCCTCTTCTCCAACTTGGGTGCTGTGTGGGTGAATCAAGGTTGGGATAACATTTGGTACCTGGTAGAATGAAACGGAAGAGTGGATGGTATCGTCACCGTCGTCGCCTGCGTCGTCGATTGTCGTATATCCCGGAAAGTATTGAGGATCCGATTCTACCTCGAGCGAGATGATGGCTTGTCCGTGCTGCTGACTTGTTCGCTGAAGATATGCAGTTTGCCTATCTTTGGTGGCCATGTTGCCAGACTGATAAGCACACTGCTCGGGAGGAGCTAGTGGGCAATAAGAGGTATGAGGATGCTGTGCAGATGCAGTGAATATCTTTGTTTGTCCATTCAAAAGAGCCACAATCCTTTTTGCTGTAGTATATGGGACGTCCTTAATATACTTGAAGCCGCTTGTGAAAGGAGAAACAATGAACGTCGAGTCTTGAGTGAACGGCCCTTTGAAGATATCGAATCTGATGGCTCCAGTGTTGACAACTGCAAGGGCCGAAGTTCCGTCACGCAGAGGATTCCGAATTGACTGAGGAAGAACCTCAGTTTCTAACCACGTGTAGACACTATCACTGCTAGGGTACGGAGTACGGTCCACCCAGAGAGTCTTGGGTGCGCAGCCGTGAACATAATCAAGATCAAGTGCGTGTCTAGCATGCTGTATCATGTGAGATACGTTCCGGCCATGGTTCGTCGAAAAATTGGTTTCGTTGAGACCAGTATGATGATAGAAAGAGAACAAATTATTGTCGATGTACCTTCTACTAAAATTAGGCGCGGTGCTCTTCACATCATCAATTGACAAGAATCCAATTGTCTCCATAAAACGCCCACTAGCTAATCCCGATGAATGCGTATCATATCTGGCATAGTCGCGTATGTGAAAATGGCCGCCGAAAAATTGAATAGGAATGTTGCCTCTGGCATTTCTTATTTCCTCGTGAACTGCTTGATATTCTTCAGATCGAACAGGCACATGCCCGAGCACGATGAAAAGATCGATTTCATCGTCGTGGATAGCCTCCTGGAACCAGCTTTCTTTGACGGCGTCCTCGACCCGTTGAACTCGGGTATTATTGTAGTTACCAATAAAGTCAAATAGGAAGCCAAATGCCATGATGCGGTATCCCTGCTTCTTAGTTGTAAATTTCTTGAACCTTGGGCCCAGTGGAACCAGCTTGGCCGAATTCGGGTCAATTATGTCGATATTTGATGCGATATAACTGTCCATGAAATTGGGGACATTCGTGAGGAACTCCGTCTCAGAAGTGTTCTGTTTGTATAGCTCATGGTTTCCAGAGCACAGGAGATCTATAGGTTGTTGCTTCAAGATATCATAAAGATATTTGCCCTTGGGATCTGATGAGTCGTAGAGCCCGTTGCCTTCAACACGGTCTCCGGTGTCAATGACCAAAAGATCCCAGCCCTGCGATTCGGCCTGCTCACGCATACGCGTTGCAAGCGATATATAATCACCCCAGTCAGCACTATACGAAGGCCTTTTTTGAGAACAAGAGTCAGTCTAGTTATGTTTGTAGCGGTGCATAATTGACAATTCCTACTCTTGTAGGTGGCCGGCCAGCCATCCATGAGTGTCGGTTGTATGCAAAAAGTTCAACTTTCCCCACTGTATATCTCTGAGCTTGGCTGGGATCGGGCTTGGAGAGCCAGGCTGTACAGCGAGGACGTAGTGAGAGAAGGTCAGAAGCGCTCCTAGGAGGCCGCTTGGGATCATCTTGAGCTGTCGCTTGTCCGGACGGTAAGCGAATGTATGCTGAAGGAAGCTATCATTACTTGAGTAGTGGTCTAAATGCAGAGAGAAGGACTGTATTTCGGCTGGTTCAACGCTGCCACCAGTTACGACGGGTTGTATAGAGAGATAGAAAAGATGGAGAGCTCAAGTCAGTTGAGCAAGTTGAAGCTACCTTGCGAGCTGGCGTCGAAGCCACATGATTGGCGGGTTAGCAGCCTGAGGCCGCCAACAATTCTGCCATGCCATGATGCCATACTAGAGAAGCTGCAATACAACTAACTACAGCCTAAGAAAATCGTAAGGAATGCTCTGTTATGTGAGGAATACCGTTGCTGTGCTCAGCAACTGCGTCTGCCAGTCCCTTCCTTAATTAATTCTTTTTGATGGCAAGAAAATCAATCGGAAACGTCGGTATTTTTCCGTATTGTCATTACGCGTGATACTACACCGAGACGGGAGCCGGTGTGTCCGCCCGCCAGTGCAAGTGCGGCGCTTCCCCAACAACAACGGCGCCCCGTACGGTAATCTATTACAGGATGGTATCGTCCCCAAAATCTTTCGCTGTCGGCCCGATACTTTCCCGTTCTCCAAACCCATCAATCAATAATCATCTTCACCGGCTTCAGTTCCAGGGTGCATTGCTTTTGTCGATTGTGTGTTTTGCATTGATCCCCTTTTAATTGACTTTTCCTTTGCTTCCTTTTCCCTCCCTTCACACATCAACGATAATGGCCGCCCCCCGGTTTCTCCGACCAACTGGTCGCCTGCTGCAGTCGCGAATTTCCTTGCCAATTTCTCGCCCAGCTGTCCGACTGCCAGCTGCCGCTGCTCAGTCCATCTCATCTCGCCGTACATACGCTTCCGAGGCTACGAAGGAGGTTACTGTCAGAGACGCTTTGAACGAGGCGCTCGCCGAGGAATTGGAAAGCAACAAGAAGGTCTTCGTCCTCGGAGAGGAGGTTGCGCAATACAATGGAGCGTGCGTTCACACATCACTCGCGCTCTCGATGATCGAGCTAACAAATGATACTACAGATACAAGGTGACGCGAGGTCTCCTTGATCGCTTCGGGCCCAAGCGTGTCATTGATACTCCTATCACTGAGGCTGGTTTCACCGGTTTGGCCGTTGGTGCCGCTTTGGCTGGTTTGCACCCAGTCGTAAGTCTTGACTCTGGTCTCAAGTCTATTGGGTCTATGAATGAAAGTATGATACTAATTTTCGGCTTTGTATATCACAGTGTGAATTCATGACCTTCAACTTCGCTATGCAAGCTATCGATCAGATTATCAACTCCGCCGCCAAGACGCATTACATGTCTGGAGGTATCCAGCCTTGCAATATCACTTTCCGTGGTCCCAATGGCTTTGCCGCTGGTGTCGCTGCTCAGCACTCGCAAGATTACTCTGCCTGGTACGGAGCTATCCCTGGTTTGAAGGTTGTCTCGCCCTGGAGCGCAGAAGACGCCAAGGGTCTGCTTAAGGCTTCGATCCGTGATCCCAACCCTGTTGTCTTCCTTGAGAACGAGTACGTATCCCTAGCAAAACGAATCCGCACTGTCGAGAAATCTAATATTTTATATTTAGGCTTCTCTACGGTCAGTCTTTCCCAATGAGCGAGGAGTCCCGCAAGAGCGACTTCGTTCTTCCTATCGGAAAGGCCAAGATCGAGCGCTCCGGTAAAGATTTGACCATTGTTACGCTGTCCCGCTGTGTCGGTCTCTCTCTCCAGGCTGCCGCTGAGCTCAAGGAGAAATACGGAGTCGAAGCTGAAGTTATCAACCTGCGATCCGTCAAGCCCCTCGACGTGGAGACCGTTATCAAGTCGCTGAAGAAGACCGGTCGCTTCATGGCCGTTGAGTCTGGTTTCCCCATGTACGGAGTTTCTTCCGAGCTTCTCGCCGTTGCCATGGAGTACGGATTCGACTACCTCACTGCCCCCGCTGTCCGTGTCACTGGTGCCGATGTCCCAACTCCTTACGCTCAGAAACTTGAGGAGCTGAGCTTCCCTCAGCCTGATACCATTGTCGGCCAAGCCGTCAAGCTTCTCCGACTATAAAAAGGAAATATCTCTTCCAGCCGTCATTTCATACATGTCTTGAAATTCATGCGACGTACACACAAGCCGAGAGAAAAGATTAAACATGTTTCAAGGAATTCTTTTTTTAACCCCCCTAATTTTGTCATGTGTCACATATTCTTAGACTGCTGCGGACTGACTGCACTTTTCCTCTACTTTTGATTTGTCATACTTGCCATTATTTGAGCCAATACTAGAATTGTACGACTATGTTTTGAATGTCTTTTTATTTCCTTTTTATGGAACGAGTAGTTGATTGCGTAAACTGCATACCATAACGCCAGCTCTAGGGATATTGTGAAATGTGTCAGAAACCGAATAATGTACAAGAATCTAATATATATAATAGTCATAACCATCGTCATCATCACCATCATGATGTTGCCGGAACAGCTTTCGCTCCCTCACACCCGGGAAAACAACCCGTTGGCTTCAACGGACTATAATAAGCCTCCCCGGTATTATCATCGTTCCCATAATCATCATCCGTATCACTTTCACCATCATTGACTAAACGAGTATCTTTATGTGGTAGCTTTGCCCCCGCCCCCGCCTTTGTTGAGTGCTGACCAGACGTCGTAGACGCTCTAAAATTAGACACACCGTCATTGCCGTCGTTGTCATCATCGTCGTCGTCCCTGAGAACATTCTTCTTGACTGATGGCGTTACAGCAGCAGGGCCCTTCACGGCAGTAAACGAGCTTTTAAATCCTCCCTTCTTAAACCCACCCCCGGACGCACCGGTACTACTTGTCGCCGTCGCATTAGAGGAATTGTTATTGTTGTTATTATTATTCACCCGCACCAGTCCCGCTTCTGCATCCGCTTTCCTTTCGGCTTTTCGAGCTCTTTCAGCTGCATTGGGGTCCCGTGAGAGTTGTTTTAGGTCCTGTAGTCGTTTTCGGTGTTGATGGTCATACGAGCCGATGTGCGCTTCGTATTCTGGGTGGCGCGAGTAGGATTTGTTGCATAACGTGCATGTGAATGAGCTGAGGGCGGAGCGGGCAGAATCTGTCTGGATGGATATGTTAGAGTCGAAGTCATAACTAGAAGAAAAAGTAGCTTGGTTACCTTGGGAGCTGGGTTTGTGAAGCCGCGCTGTTGCATTAGATGTTAGTTGCCTTCTCTCTTTCGTTTCTTTTATTGGGAGTATAGATTTAAATCACTAACAGGAGCCATGGTATTTGCAAGGGAGAGTCGTCGTGATGCACAAATTGATGTATTAAAGCTTCGAAAGAACAAACGTCGAGGATGTTGCGCTGCTTCACTTTCAACTTCGCTCTTGCGCTCTTTGATATTGCACTATGCCGAATGAGAACTAGCGTATTAACCAACCGCTGGTCTTAGCGCAGGCCAGACTCAGAATTGTAAACGGCTTCGCCATTGAGAAAAGAATTTTTGTTTTCGCAAGTCATGGTCCGATTTACTATAGTGTTCATAAAATATAGGAAGCCTCTATAACTATATAGTATGAGATTGTGACTTTGTCAACGTCTTTTCTCTCTTGGAGAATACATGGAATGCCTGACCAATAAGAGAGCTCGCTTTCGGCATCACGCAACCAATCACCGACCGCGCTGGTTTGCGTAAGCTGATCTCGCTTTCCCCTGACGCGCGCTTTCTTCTTCTCAGCTTCATCGCCTGATTTTCCAGTCTGGCATGCGATGCACTCACGATCTTTTATGAATGAATATTAATTTAATGCCCTAATTTCAATTTCCCTTGCTTTCTACTTCTTTTGCTTCGACCACACTTGCATTCCGTCTGACGCTTCCGTCCTGCGCAATCCATTTTAAAAAGTCCGAGATATAATCCCGAGAAACCTGGCCTGCCCTGATCACCATGGCGAGGACCAGGGCCGATAGCTTGCTCTCCGCCGTTGACACCGTGGATGCTCGGTCTGTACTGTCAATGCAGGAACTCGACCCTTCGCCGGTCGACGACAGTCCGCCTGATATCGAAACTGGAGACTACTTTCCTGAACCAGTGAATGTCATTAGGCGAGCGGAGCCCCGTTCATTTGGTATCTCGCGGATGGGACTCAAATCTCATAGCTGGGACTATTGGCGTATGTTTGAGAACCCGCTATGACTTGCTGGTCATGCATGTCTTTCTCCCCCTTGCATTCATCTTTTCTGACTGCTGCTGCGTTCGTGCTAGTTTCGGCCATCCAACGGTATTCCACCTATCCACCCACCGTCTTTTTTGCCTTGCATGCCGCCAATACGTCTCTCATTCCTCTCGCCACGCGATCCATCCCGTATAGTGACTCGTTTCTATTGCTCACGCGACCCATCTACCAGTCCCCTTCCCTCGAACCTGTAATGCTAGCGCTCCCCATTGTCGCACATATCGCTTCCAGCTTAGCTTTAGGCAGCATTCGGGCGCGTAGACGCGCAGAACTTTACGGTGCAGAATCACGGAGTCAGAGGTATCTCATCAGATCTTGGCCGGTGCCAAGCTTACAGGCGAAACTGGGATATGCCATGATCCCTTTATTGGGTCTGCACGTGGGCGTCAATCGTGCAATTCCTCTAGAGGTTGACGGAGGAAGCTCGAGCGTTGGGCTGGGCTATGTCGCACATGGGTTTGCGCGAAGTCCCGTTTTTTGGAACCTGTTCTACATCCTCTTTGTCGCAACGAGCGTATGGCATTTAGTCGGTGGTCTGGCGACATGGATGGGTATCAGGGTTACTACAGTTCGTACGGAAAGGGGACAAGCTTTGTCCAAAACTACTGGGATTTTGGGCGAACACAGAAACGAGACGCAAAGGATGAAGAAAAACAGGTGGCTTGTTCACGGTATCGCTGGGCTTGTCACCGCCATTTGGCTCGCAAGTGGATTGGGTATCGTAGGACGAGGAGGCTCTGGCTCAAGCTGGGAAGTGAAGAGTTGGGATAAGCTCTATGCGAGCGTTCCTGTTATTGGGGAATGGCTATGAGAATTTACTTTGCGCTGCCCTTTATGACGATATGTGGCATGTCACTGTATACTAAATGACAAATAACGACCATAATATAATACAATAATATTTATGAAGGCAGCGTATAACGATGTAGATAAAAGATGCTGAGGGCCAACGAGTACGAACAGAGCAGACAAAAAGACTATCGTCAAAGTGGTCCGTGCGTCAAAAATATTTCCACCATCCCTCTTAGTCCCTCATGCTCTGCGACTTTGGAGCTCACAATCACCTCACCAATGTGCTAAATGCGGCCAGGCTATATCCTCAATATCGCGTCAGGGCTGCAATGGAAGTTTCGTGCTAGATTGCCGACAATTGAACTATTCTCAGCGCACACGTACACCCAACTCCGCCATCAGCATCAACCTCCAACAAAAATGGCCTCCCCCCAAGAGGCAGAAGCTGCGCCTGCGCCTGCACCTGCTGCATCTACCCCCAAACCCGTGGAGCTAGATGGTAAGCAATACGAGCCTGTCAAGGAAGGACTAGCCTATATCCTCAAACCAGTCGACACACATGATAGCGCGAAACCAGCACCGAAACCCCGCGGTAGCGGCATGGAGCAACAAGAGTCTGTCTTTTATAACCCTATTCAGCAATTCAATCGCGATCTGAGCGTTCTCGCTATTAAAGTTTTTTCGGAACATTTTGTGGCGGTGGCTCGAGATCAGGCAGCTATTACCAGGTCGCGACGGAGCAGGAAGAAGAACGAGAAGAAAAGGAAGAGGGAAGAGGAGAATGACGGCGGAAATGAAAGGGAGGTGCCCAAGAAACATGAAGGGGAAGGCCAGGCGGTAGATGCAGACGCCACTGCTGTTCTCCCGGCGTCGAATACGGGTACTACTATGAATACGGATAATCAGACAAATGGCGAGACCAGGCCGGTCAGCTTTAAGATACTCGATGCTCTATCGGCGACGGGTCTGAGGGCATTGCGATATGCGAAAGAAGTTCCAGCTGCAACACGGATTGTCTCAAATGACTTGTCCGCGACCGCCATCGAAGCTATTAAACTCAATATCAAATACAACGATGTGGAGAGCATTGTCCGGCCCAATGTCGGTGATGCGCGTGCCTACCTATATAGTCTTCAGGGAGAAGAGAAGAAGCCTCATGACGAGGAGAAAATCGGAAGGTTCGATGTCATTGATCTCGACCCTTATGGAACTGCGGCCCCTTTCCTTGACGCCGCCATCCAAGGGCTGAGTAATGGCGGTCTCCTATGTGTGACTTGCACTGACGCAGGTGTCTTCGCGTCGACTGGATATCTCGAGAAGGCGTATTCCTTGTATGGGGGTATATCTGTGCGGTTGCCGCATGGTCATGAAGTTGGACTGCGTCTAATTATCAATGCGATTGCGACCACAGCCGCAACATATGGCTTGTCGGTTGAGCCTCTACTCTCCCTTTCCATCGATTACTATGTGCGAGTCTTCGTTCGAGTTTACAAGTCACCGGCCGAGGTGAAATTCTTGTCTGGCAATACAATGCTTGTCTACAACTGTGACACCGGTTGCGGTGCTTGGACAACACAATACTTATCTCACACCAAACTACGACCAAACAAGAGCGGTGGCTCATTCTACTATTATTCTCTAGCCCAGGCGCCGACATCATCACCACTGTGCAAACACTGCGGATTCAAAACTCACCTTGGCGGTCCTATGTGGGGAGGCCCTCTCCATAATCCTCACTTTATAAACAAAATCTTGAACTTGTTGCCCGAGTTGGATCCAGAGACATATCAAACTCTCGACCGGATCGAAGGCATGCTAATGACCGCCCTAGAGGAGGATCTGGATCTTAGTGACCCCTTTCATTCTTCAGAGGCTGCACAAAAGGAAAAACAAGCAGAATCATCCCCCTTAATCCCCCGACTCCCACCACATCAACAAGAAAAATACCCATTCTTCGTCCAACTCAGCTCGCTATCCAAGGTCCTCCACGCCCAAACCATACCCTTGAACTCCTTCCGCGGTGCTCTGCACGGCCTCGGCTACCGCACAACCCGCAGCCACACAAAACCCAACAGCGTGCGCACCGACGCTCCATGGGACGTCATTTGGGAGGTTATGCGGGAATGGGTCCGCCAGAAGGCCCCGATCAAAGAAGGCACGCTGAAGCCTGGTACGCCCGGTGCCGGCATTATGAAGAAGGACAGATCGAAATATGAAGCTACCAACGCCCTGTCGGCACTGCGAAGGGAGATTAGCGAGGCGCTTGAGACGGGCACGGATATGATTGATCTTTCGACCAAGGTTGAGGCTGCTTTGTATCGTAAGGGATCTGCTGCTTTGGCCCCTACTGCTGCTCCTGACTCATCCGCGTCTAAAAAGGATGAAGAAGAGAAGCCGCACCCAAGCACACTTAATATAGTCTTTGACGAATCTCTTGGTCGAGATTTCTCGACTACTGCTGCGTCGTCGTCTCGGAGGGTGGCTAGATATCCAATGAATCCCGGAGAAAATTGGGGTCCTATGAGTCGTGCGTTTGGGCATTGATCTATGGTCTCTCCTGTCTTTTAAGGTGGTGGGTGTATAGGTGTCTTTTATCCTGACGGCAGCTTTGTGCGAGGTGAAACTTGCAATTGCAGTCTCATTGTATAATAATCTAAAATATTTAAAATGTTCATACGAATAGGCAGAAAGGGAATTTCTCATTATAATAAGAATCTTTATCTGATCCGGTCAATGATTAAAGGAACATTTATTCAATTATCTAACATAACAGGTGTGAAGAGAAATGCATAGCCGAGTCAAGAACAAATAAATGATTAAAAACATAGTTTTAATTTTGGTACAGGGCATGCACTCGCTCGACTCATCGGTTTGTACATCTGTAAATTTGTAGATTAATTCATGCTTTCGAACGACAAACAAGAAGGAAATGAGAAAAAGTCATCGCTCATTAGGCACAACACAACGCAGGGGGAAAAAAGACAGAGCGAAGAGCAAAATGATTAAAGTTATCACAGCTTCGACACAGCTACTGCAATTGCTTGTGAATCACTGTGGCTAATGCTCACATTAACGGATTTTACACCAGCGCGCTTGGCTGCTTCGGCAGCCGCTCCGTGAAGCTGTATACATTGTTAGCAAGCTAGTTTTCTAAGAGGGTAAGAGAAGGAAGCTTACAGTTACAACAGGCACCCCGTTGGCATCGTTAGTAATTTCGATTTCTTTCAATGGAGCCCCGGCTCCCCTGGATTGAACTCCAAGTGACTTGAAGACCGCTTCCTTTGCGCTCCACTTTCCGGCAAACGAGGCTTGTGGTGCTGGTGCTTTGCGACAGTATGCTTGCTCCCGCTCAGTGAAGTTGCGTCCAATGAATGTGTCGTTCTCGATATTGATAGCCTCGATATCCTCAACATCGACACCGACCTGTGAGTTTGGACCCGCAGTGGCAGCAGCCAATGTCTCGACGATTTTGCGTGTCTTGTCCGAGTCATCGGTTGAGACGGCAGCCGGGGTTACCTTGGGCGCAACTGAAGGATAGGTGAACTCGGCAGTCTTCGCGTTCAATGTGACTCGGTGGTCGGGATTAAGGAACACCTGGCTTTGCTGTTTATCTTCGTAAGGAGCTTTGTTCTTAGCACGGAAGAGGGTGTTGTTGATCATGCCGTTGTGGAAGTAGCGGTATGCCTTCTTCTGACGGGCTTCCAATTTCTTCTTGTAAGAGACGAACTGAGCCTTGTCCAGTGTAGCATAGAGATATTTGGGGTGGACACCAATAGCCTGGGCACCCTTTTGACCGAAACCAAACGAGGTGACAGAGAAGGCTTTGATGCCGTCGGTCTTGATTGTTCGGCTTGGGTACACAATGAGGTCGAATTTCTCCATAACCTTGTCCACATTGTCGGCATTGCGATTTCCAGGAACAAGACCGCTGTTGAGCACCTGGAGACAGCCGTTCATCATCCATGCACCAGCAGCACCCTTAGGGTGACCCGTCAAGAATTTCTGGAAAATACCCAGAACAGCATTGCCCTTCTTGCGGCCCAAATGTTTCAACTGCTGGCAGATAACATCAGACTCGTTCTTATCATTAGCCACAGTCGACGTTCCGTGGAATGAAGCAACATCGAGATCATCAATCGTAAGACCCCAGGTTGCCAGTGAACCACGCAATGGTGCAATGCGAGGGTCGCGGCGCCAGAAGTCATTGCCCAGACTGCTCTGAGCTTCTCTTTCTTGGCGAGCGGCTTCTCGATAGATATGCTCAGTTCGCTCCTGAATGTAGTCTGTGATCTTGAAGGACTCAGAGCTCTGGCTCTTCAAGGCCACAGCCTCCTCCTGAAGATAGAGCAGTTCTGATTCTTCCCACTGCTTGATTTGGCGGCGACGCAATTCCAACTGGCGTCGGCGATACTTGATATCAAGTAATGGAGAGGGAAAATTTCCAGGATTTTCGCGAGCCACAGTAAGCACACCTTGACCAGGAGCAGGAACTGATCGTCCGATCTTATCGGTAGCGGTGCTAGACATGGCAATGATACCATAGATAGGAACACCCATGTCTAAAGCCAGCTGGGCCGTCATGAGGACTTGCATACCGCAACCTTGAGATTCCATGAATCCATTTCGAGTGGTCGATGTCGGGCGAGACATGTCCTGGGGTGTACGTCCCCGCTTGAATTCCTCCTTTGCATTGCTGGTTGCTCCCATGTTCGCGAATTCGTAAGAACCTTCTTCTTGGAAATCATCAAAACCACCGACGAAGACGATACGGGCCTTGCCTTCGACAATTGTATCATAACCAATGTCCAAGGATTCCACAGAGGTAGCACATGCACCAACAGGACTCTTAATAGGACCTGTGGATGACAAAAGAAGCATGTTGACCCAAGCAGCCATAGTGTTGACGAAGGATTCCTGCAAGATATCCTTCTGAACAGGCTTGTCAAGGTAACGATCCTTGTACATACCCCTCAATGCAGAAGTACCACCCACGCCAGAGCCAATACAGTTACCCACCTCAGATAAGTGCACATATTTGTAGAACTCATAGGGGTCGGTGATGCCAGATGAAAGCAACGCTTCTGCAGTGCAGACAAGGACATAGAGCGTCACGGGGTCAACCTGGTCAATAATGTCTTCCGGAACACCATATCTCTTCGCATCCCAGCCAGCGGGTATTTGACCTGCCACCAGGCGATCAAATTGCAGGGCTTTAGGAATCATCAAGTTTGCACCCTTCTTGATGCGAACGGTGTATTCGCCAGAATCGGGAATTTCGAAGATCTCGGCCTTCTCGCCATGTTCACGTTTGAACTCCTCGGCAACCTCTTTTGAGGTCTCAAAGGGTTCCAAATCCGCCTCGATGACAACTTCCTGAAGGAGTTGTTTCCTGTTTGGATCGTAGCCATTGAAAAGCTCCGGTTCAACCAGACGGATGCCGGAATGTTCAAGAATGTACTTCTCATACTTGGCCTTGACGTCCTTGTCATCAACTGGATCGCCGGTCTTGGAATCCACCCATCCAGAATAAGGCTTGCCCTTAAGAGGTCCGTTGTGATTCTTGATTAAACCCATCATCCAAGCCATTTCGACACATCCTTCAAGTGAGAACTTGCCATATGCTTCCATTTCCCATCGGGTTCGAGAATTTCCCCACGGGCCAACCTCAGCAAAGCCGGTGACAACGACAACCTTTTCGAGGTTGACCATGCCCTTGAGCTCTTCGTGAAGAGGTTTGACTTCGTCGTCCCAGCTAGGCAACTCTGGGAAGGGGTATTTGAGATTGGCACGAGGTTCCGTAACGACCTTCTTGTAAAGGGCCTCGCTATCTTCCCCGTTAACGACCTTGTTCTCAATGGCATTTTCCTTGATAACAGCCTGGCGAACGGCACTGGTTTCCATGATATCAGTGCGCAACCGGGACATGAGACCCTTGAGGTCTGGAATGAATTGAAGACCACCGTTGAGATCTGCAAAGACTGGCTCAGATTGGCAGAGATTGACGATAGCAGGAGCCATGAGGCCCAGAAGGTTGAATGCCATTTCCTGTTGGGAGAAGGTGCGGACGCCCAACTTTTCGACACCTTCGGCCACCATGTTATTGGCGCTCATGAGACCGGTTCCACGAGTCCAACCGATGACAGCACCGCAGATGGTGAGGTAGCTTGCCCAGCTCTCAGAATGCCATCGGTTGAACAAAGTCTCCAAAGCCAACTTAGACTCTGAGTACAGACCATCATTGCCGAAAGTACCGTGATTAGGGGAAAGAGGTAGAATGACCTGTGCAGGTCGGGTTTCAAAACCACGCTCTGCCTTCTGAGACTTGATGCAACCAAGGAGTCGCAGCACGTTCGTCAGCATAATACGGTGAGCAAGTTCAGACTTCGAGTCAATGCTGTCAATTTCACGACCATTTTCTGGAATGGCAGCAAATGGCACAATATAGTCCAGGTCCCAGCCAAGGCCCTTCTTTGGATCAGTATCATAGATGTATTCAATAAGAGCTTCCACATCTTGTTTGCTGCCTTGGTTGAAGGGAACAACGACGAGTTGAGATCCTCGGGCACCATATCTGGCGTACATGCTCTGGTAGTATTCCGTCACTTCGCGAGAGAAGCGGCTTGTGGTAACCACAACCTTGGCACCACCGCTGATCAAGCCTTGCAGAACGTCCGCTCCAATAGATCCGGCGCCAGCGCCAGTCATGAGAGCATTCTTTCCCTGGAAAGTTATACCATCCTGCGCAGCAGTCGCCAAACCATCAAGATAGATTCCGGTCAGTTTCTTGCTGTAGTCCCAGCCGTGTTCATCCTTCTTTTTGAGATGAAGGAAAGGAATGGTCTCGACTTTTCCTGGACGCAAGGTACCGTTGGTCTTCCCTTGCTTTGCGTATCCATTCTCCCGAGGCATTATTTGGTTCTCGTTCATGGCCAAAGCGCGCAAAAGATCCTTGTAGAGAGCATTGAACTGCAATTGTGAAGACTTGGATAGTCTGTGTTGCTTGCGAATGAGTTTATAGACATTCTTAAGGTCATTCTGGACCTTGGTACGATTGCTATATTCCGAGATGGGGCCACCCTCAGCCATTTGCTTAACGTAGTGCTCCAGTTTGCGAGCGCTAGCCCGCGGGACTTCTTCGAATGAAATGTTGCCGCGAGAGTCGATAGTAGTTTGTGGAGCGGTTGGGATAGCGACGTCTTTGTAAACTGGAGCATGATTGAGGACTTCTTTACAATTCTCGATGAGCTGTTCACCCAATTCCTTTGCAAGCTCATATGTTTCTCCTCTTTCCGTGGGGCAGTTGTCGATATGGTACTGCATGAAATCCAGGAGAAGCGGGTTGGAACGATTCATCAGGCGAATGCACTGGCTGACAATTTCCCGGTCGACGACTCGGAGTTTCCCAAATATGATGTCATAGTACATGCTCAATGCGTCCTGTCGAGCCCAATTCCAGGAAGAATCGTATATGCGTGCCTTTAATGGGTCGAATGAGGGGGCAATGCCGGATGCATAGACATCGCCATGTTCGACTTGCCATAGATCGAGTTGGGACTGAAGAGCCTTTTGAGTCTCGGCAGATTGGATGAAAGCTTTGTCACCGCCGCGCAGATCCATTTTCAGGTAACGAGCAATGATTTCTAATTGCTGCTTGAACAATGCACGCTGATCCTTGGTTAAAGCATCAATGGCAGCCGGGTCCATCATCATACCACCTCCACCAGCACCGCTGTCACCACCAGCGGTAGGTGATGAGAGACTGATGCCAGCGTGTGCCGCATACTTGTTCGCAATATCATCCAGGTAGGCCTTGGCATCGGCGTCAGATCCGAGACGAGAGGCTGGTTCAGCAGTCAAAGCAAGCAGCAGAGCGCCATCCTGTCTGCCAGGCCCCAATCCCCATCGTGTTTCTAGGTATTTTCGGACTGCAGTTATGTTGAAACCACCAGGCATCTTCGAGGAAACGAAACGAGCCATCAGTGACGACGACTGCTTGCCGAGCTGACCGTTGAAAGTGGCCTGCATGGAGGCACCCAATTCGTCGATTGGGGTATCTTCAGGTTTTTCTGGGGTCGAACCGAATTCCTTGCCCAAATCACCAAGAATCTCATTTTGCAAAGTGGATTTTCCTGTGGTAAGAAACAAGAATCTGTTAGCTGCGCACTAGGGGTTTCATTTCGCTGAAAATCACCACTTACCTCCCACCAAATCTTTTATAGCCTTGTTAAGCGGGACATCCGTTAATCCCTTCTTCAATTTCTGTGCAACCAATGTTCTGACAATGTCGACGGCTGTGACAGGAGCGTCTTCAACCATGGCGGCAGGGCCAGCGCTGGGGGCAGCGGCGGCAGCAGGAGCAGCTACAGCCGGTGCAGGGGCAGAGGGACCAGTCTCGGCAGGAGCTGCGGTAGGTTCGGGCTCGTCTTCGACTGGATCGACATCGTAATAGATCTCTTTGGCGTCTTTGTTGTAGCATAGAATCTGTCGCTGCACTGATGTGGCTGCGTCGTAAGCTTCGTATTTCGAGGCCAGCGTCCGCTTCGCCATTCCACCAAGAGTGTCTGCTGGACCGACTTCCACTATCCGCTCCGTCCGCTTCTCTGCGAGGATTACATCTTGTGTCTCAATCCATCGGACGGGCGACGCAAACTGGTACGCCAACAGCTCTACCAGCAGCGTGTGAGCAAGCTCTTGCTCGATTTCGGGACGCATCTTGACGGCTCGCAATTATATTAAATCGTAGTTAAAAAGAAGCTGAAAATGCAAACATTAATCACAGCAGAATTGTCCCAAGTGGCACAGTGACAGACTGTGCAAGACGGCGATGATGTGCACCGGCGTATGAAGGTATCGACGAGGGAGTCGGAAGAGCGCTCGGCATCCAAAAAGGAGGAGAAAAGAATTAAGAAAGTGAGGAGAGAGTTCCAATGGAGTCAAGCTGCAGCTGGAACCACGGATGAAAGCTGAGGGGAAAAAGAAGGAATCTCAATCAAACAGCCTAGAAAGAAGGCTCGGGAAGTTAATTTGCGACGAAGGGGATATTTCGCGCGTGCCCAAGGCAGAAACCTGTAGAAGTAGAGACAGACTGCGTGGTTAAGGATCCTTTCAGCTGCTCTCACTAGCAATTTTCTGATTTTTGATCGGGAGCAGCAACAGAAAACGCCGAAGCAAGCCCGAGCGACAGGGTCCAGGCCAACTGTTGGGGTTGGAAAGTTGCTTGACGAGGATGACCGGACTTGGTGGGCCCGCTAGTCCATTCCTGAAGCTTAGTGCCCGACTACGATAGATTCCATTGGCTGACTGCGCTGTGCCGGAAGCGCAGGGCATGGCACTAACCGGGATTGGCTAGGAACCAGCCCATAGTTTTTACGGATGGTATGAGCATTACATATCTGTCATTTTCCGGCAAACCTCCTTGCAGCAACTATCTGTCAATAGAATAACGTCAAAGCACAGCCATGGACCTTTGACGTGGAAGAGCGCATGTACTTCTAGCAAGCATACTGTATTTTTGAGTACAATTGGAACATTGTCTCTGTAAACCCTGCGGGAACAGTCCATGAAGCTGAGACAGCAAAAAAAATATAGATAATAAATTACGTGACAGGCCATACGGCAGACGCAGCTAGTGCGCGATGGGCGCTAGTCGTTCCATGTGGACGGCGCCGGCACTCGGCCAATCACGGAGCTGCTGGGGAGCCGGGTCCGCCCAACCGTTTTGGCCTTTGGGGGGCAGCCGTCGCGCGCTAGGCCGCATCGGGGCTGTGGGTGTTCAACCAGCTTCAAATTTCCTCCTCAACCACAGGAAAGAGCGACAAATCGAAGCCGAAGGAAGGAGCGAACAACAGGCACTCCCTTTGCCCCGAATCCTCCGTCCCCATTGGCCGAGTGTTTAGTCGCCTCAGTTGTTAGGACTCCAACGCCCATCCCGCGCTGCTTCCTTTCTGGTTGCTGCTTCCGTAAACTTTTCCTCCCCTGCCTCCTTCCCCAAACCTCCATAATAACGAACCATCACCAGAATAATATCTTCTCTTTCTTTTTCTCTATCAGACACCAGTCTACTCCATCGGCTTTGGCAGATGCTGACGGAGTCTTCTGTGAAGATCTGCGTAAGCATGCTTGCTGCTCTCCCCTCCGCGAAGCTCCTGATTCTAACAAGAAAAACAGTTTCTTCATCTTCTAGCTGTTTTTTATAATTATTTCTCGCTTCGATTTATGATCATTGCATAGACAATGTACGGAACATCCACCGGCCCTCAAACGGGCATTAACACTCCTCGTTCCTCTCAATCTCTCCGCCCGCTCATTCTCACACATGGATCTCTCGAGTTCTCCTTCCTTGTTCCGACCTCTCTGCATTTTCAGGCCGCGCAGTTGAAAGACACATTCAATGCATCATTACCGACCCCAACAGATGAATTAGCTCAGGATGACGAGCCGTCTTCGGTCCTGGAGCTGGTTGCGCGTTACGTCGGCCATGTCGCTCAACAAGTCGACGAGGGCGACCAGGACGCCCACCCAACAAACCTCGAGGTTTTGAAGGTCGTTCTCAATGAATTCGAACGAGCCTTCATGAGAGGAAACGATGTTCATGCCCTCGCATCTACATTAACTGGCATCCCGGACAAGAAGATTGCTGTCGTCAAATCATATTATGCCGCGCGCGCTGCCGCAGGTCGTTCGACGAAGCCCTACGACTCCGCGTTGTTTCGCGCTGCCGCGGATGAGACAGTCAATATTTACACAGTCTTTGGTGGTCAGGGTAACATTGAAGAGTACTTTGACGAACTACGAGAGGTATATACCACCTACCCTTCATTTGTTGAGGACTTAATCTCGTCGACGGCCGAGCTCCTCCAATCATTGTCGAGGGACCCCGAGGCCGTCAAGCTTTATCCGAAAGGCATAGATATTCTTCAGTGGCTGCATGACCGCGATTCGCAGCCCGATACCGACTATCTAGTCTCGGCTCCTGTCAGTCTGCCATTGATCGGGTTGGTGCAATTGGCACACTATATGGTGACCTGCAAGGTTCTGGGCAAGCAACCTGGAGACCTTTTGGAACGTATCAGTGGTACGACTGGTCATTCTCAGGGTGTAGTCACAGCCGCTGCGATTGCCGCCGCACAAACTTGGGAGGAGTTTGCGAAGGCCGCCAAGGATGCTGTGACCCTTCTCTTCTGGATCGGTCTTCGCAGCCAACAGGCATATCCACGAACCTCTCTCGCTCCTTCTACGCTTCAAGACTCCATCGAGAATGGTGAAGGTACCCCGACTCCCATGTTGTCCATCCGTGACCTCAACCGTCAAGCCGTGCAAGAGCATATTGATGCCACCAATCAACATCTGCCACAAGACAGGCACATTGCAATTTCCCTAGTCAACAGTGCGCGCAATTTCGTTGTTACAGGACCTCCAATCTCCCTATATGGATTAAACTTGCGTCTGCGCAAAGTCAAGGCTCCAACAGGTTTGGACCAGAATAGGGTGCCCTTCACGCAACGGAAGACCAGATTTGTGAACCGGTTCCTTCCCATCACTGCGCCATTTCATAGTCCTTATTTATCCTCCGCATATGACCAAATATTAGAGGATGTTGAAGGAATTGAGATTCCTGCCAAGTCACTTGCCGTACCTGTGTTTGACACCAAGACTGGCGAGGATCTCAGAACCTATGGTGACAAAAACATTGTTTCAGAATTGGTGCGCATGATTACCAGGGATCCTGTGAACTGGGAGCAAGCTACTGTCTTCACTGGCTCTACTCACATTGTCGATTTTGGTCCAGGTGGTATTTCTGGCTTGGGTGTTCTCACCAACCGCAACAAAGAAGGCACTGGAGTGCGTGTCATTCTCGGTGGCGCGATTGACGGCACGAATGCTGAGGTTGGCTACAAACCGGAACTATTCGATCGCGACCAACATTCGGTTCAATTTGCCGTAGACTGGGTTCGCGAACATGGGCCTCGTCTTGTTAAAACCTCTGTCGGTCAGACTTATGTTGACACCAAGATGAGCAGGCTTCTGGGTGTCCCTCCGGTGATGGTTGCTGGTATGACCCCTACCACTGTTCCATGGGACTTTGTCGCTGCCACCATGAATGCTGGTTACCACATTGAATTGGCCGGTGGTGGTTATTACAACGCCAAGACGATGACAGAGGCGCTCAACAAGATCGAAAAGGCCATTCCTCCCGGCCGCGGTATTACTATTAACCTCATTTACGTAAATCCTCGTGCAATGGGCTGGCAAATTCCTCTCATTGGTAAGCTCCGTGCCGATGGTGTGCCTATCGAAGGTCTCACAATTGGTGCTGGTGTGCCATCCATTGAGGTCGCAAATGAATACATTGAGACTCTGGGTATCAAACACATTGCCTTCAAGCCAGGTTCTGGGGATGCCATTCAACAAGTCATCAACATTGCTAAGGCCAACCCTTCATTCCCCGTCATTCTCCAATGGACTGGTGGTCGTGGTGGCGGTCATCATTCTTTCGAAGATTTCCATCAACCCATCCTGCAGATGTATGGCCGAATCCGTAAATGCAGCAACATTGTGCTTGTCGCGGGCAGTGGATTCGGTGGTTCCGAGGATACATATCCTTATCTTACCGGAACTTGGTCATCTAAGTTCGGTTATCCCCCGATGCCTTTCGATGGTTGTATGTTTGGTAGTCGCATGATGACAGCCAAAGAAGCGCACACGTCCACCAATGCCAAGAAGGCCATTGCTGCAGCCCCCGGTGTTGATGACGATGAATGGGAAAACACATACCAGAAACCCACTGGAGGTGTGATCACAGTCTTGTCTGAAATGGGTGAGCCAATCCACAAACTAGCCACTCGTGGTGTGCTTTTCTGGAGTGAATTGGATAAGAAGATTTTCTCGCTCGACAAGGCCAAACGTGTGCCAGAGTTGAAGAAGAATAGGGATTGGATTATCAAGAAATTGAATGATGATTTCCAGAAGGTGTGGTTCGGTCGTAATGCCGCAGGTGTGACTGTGGATTTGGAAGACATGACATATACTGAAGTCGTTCACCGTATGGTTGAACTGATGTACGTCAAACACGAATCTCGCTGGATTGACCAGAGCCTCAAGAAACTCACCGGCGATTTCATTCGTCGTGTTGAAGAACGTTTCACATCCTCAGAAGGCCAAGCCTCGCTTCTCCAAAATTATACCGATATTGATACGCCATATCCCACAGTTGACAAGATCTTGTCCGCTTATCCTGAAGCATCTACTCAATTAATTAATGCCCAGGATGTGCAGCACTTCCTCTTACTATGCCAGCGACGTGGTCAGAAACCTGTTCCATTCGTCCCTTCACTGGATGAGAATTTTGAATTTTGGTTCAAGAAAGACTCTCTGTGGCAATCAGAGGATCTGGAGGCGGTTTACGGTCAAGATGTTGGCAGAACTTGTATTTTGCAGGGCCCCATGGCTGTCAAATATTCCAACGCTATTGACGAGCCTGTCCAGGAGATCCTCGATAACATTCACAATAATCACATCAAGTTCTTGACCCGTGACACCTACGCAGGCAAGCAAGCTGATGTCCCTGTCATCGAATACTTCGGTGGGCAGAGTCTTCAGTCTCATGTTGAGGAACCTGAGATCGACGGTCTTACCATTTCTCAAGATGGTAGCAAAACATGTTATCGACTTTCGAGCTCTTCGTCTGCAGCCCTCCCTGATCTAGAAAGCTGGATTCAGCTGCTCGCCGGCAATACATACTCGTGGCGTCACGCTCTTTTCACTGCCGAAGTGTTTGTTCAGGGTCAACGATTTGAGACGAACCCACTCAAAAGATTACTCGCACCTACAAGGGGCTTGTATGTCGAGATAGTGGCTCCTGAAAATCCTGAAAAGACCGTTATTAGTGTCAGAGAGCCCAGTTCATCATCCAAGTTGGTCAAGACACTAGAGGTCAAGTTGGTTGCACCGAAGGAGATTGCTCTCACCCTGTTTGAAGGCCGAACAGCCGAAGGTGGTGTTGTTCCTTTGACATTCCGCTTCACTTATCACCCCGAGACGGGATATGCTCCTATTCGTGAAATCATGGAGAACCGCAACGATCGGATAAAGGAATTCTACTATCGTGCGTGGTTTGGAGAAAGCAACGTTCCTTTCGATACCCCAATTACCGCTATCTTTGATGGCGGACGTGAAACTGTCACAGCACAGGCAGTGGCTGACTTCGTACATGCCGTTGGCAATACTGGTGAAGCTTTCGTTAACCGCCCAGGTCAAGACACTTACGCCCCCATGGACTTCGCCATTGTGGTGGGATGGAAGGCTATTACCAAGCCAATCTTCCCTCGGAGAATTGATGGTGACTTACTCAAGCTAGTCCATCTGTCTAATGGTTTCCGAATGGTTCCTGGCGCTCAACCTCTCAAGGTCGGAGATGTTCTAGATACAACTGCTCAGATCAATGCTGTCATCAACCAGAGCTCGGGCAAGATGGTTGAGGTCTGCGGTACTATCAAACGTGATGGCAAACCAATCATGCATGTCACCAGTCAATTCTTGTATCGAGGCACCTATGATGACTACGAGAACACTTTCCAGCGCAAGGATGAAGTCCCTATGCAAGTGCACCTTTCCTCAACAAAGGATGTTGCTATTCTTCGATCAAAGGAGTGGTTCCGTATGGATGAATCTGATGTGGAACTCCTCGGACAGACTTTGACTTTCCGACTTCAGAGTCTTGTTCGCTTCAAGAATCAATCAGTCTTCAGCAGCGTGCAGACTATTGGGCAGGTGCTGCTTGAACTGCCCACAAAGGAAATCATTCAGGTGGCCTCTGTTGACTACGAGGCTGGTCTGTCTCACGGTAACCCAGTTGTTGATTATCTTGAGCGAAACGGCTCCTCCATTGAGCAGCCAGTGAACTTTGAGAACCCTATCCCGCTCAGCGGTAAGACACCACTCGAGCTGCGTGCTCCTGCTTCCAACGAGAACTATGCTCGCGTCTCCGGTGATTACAATCCGATCCACGTTTCCCGCGTGTTCTCCAGCTACGCCAAGCTTCCTGGCACTATCACTCACGGAATGTATTCCAGTGCTGCTGTGCGAAGCCTGGTGGAGACTTGGGCAGCTGAGAATAATATTGGCCGTGTCCGTAGCTTCCATGTCAACCTCGTTGGAATGGTGCTTCCCAATGATGCCATAGCTGTGAAACTTGAGCACATTGGTATGATTGCTGGTCGGAAAATCATCAAGGTGGAAGTCCGCAACAAGGACACTGATGAGAGCGTGTTGCAAGGTGAAGCGGAGGTTGAACAACCCGTTTCTGCATACGTTTTCACTGGTCAAGGCTCTCAGGAGCAAGGAATGGGTATGGATCTCTATGCTAGCAGCGAGGTGGCTAAGGAAGTCTGGGACCGTGCCGATAAGCACTTTTTGGCAAACTATGGCTTCTCCATCATTGATATTGTGAAGAACAACCCCAAGGAACTTACAGTTCACTTTGGTGGTCCACGTGGAAAGGCTATCCGCCAGAACTACACATCGATGACTTTCGAGACTGTCAATGCTGATGGATCCGTTAAGTCGGAGAAGATTTTCAAGGAAGTCGATGAGAATACTACTTCTTACACCTATCGGTCTCCGACAGGTCTTTTGTCCGCAACCCAGTTCACCCAACCAGCTTTGACGTTGATGGAGAAGGCCAGCTTCGAGGACATGCGTGCCAAGGGTCTTGTTCAAAGAGACAGCAGCTTCGCCGGACATTCGCTTGGTGAATATTCTGCCCTCGCCGCCCTTGCAGAGGTTATGCCTATTGAAAGTTTGGTGTCTGTTGTGTTTTACCGTGGTTTGACCATGCAAGTCGCGGTGGAACGTGATGAACAAGGACGCTCCAATTACTCGATGTGCGCTGTCAATCCTAGCCGTATCTCGAAGACTTTCACCGAGCAAGCTTTGCAATACGTTGTTGAGAATATCTCGGAAGTTACTGGATGGTTGTTGGAGATTGTCAACTACAACGTGGCCAACATGCAATATGTGGCTGCTGGAGATGTAAGCAAGCACTCTTCTTTTATTTCGTCTACACATGCTAACAAGTTTGTTTCATTTAGTTGCGTGCACTTGACACTCTAACAAATCTGCTCAACGTACTCAAAGCGCAGAAGATCGATATTCAAGCGCTCATGCAGACAATGTCTCTTGAAGACGTGAAGGAGCATCTAGTTACAATTATTCAGGAGTGTGTCAAGCAAACCGAGGCGAAGCCCACACCAATCACTTTGGAACGTGGATTTGCTACCATACCTCTTCGTGGAATCGATGTGCCTTTCCACAGTACCTTCCTGCGCTCTGGTGTCAAGCCATTCCGATCCTTCCTTCTCAAAAAGATTAACAAGACCACCATCGACCCAAGCAAGCTGGTTGGAAAGTACATTCCTAACGTCACCGCTCGTCCATTCGAAATCACGAAGGAGTATTTCGAGGATGTTTACCGACTAACCGGCTCCCCTCGTATTGCCAACGTGTTGGCCAACTGGGACAAATACGAGGATTCAAAGGATAGCAGCAACACTGCCGCTGCTGCTAGTTCTTAATTTCTTCGTTAATAGAAAAAAGGCGGGGTTATCAAAAAGGGATTAAAGGATTTATTATATTTCTTTTTTTCTAATGCTGTTTAATACTTTTCTTTTTTGTCTACTCTAGCTCATTTTTTGATGTCATGCATGAATGAATTGGTTTCCTACTTTCTATACATATCGTTTGTTTGTCTGTGTTCGCTTCGAATTGGTATTAGAATAGGTCGGTTTGTTATACTTGCTATCGTTAGATGATGTTTATGGCACATCATTATTCAATATCCTTTTCTGACGAGTAGGTAGTATAATGTGGACAGTAATTGTATTGATTGAGCAACCAGATATATACTCATATATATAAAATGTAATTCAGAAGCCTGATCCAAGGTACGGCACGAATTGATACTGTTGGGATATTCCCGAAGCGATTGAGCAATCTCGACATGCCTTTCCCTCTCTGCATAGCTCGCTGCCCCCTTCACCTCATCTCCCAGCATCATCTGTAGCATTTTAGCCGGGCTATGTAAAACGCCTGGCTTATATGGCATATTGAAGATTGGCAACGACTGAGCTCTAATTGTCATTCGGGCTGCTGATTGTCAAAAGAAGACATCAAACCGTGATAGTTACTTGGCAACACTTACATAACAGTACGTACTTGCATTTCTCTTTGTAAGCGAATGCATGGAAGGTTGTCAGTGTACACTTCTCGCAGTACAATAGAAGTTGAAGAATACTCCAAAGTCTGGAGTGGATGTCCGGACACCCTCAGGAGTAGCGATATCTTCCAACAGTTGCAGCCGGCTTGTATGCGTAACATTTCTGGCAATTTCTTTGTCGACTTCTGATCGTGACTTTTTCCTTCCATAGATGCTGAACTCGGTATCCTTGCCTTTCTCCAGCTTTCGCTTTCTCTGTCTTTGGTCTGCCAAGGCCCAAAAAGTAGCATTTGGGAAGATGGTAGTACGTCGCTTTAAAGCCATGCCTTTCCTCCATAGTCCGCATCGTTTGTTCCAGCGTTCCCTTGGGGGAGAAATAAAGAGCAGTAATCTCGTCCCTGTATTGTTCCCATATTGGAGCGGCGATCCGAGGGGCTTTCGCTACCATCTTCAGAGTGGATGCCAATAGGTGAAGAAGAAAAGAGCTTAGGACAATTTCCGGCGTTTCTTTGCATGTTTGGGCAGTCCTGTCACGAATATAGAAGAAGAAGCTGGACAGAAGGAGAGGGAGGTCGTTGCTCTTACAGCTAGAAGGGAAAGAGCGCATGTATGATGATTCGCCATGGCGCAAATCTTGTTTGCTTTTTATTTTATAGACCTGGAAGCCCTTATAGACCCATTGCATTTCATTTCATTGCATTTCATTAGTGTCGCCATAATAGGCGTCACTAAGCTCCCCCGAAAGCAACCCGGAAGGAATGCGGCGATCCACATTAACCGTAGTATGTATTTGTCGCGCATATGCATATACCAGTAAATGCTATTCTTATTGCGGCCGAGACTCGCACTTGAAGTGCATCACGAGGCTGAAAGAAGCCCACTTCACTGTAAAAGCAGCGTTACGCCGTATCCACGCGATTCCGCGGGCAAAGCTAGGCTTTAAGCTAACTAGTTACTATATATGGTTTAGCGTAGCCGCATAACCGCAGAATACCCCACACCGCTAGCAAGTTTGACCCTTATATGTCCGCATTAAAATTAACAGCAACTAGTAGTAGTGAGTTTCGAAATCTTGATTTCCATGCATCTATATAAAGGCCTGATGGTCTCGCCCGTCCCGATGGCGATGTTCAGTCTATCATTGCGAATGAGTTGACCTCAGTTCAAATGGCGTGGTCAGTGGACACAACCATCGCCCTGGTCACTCTGATTGTGTCGTGTCCTCCCACACTGCTGCTGATATGGACTTTATTTGCGAGACGAACACGTCGAAGAACCCTTGAAGCAGGTACATCTTCCAACTACTCCTTAGTCTGCCTGTTCGACAGCTAAGCGTGATTGTTGGTCCTAGGCCTTTTACCGCACCGTCAAGTTCATCATGGACCAGCGTCTCCAAGACCGCATGCAAGCAACATACCACCATATACTCAGAGCATCCAAATGCAGATTGTTCGTTTATACTATTTCCTATGTCAGACCTCCAGTGCCTCGTCAATGACCAATCTAACAATTGGCATAGTTCATGGCACAAACCACAACATCATCATCTCCATACCCTCCCCGCGAGGAATTTGTCTCGGTCGAGGGATGAATCATGATCTCACCACGGTAACCCGGGAATGACAGTATGAAATGGCATATTTCTATTATTGAATAGTATATCTCTGCTATTCTGCCCGGTCCGGTCCTGTACCATCATCTATCATATTATGTTATGTACTTACATCTTTCTTTTCTCTTCCTTGCATTCATCATGTTGAATCATTGAAAAGCGAAAGAGACCCTTTAATGTCTTCCTTCTCCTGTATCTTTCCACAGTCCATAGAGTTCATCAAGCGTGTTTGTTTGTTTACCTGCTCAAGTCTCCTTCAAAACACCAGGTCGTAACAACCGATCCTCCTTCCCATAGACACCGACATCCTTCACAATAGCGATAAAGCGGCGATGGTTTTCTTTCGATTCGCCAATGCGAGGATGGAAGATTTTCAGGAGATCGCGACTGGCAATTCCTGATGCTGGGATGGCCGCGTGGATTTCAGCCGGGGTTGGGAAGCTTTGGTTTGCTGCAACTGATGGTCGCGGTGTAGAGACACGTGCTGGGGCTGATGTCATGTTAGTGCCTTATATATGTTAATTTGTAGCAAGGAGTGCTGTAGAGACATCATACCCTTCAAAGATGAACCTCCTTCTGGGGTCCCGGCACGTAGAGGCGCTGGACTACCGGAGCGTGAGCCAAGAGGAGTTCCGGCTCGGGATAGATTGAGTTTCAGCTTCTTTGCCTTGCCGGTGTCGCTAAGGTCTGCTCCTGAGGCGGCGCCTCCTTCGATGTCGCTTCCAGAACCTGGTCCACCGACGCGATTTCTCTTCTTGCTTGCCTATTATAATCGTTAAAAATCTATGAATGGAAGCGAAGCAGAAAGGACTTACAGCTAGAGCCGAGTTGGGAGAAGGAACACCTGCATGCTTGGGCTTTTTCCGAGACGTGTCTGTTCCACTGGCATCGGATAGATTGGGAGATCCAATACGCTTGCGACCAATGCCGCTCGGCTTTTTCAATGCATCGATATGCTTAGGACGGCCAGACGGCGTGCTCGTGCCCTTCGTTGATGCACCAGATTCTTTCTCTTTATCCTTTGCGGCGGCCTTTTCGTCCTCCGTTTTCTTGTCCTCTTCTTTGACATTCTCAGCATCGGTGTCTTCGTCAGAACTCTGCAAAACGAACGTCAGTAAGGTAGGGGGAAAAAATCTCAATTCCACGTGTATCAACGTACCTCTTCGTCCGAGTACGGGTTCACGTCCGAGCCACTGCTATAATCGTAGTTCTTCTCTCGTTTCTGTAGCGCCTTTCGCACCTTCTTTCCAAACTCCTTGCGAGCCTCTCTTTCTCTCTTCTCTTTAAGCTCTTCTTCATCGTAATCTTTCTCTTCTTTAAGATTGAAAATATTTGCCTTGAGCTGGTCCTGCTTGATACGCTTCTCTGCAGCTTTAGCATCTTCATCCTCTTCGAACAGACCAGCGTCGACTTCTTCGTCGTCTGCAAACCTATCCTCTTCGAAATCCATGTCGTCACCTTCCAACCCGGCGGTAGCAACTTCCTTGCCTCGATATACTTTTCTCTGCTTGGCGTAAGCGTCTAGTTCTTTTTGGCGAACTGCTTCCTGCTGCTTTTCCATGAACCATCGCGGGTCCTTGATCTTCTTCGACATGAACTTCTCGGCTTCTTCGATCGTCAACGTTTTGAACGCGCTTCTCGCATTGAACCGATACCATTTATCGATAGGAACCATTCTCATCTTCCCAGTCGGCTCGAGCACGAACATCGCATAGGTCTCAGAAAGAGCAGCCTCGTAATTCCCCACCCAGGTATTTTTATTGTCAAAATCTTCCAGATGCCACGGCAGTGCTTCCTCATACTTGACCCGTGCCTTGGCTATTTCCTCTGCAGTCATGTCTGCTTTCATGACCTGCTGGGTCTTCGGCTTCGGGTAATTGGGTTTCTTCTGCGCTGTAGATGCTGACGGTGCAATTTGAGCAAGATTCTCTTCACGCTCCTTCTCTCGCGCAGCCTTCTTTGCTTCGAACTCCTCCCGCTCAGCCTCATCCATACCATTGGCGCCTTGTATGCCTGGCTTTCCATCCTCTTGTTTAAGGGCGTCGGGTTCCGCGGGTTTTGCTCGAGGGTCGCGACGCTGTAGTCGAACTGGGCGAGTAAACTGTTCCTCGTTCCTAGGATCAATGGTCTTCTTTGAAATAAACTTGGCAACATGATGCTTGAGTCCCTCTCGCAATGCGCGCTTCGTGGTAACCAGCGGATAATCCGTTACAGCAGTAGAGAGTGGCGAACCACTAAATCCATTCACAGTCACGTCAGCTCGTGGATTCAGGCGTGGAAGTCGAATCGGCGGGGGTTCTGTGGCATTTCTCATGGCCGACTGAGCTGCGATAGGAAGTCTCGAGACTGGCGCACCGTTTGCTGCAGGGTTACCAGCAACGTTCCTTCCGGGCGGCGGCCTCCTCTTGGGTCGCACCAGAGGATCTGCTGCCCTTGGACGACGAATCTTCATCATCGGAGCACCGCCGGGCTGGGTGCGGATGGCTTTTGGGTCCGTGGGCGTGGCCATGTTGACGAGCTACGACGGAAACAGGTGCTCTTGCGATGAGGGAGGATGGCAGTATTGGCAGACTTGCCACCGTTCAGATAGCAACGTGTATCTCACTTCCGACTCAGTGGAAACGAATAGGGAATAGCCATGAGATGCTAGATATGCGGTCTATCTGTCTCACAATTATGGCTGGTCGAGGGTAACGCGACAAAGGTAGTTAGTTCCTTTCTTCGGAAGCAAGAAGAGGTCCGCTTCAAGTCAAAAGACCGCCGCGGATCGCTGCCTTAGGCAACCGACTAGCGTCATCGGCCAAATTAGTCGCGCGGCTCTTCTACTATATGATAATCTTCAAGTGAAAAGCCAACTTTCTATTAGGAAGCAGGCCGAGCTCATGCTAAAATATCCACTATCTTGTCATCATCGTCATCATCCCCCTCCTTATTTTCCTCAGTCCCCAGAATCGCCCCCGGCTGTTGACCACTAAGAGCCAGAGCGCGAGCCATGGCCTCCTTTTCAGTCTCATTCTCTTCTCCTTCCTCCCCGCGCATCAACACCTGAACCAATCGATCACATCCTTCTCGGACTTCTTCATTCTCAACGTGCAGATGGCATTCACGAATAATCGGATAAACCTGTACCTGCCTCATCCTGTCGCGGCCTTCCCGGGTTGTAGTCAATAATAAGAGAGTCTCTAGATGGGCAAGAATGATCTGATTATCCGGCTCTCGCTTCTTGTCTGGGGGAAGCAGTTGCAAATCTGGTAGCATTTCCGATGTTTCGTCATCCGGGTATTCTTCCGATCCCATGATTGGGAGCAAGATATAAGGCAGCAAGCTTGCACCGGTATCATCGTCTTCAGAAAGAAGCGTAGGGTGCGATGGCACGTCAAAGCAGACGTTCTTCATAGTCCAAGCTACTCCGCGTCGCCGAATATCACTCGAGTGCTCGGTGAAGACGAGAAGTTTGGTGACGGGGATCACGGAATCATAATCCTGTTTTGTCGTGAAGAATTTTCGACCTTCTTCTGTGTTGGAAATATCGGCAAATAGATATGCCAGATAGTCGTAGTCTGCTTTCTTGTTCAATGCACCCTCGGCGCCCTTGACGAAGCAGTCCATCAACTGGTTCAGCGCGTTTGTCGAGGTAGAAACATTGTCTACATTCTTTCTGGAAAGAGAGACGACTCGGCCAAAACTCTCTGCTTTGGCAAGATTTGCCAGTAGCATTGCAATGTCATCTGCATTTGGCTCCTCTGGGTTCTACGGCAAGTTAGCTAGCGATCCATCTATGCCCAGCAGGGTTCCAGGCGTAGTATAGGGGACTAACAGTGATTTTGGCCATTAAGACCTCCAAGAAAGCATCATCATCTGCAAGACATCTCAAAATCTGGCCATCCGCTGACAAGTTTATCAGCATGGTAAGTGCATCTTTGGCAATGGCCTAGACATGGTTGCCTGTATTAGCATAATCAATCCTTTCTTTTTTTGGAAGATGGACAACTGACTGGATGGTCTCGAACAAGCACTTTCAAAACTCGTATTGGCTGCAGTTCCTGCCTTTTGAAGAGCGATGGCTGGCTGGAGGAGAAGACAGTGAGATTCGCAGCAGCTATTTCGGTTAGTCTGGTTTCTTTCGTACTCATGTGAGGAATTAAACCTACCGATCTGTCTTATTTGGATATTTTCATGGCCGAGAAAGTCCACCAACTAGAAGAACCGTGTTGGTCAATTCGATCAGACAGACATGGTCATACATATATAGTATATAGCATGGGAAGTATGGCCAAAACTAACCTCCTCCAATTCGGTAGGCATTTTGATATATACTCCTATTCGCGGTAGAATCAAAGTTTATTCGTTCTTGTCGTTGAATACAAATAAAATGTACAGTGTTGGAACAGTAGTCGTAATAATGGAAGATGATTTTTATTTTATATAGATTTGTGACATAAATTTATGGTGGGGAAGATTCCCACATGCTCATTGGCGGGGCAGTCTTGCCCTTCCGCTACATCTTCTACAACTGTTGTCGAACTACCTCCCCTACCTGCATCTATCTGGCAATTCTCTGTGTTTGACGACCACGTCAATCCTCCATATCAAGCCACTGCAAACGCTGAGCCAGGTCATGATCGGTTTGCTCTTGGTCTCTTCTCATCCATAGCTCGTCCCGATACCGAGGACGAGCAACCACGAACCGGGGGCGAAGCCAGATTGCCTCAGGTGGAACGGGATTGAAGTCAAGAATATCACCGCGCGCTCTCTCCTGCGTATTGTAATTGAACCACGGACAGTCGCATGTCTTCCACTTCGCACCGCACACCATACAGAACTGAGCACCGCATCGACATGTCATATGGTTGCATCCTTCTTTCAGTTCCACCAAAGAAGAACAGTCATAGCATCTCTTCCAGCCTTGCTGTTGGGCCATCTCTTCTAGTTTCTGGACGCTTTCATCCTTGGGGCATTCCTTCTTGTTTCCGTGCCACTTGCCGCGGCACATACAGCACACTTTGGTCTTACACCGGGAGCATTGTCCGTACTTGCGACCAGTATCACGGTGCTTGAATATTTGACTGGGTTTGATCCACTCCCCGCAATCTTTCGACGGGCAGTAGTATCTGTTCTTCGTTGTGTATTCCTTGTACTTCTGGTCCCATTTCGTCTTGAATTTCTGATCGAACAATATCTCAACATATCTGGCAGGAATCTGGTCCTGCGTGCAGCATCGCGGCGGCATATGTTGTGGATCTGTCACGGACAACGTGAAGAGTCGCCGAAGACATGTGTAGCACATGCGATGAGAGCAGGCGAGTTTCGCAGACTTGGTGATTGGTATATCATCCGATAAGCAACTCACGCAGGCCACTCTGCCCTTGAACATCAGCACGTGGCATTATACTCAGGGGACAAACGCTATTCATTTGTTTATTAGTGTTTACCTCTTGACAGCTTTCTCGGCTGGAGGGTTGAAGAGCAGCGAAAGGAGGCTCGTAGGTCTCCGTCGTTCTTTTTGCAAATTATCCACTCTAGGTTCTGCGAGAACTGATGGATTTGTGGCTCGGGGTGCACTAGACCCTTCGACTAGACTAGGACCATGTCTTCACTTCGTATAAGCAAATCATGAAAATTGCGTTAATGCGCTGAAACCGAATAGGTGAGTGCTTAGGTAAGTGATGACACATACCGGGGAGCAGAATGAGAATGATGGCGACGATGTTGATGATGACTTCTCTGTGGCTCGCTTTTCCTGCTTGCTTCTCTAGGAGAAGAATGATGCCTTCTTTCCTGACGCGAATACTCGTGGGCTTGATGACTTCCTGCTACACCTCGCGCTGGCCGTCGTGGTTTTTCACGGAAATCGCCCAAGAGAATGTCTTCCCAATGAATTCCTCTTCTTGCCGACGGCCTGCGACTACCTGTATGAGTTCTGGCCGACATTATCGAAATACTAGTTATGTACTATTCAGTGTTTTAAAATCCTCCGAATAGACATCAGAATGGCAGTGCTATCACCTAGGTAGGTGTTGCATGTGCTACTACTATGCGGCGGTTGTGGCGGCCATCCAGTTAGGCACCAATGTCTAATGGAGCAGCTGACAACGCAATCGTCTCTCGACGCAATTGGACGATAGAGAAGCCTGCACATACTCTATCGGCACTTGTTGTTCAACTTAGCTCTTGTCTACGTCTGTTGTATACTTCCGTGGACCAATCAGCTTGCATGTAGACATCCACGTCTGTGATATTAAACATCACTATTTACTCCAGCTCATCAATCAAGCAGAGATAGTCAATTATATACGAATATTCTATTTAATTTGGAGTGTCTACGTAGGTACTCTCGAACCCACCCAGTGCTGACAGCAGTCTAGTACTCCAGGCGGCCATGGACATGGCTCCAAAGCTCTTCCACAATCTCCTTCTGCCCCTGACCACCAGGCGACGGCCGCACAGCCAGATATGCTCGCCCATCAATTGCAGGATCCCAATCCCCCTTATTCCCTCCAACCATGATGCCTCCAGCCTCCGCAAGCACAACCCACGCAGCACATACATCCCACGCCCAACAGCCCCCTTCCCAGTACAAATCAATCGTCCCCGACGCAACAGCACAGATATTCAAAGCCGCGGACCCCATACTCCGAATCGAATGCACCATTGCGCCTCCATTCTCGCGTGTCTTGCCCAAACTCGCAAACGTCTGTATCTTAGTCTCCCAATTGGGCCCGCTGCGCTCCGAGCCCCATTCCAGCGCTACCAGGGCCTTGTCCAGACCGTCCAGAGCTTCTAGCTGCTCGCCCTGTTTTAGAGGTAATGATGTAGTGCGATTGAGGAAGGCGCCGCAGCCGCGAATGGCAGAGTACAGGGTCGACGTGAATGGGTTGTAGATTACGCCGACGACGGGCTTGCGTGCGATTGCGAAGCCGAGGGAAATGCATGAGCTGGGGAAGCCGTGCACGAAGTTGACGGTGCCGTCGATGGGGTCGACGACGAAGGTGGGTTGGTCGGTGAGTGGGCGGTCGGGAGAGTATGTCTCTTCGCCGTGGAAGCTTGTTACGGCGTCAGTCATCTAGTCCGTGAGCGTAGAGTTTTTTGGTTGTCTTACTCGTAGTCCGGATACTTTGCTTTCAGTCTCTGCGAGACCATGCTTTCCACGGCCTTGTCATATTCAGTGACCAAGTCTGAGCCTGGAGAGTCTGTTAGGACGATAGCGTGCCAGCGTGACGGTGTTTCTGGCTTACTGTTTTTCTTGGAGTCTGACGAGTCAATAGTAGGCAGACTGCTGGTAATCACCTTGCCGGCCTCGGCGGCCAGGTCGACGAGGAAATCATGGATTTCCTGCAGGTCGGGGGTGTTCTCGTGTTCTTTTGACTCGGGCATGGTAGGTGGAAGTTGATAGTTGACGAGGATCGCGGATGACGTACCGAGGGGCAGCGGGTATAATAAATGCGACAACACAACACTAAGTTGATATCTCATTGCTCAAATATTCTATAAACCTATGTACAAGCTAGATATTCATTTCCAGGTCACCAAACTCCAAATGAAATACTAAAAACACAGTAGATAAATACTAAACACGCCCTTCCCCATCGTCGTGGTCTTCACGGTCACTGTGTGCATCAGACACCGAGTCACCCCCAGAAAAGTAGCGATCAGACCACTGCGCAGAATCTGCCGATCTGCGTGACTGTCTATCTGGGCTAGGACTGGTGCGCTCCATGGTTATATGGCCATTCGCCTCTCCCTGCTGGCCAACACTTTGAGACGAATTCGCAGGTCGAAGTGGAAGTTGTTGTTTCTGTCTGCGCGAAGACGCACGCTCAGCTGGTTCAATAGTCTCCTCTCCTGAATCGGTCACCTTGATATTCAAGGGCTTCGCTCTCTCCATATTTGATTCCAGCGCATCGTCCGTTGTTGCGGACAACGAATCGCCAAAATGGTTGTCCACGAGATGTTTCACTACGGGCCAACCATAGGCATTCGAAAACATGCGTCGGACGATGATATTGTTGTGCGCGTCGGGCTCGAGTCGTACAAGAACCTTGCGCCATGAGATCTCGTGATGATAGGCTCTGGCTATTTTCTCTTCCACTCGCAGACCACTTCCGGGAAAGCCACGGGCGGATGCTTGCTCTATATTTTCAGCGTCTAACATGTTGTTGTTGTGCGAATTCCGCGAACCGGTGAATATGGTGCCGCGCTTCTTGAGGATAGGAGGCGGTATATCATCTGGATGGTATATACGGTCATGAAAAATAGTCCGCGGCCTTGATGTTGGGTCCATGATAAATTCTGTCGGAGGTAACGGGGGTCTCAGCACGTCGCCGGCAGATTCAAAGATTGTGGTTCGGGGAGGAACACTGAGGTCCTGTTCATCGTATAATGAGCTGCCTCTGACAATCTGCTGTTGGTGGTGAGTATCTATCGGATCAGACATCTCGGTGGAATCACCGGAATGTGCAATTGTTTGGCTCCTCCGGATGATTTTGGTGCTCTTTTTGCTAGATGAAGAACTTCTGGAGTTCTTGGACTGGAACATAGTAAAGATATGGTTGAAAGGGTTTGGGGACGACGAGTTTTCCCTGGAAGGAGAGCTGGAACCTGCAGTTGTAGGCGACATCGGCTCTGGTTCCTCGTGCATTGTAGCTCCAAGAATCTGATGCTGAGCTGGCGAGGATGGAACAGCGGCTTCATCGGTCAACCTTGGTGTTGTCGTCCTCTCAACTATATAGGGAAGAGTCTGCGCTTTATGGGCTGCAGACGGACTCGGGGGGAAGTGGTTCTGATTCGGCGAAGGTGAATTGGCTCCAGTGAGCTCTGCCCAGCCCCATTCTGCCATTGTACCTACGAGGCCATTCCCTCTCCGGGCCTTTTGGACTCTATCCAGACCCCTCCAGTCAAGGAAGAGCAAGCACGAAGTGCGTAGAGGCACGATGCCATCATTCACGACATTCGAGTAAACAGTCCGGTTCCTAAATCGGCGCAGGACCTGATGAGTTGGACCGGCAGGCAGGATTCGCAGTAATGGCTTGGAAGCCGACGCAGGCTGTTCCTGGGCCGACTTTGAGGTACCTGCAAATTTACTGATCACTGCATCCCACCTACTTCGGACCCTGGGCGACGTCCAACTCAGCCCAAGATCCTGCCCGGTTTTACCGACCAAGCCAAGATCCAAGGCAAAACGGACATAGACAGGGTTTTCATTGCTGAGTCCCAGGAACGGGGTGGCTAGCGCGACAAAATTAATCGGTTTGATGCGGTCAAAGAATTCAGGCGAATGCTTGTGGATATAGGCAATAGCATAAGTCTGAATGAGGCCACCCAGCGAGTGTGCAATGAAACTTATGCTAGTAACCTGGCATCCAGACTGGTCACCAAAAATGGGATCTTGATCGATCCAATTCTCAGGGTTTGCATTCGCATTCTTCTTTTGTTTTTTCTTGCTGACTGGCAGATAAGGCTGATCCGGATATGTCAGAAGTAGAACGTATTTGGCGAGCCGTTTTCCGAGATATTGGATTCCACGTTCTGTGCGAGTAACATTTCCGGGAAATCCTCGGACAATGACTTCTTCATCCTCTTCTCCCTCCGGCTCGTCGTCCTCTGCGCTATCTGAAGATGGACTCGGATACTCGGGTATACTTAGACCATCAAAACCTTGAATCCCAATCCCAGTAGACTTTTTTCTCGAACTATTCTTCGCCTTCTTTGCTGCTGCTGCTCCGGCATCAATGCTCTCTTTCAGATAGAGCATATCAGCTCCCAGATTACTATGCAGGCCGTGGGTCAATATCACAAGATGAACACGTTTTCTTTTTTCCTTTGCAGCATTATTTTCCGCTGAATCCGAGGGGTTGTTGCGGGTTTGAGCGGGCACGCTTCGAACTCCTCCTGCATTGTTCTTCTCTCTTTCTTTGAGCGGTAGACAACTAGGAGTGTTCCAAAGGCTTTTCGTATCGTTGAACACCAAATTGACCGATTTCGAAAACACCCCCTTAGTAGCAATAACTGGGACCAGATTTTCCCCTCTTAAGCTCTGGTGGTCGTACATGTGGGCCGCTGGAGGTATGCTAGAAGAGGACAAGGAGCCATTGACGCCGAACTCGAGTGATTTCCGGTCACGGCCAACAAGCAATTCAAAATGGACCGCTGCCGAAGAAGAAAATATCACCTGAGAAGTGATCTCGATAACCCATGTTACACTTCTTCTACTTCGCTCAGCATTGGCGTTCCTGGTGGCCGATGGCACGGTAAGCCGTGTCTCCTCCGGCACGGGGATTGTTGCTGTCCAATTTCCGCCGGCTTTGAGGTACGGTTCATATTGGGGGATATCTCTGTAATCACCGTCATGGTGTTGATGGTTGGCATCGAAATTCGCAGGATAGCATGCCGTGTAAAGCGTGTAGGGTCCGTGAAGGTACGCGGCTCGCAGGGGAATGGCGGATGTATTCTTCACTTTGACATGAAGCTCGGAGGGAGTGGGCAGGATTTGGTCTAGGTCAGGAGTGTATGTCAAGGTGTATCTGCATTGAAATTTGAACAGTCAACATACAAATGCCAATGTAAAAAGTCATAATTTTTAAATGCTATCTCTCCCATCGGAATAGAAAATTGCGTACCTCACAACCTCGCCAACACGAACATAGCCCGATTGATGCACTAGCAACATCTTATATGCTCTTTCAGTCTCGGCTTTATCGGCGTGCCAGCCTGTGAGGGAATGGAATCTTGCTGACAGGTGTATGTTATCGGACGAGCGGTTCCATCGATCTGTTCTATCTTCTTGGGCGAGTTGATAGGTCCTCGGCGTGATGAGCATGGAGGCTGGCTGGCTAGTCAGTCAGTTCTTGCGCTGTTATGATGCCGTGATTCCATGTCAGATAGAAACGGAGAAAAGCAGTTGGTGTCCTGGGGGAATGATACGCATAGACCGCGCATTCCGCATAGCGTGCACCCAAGAGATACTGATGCTGCAGTTATAACCGAATGGGCCTGTGTCAATAGCGTGGTCTCTCCTTTGGTCTAGGACATTGATACAAAAGGTATGCTAGATGAATGCAAGGTTGAAGTCGACACAGCCGCGAGGAAGATGCGATGATCTAATCTGATCTCGGACCAGCCCCTAAACAAGTTCTTCCGGGCTCCCGGTATCGATCATCGGGCTGTGCATTTTTATGATGGGTTAATTATTTATGCGTGGATATCTATCAATTTATGATCTATTGTTTATGGCTTGTTATTTACGACCAGTCGATCTCCTCTATTATACAGATCCCATCACAGCCTCTACCTTCTTTGCGTGCTTGTCACTCAGATTGACCGCGATAAAGGTCTTTGGCAGTTTCACCCTACAGAAACCGGTCAGCTTGAAAAGCCTTGCTGTCAATATGGATGTGTATGTGTGTATTATAAACTTACGTGTCAAACTTTGCTTTGAGCGTTTCAATCACCTCCTTCCAGTCCTGATGTGCTGTCAGGCTTCTGCGAGGCGCACATCCAATCGCATGGCGAGAATCCAGTTGGACATCTAGCGGGTCAAAGGTATGGCATCCAGGACTGATGGAAATCCGAATCGAGTATGCAAAAGTATCTGTATCGCTGTCCTTGGCCTCGTACAACTCGAAACAGATCTGGGAGAGATAATCGAGCTCAGGAATGGCGCTGCGCGCAATCTTGGTTTGAATACCGCCTTCCAAAATACAGTTCAAAAGCGTGTAGATGTGCGACTCCTTGGTGAAGTAGAAGAAGGACTTTGCATCCTGCGAGGCTTGGACTTCTTCGAGATCGTAAACAATTTCTCGAAGTAATGGGAGCGAAGTAAGAAGCCCGATTTCAAGCTTCTCGCTATCTTTGATTCCATATTCTTGAGGCGTGATATAGTCGAAGAGAACCTTTGCTAGCTTGTACAATTCCCGCAGCTTCGCAAGTCGTTCGTCGGACTTCTTCCTTTGGGAGCTCGGGTTTGTATGCAGCTTGAAGTAGTGGTCGTATGCGTCCTCTAATCGTCCAAATTGGCGTCGGGACTCCCCTGCAGTCAAAGCTCTTTTCTTCAGACCAATTCGCTGGGCCAAAGTACTGGTGTCGACCCTCTCTTCGATTTTCTCGTTTTCATGATGTGTTTGAGATGCCCCGGTTGGCAGCTCGCTGCTGGTCACATTGAAATCATCAGGGGGAATGAAAACCCACTCTAAGAATTGGCGATTGTGAAGGGCATCAAATTTCATGCTATCGTAAAGTTCCGAGATTTTGCTTGGGTCAACCTTCTCAGTATCGCAGAACTCTGCAAAAAGCTTTTCCCATCGTTCCTTGAATAGCCCCGCCTCCTCGCCTGTGCACCAACGACCTTGAATAGAATCCAGGGACTGGCCCTCAGCGTTTCGGGGAGAAGGGTCAACTGGCTTTTGCTGAGGAAGCATATTGTTGGCGGAGTTATTGTCAGAGTGTGAGAGTCGGTCAAAGTTGTGCCGCATGACATCTCGGTGAAATTTCATCAATTCTACTACTGTCGCAAGGACAATGGATGGCTCGGGGAAGTTGTTTTTCGGCCAGGTGAACTGAGAAGGGGCAGAGCCTTCTCGAAGAAGCAGTTTTAATTTCTTTTTGACCTTGTCCATGACATCTTTGGCAGCATTCGAGTCGTCCAAAAGGTCCTTCCGTACTTGAATGTAGTCCTCTGGAAGCTCCTTCTCATCCAGGAATGAAGAGGCCCAGATTTGCGCTTTGATAGATTAGATAAAATAGCCTCTTTGAAATCGGTCGGAAAAAGATCTAGCTTACCACTTGTACTAACCCGAGGCTCCGAGCTCGTGAAGACGCGAACATCGTCCAGAGCTTCTTTGTTCATCAGTTTCAGATCATCCCTCATCGTCGTCCCCAGATCCTGAGCTTGATATCGAGCCGCATGTGTCGGTTCCCCTCCCCATTTGATAACCAGCTGAAGCTTATCTAAGATCAAATCGTTTTCAACAGCAGAAAACCGAGAAAATGTAGGGCCTGAAATGGAGTCACTTCGGGTTTGCGACCGGCTCAGATTCTCGCCATCGAGCGGTGTTTCTTGCGACGGCGTTGCCGGATCTTCTGAGGGTACGTTCTTTGGTTGAGGAGAGCTCGTCCGCGCCAACGCTTCAGACATCTCTTCTGGTTTTCGCTTCCTGAACATAGGTTTGATCTGCACTTTTGTTCCCGGCCAAGTGCCTTTCTTTTCCAGAGATAACTTCAAAAGCTTAAGTTTGTCCATGTCTTCCAGCTCCTGTTCCATGGCCACTCGGACAGCTTCAGACACGCTAGCCAGAGCAGCTTCGCCTTTGATAACGACTTCTTCCTGGTGGCCTCTAAGAAGGTCGACAAAGGGCTGACTATGGAACGTGAACTTGAACTTCTGTTTCGGAGTTCGATCAGCATGGCGTATGACGGCAACCATCCCCTTTAGTTTCCAAGAATGTTTAGACGCTGGAGGTGGTACAGCTTCTTCCTCGTTGGAGATTGAGAGAGCCGGGGAGTTGGTCATTGAGGCGTTGGTGCTGACTGGCATGGGCAATTCTTCGCGGGACTGAGACATTGCGGCTTTGGCCATGGGAGACGGTGTTTGGTTGTGGATAAGATCTGGAGCCATGAAAGAATCCCTTTGTGCATTCTGTGTGTTGTGGAGCCTAGACATACTCGGCGACTTCAAAACGGTCTTCAGGGCATTGCGATGAGAGCTTGCAACGCCCCTTCGAGAAGACAATGTATCTGGAGAGGGTGGCTCGGATTGCTCAAACGCTCTATCTCGCCGACGGCGTTCGTTTATGAACATTTCTTTGAGGATCTTTGAGCATTTATCGTAATAATCATTATTGTCTTTGACGAAACTCCATCCATTCACGTCTATGACATAGCTTCTGTCTCCCACGCGGAGCATGTCAAAGCCACATATCCGCTGGCCAAATCCATTGGAAATCTTGGCTGCCATAGTAGCCTCTTCCTTGGTGAGGTTTGTGATGTACCTGAGTTCCTTTCCATGTGTATTGCGCCGAACGACACCGTCTACCACTGGAGACTTACGAGTCTCGGCGTGGCAGAAATCGGGCCCGACGGTATAAGCTTTTACATCTTCAGCATTATCCACCCGCAGAAACTGTTCGTAGAGATAACTAGTGTCATTCTCCGTAACAGACCTGGGCACGGCGAGGTTCGGGTCATATTCTGAGCTCTTGTTTCCCACTTTCCGAAAGAGGCGTCTTCCCCCTCCTCCGTACTGTTCGTCTTTCGGAAAGTAAATGTGAATGTTGTGGTCCTCGCCACTAACGGGCTTCTCGACAAAGGGCTTTCGAATCGCCTGTCCGTCAACGATAAGCGTCTCTCCGTCTTCAGATAGCGAGACCGATTGGGTTTTGGCAGCTCCACCACCCACGCCGTCTTCTGGCCCTTCAAGCTTCACGCCTGTCAAGTTGTGAAGATGCTGAGCAAGCTCAGGTGACTGCAACAAGGGGCCGCCGTCTCGATTGACTTCAACTCTCATTGGCGTGGGGATGCCCATTTGATCCAACACTTTGAGACAAAGCCTGCGGTCCCATAGAATTTTTTGCATCAACAGATCATTCACGCAAAAGGGTTTTCGTAGTTTCGCATATGCAATTGCTTTGTCCAGCGGGAAGCCATCGGAAAAGAACGATATCAAGAAGTCGCACACAGGCCAATTCTCGACAGCCTCATCGAGGATCACTTTGTCGCCAAAGACTATTACCTCCAAGTCGCCCTTTGATTGAAGTCGGGTCAGAATGTTCTGGCTGGGTTTGCTGCGGGCCTTCACGTCGAGGGCACAAACACCGATTCTTCCAATCAATGGCGGCCGCGGCTCTGCTTCACTGGCCGAGCTGGCAGCAGTGCTGCCGCTCATCCTCCTTGGTGCTCTGCTCGATGAACGTGTCGGCCGGGACAGCCGCCGTCCGTCTGAAGATCCTTCATTTCTTGCGGATTGTAGCCCGTGAGACGTGTGGTTCAGATGGGCCGATCGAAGTGCAGCGGGGTAGTCTAGCGAGGAGACGGATGTCCTGTTGTGTGATCCAGAGGTTGCGGCGGGCTTGAGGGGCTCTTCGTTGGGGACTGCTGCAGCGTCGTGAGAGCCGGCGATGCTTACCGAGCCCAGAGAACGCAGTGAAGCAAAGGACATGCGCTTCAGTTCCGGTTGACTCGAGGGATGGCTACTCGGGCCTTGCAGGGCATGGTCAACTAGGCCGAGCTCGTTGACGGAGGTGGAACAGGAGAAATTCAGGGGGTCGAGAGGACATGGCTCTTCGTTTTGAGGTGATACCGCATCGGTTGGTCGCTGGCCGCTAGAAGAAACGCTAGTATTGTCCGACATGGCCGGCAAGCCCTAGACGTCAGCGGCAATGCAAGAGCTTCGTTTCTTTTTTGGTGTGTGAATTTGAATTTTGTGCTCTTCTTTGCTTTTTCCAGTTGCACGACAATCGCACTCATACCGTAAGGGCGCAAGCGAGGTTGGAATTGGCCTTTTCTAGAACAGAGGAATAATCTGGGTCGACCCATCCACTAGGGGGAAGGGCATCGTTTACTGTTCGACGTTTTCAGCCACGCCCGCCAGCTCTTTCTTGTTTTGTTCCCTCTTCTTTAATTGTCTGGTGTCCAGCCTAGAGCATTGGCACTGCGAATCACACCGGAAGAACTGCATTTTAGCCCATGCAGACAGCAATCGATAACAATCAAGCCCCTCTCCGCCAGCCAGCCTCGAGCTCCGATAGGAGGAGAGCGCTGTGGCGGTAAAGCTCCATGATCTCACCGCGTGCGCAGACTCGTCAGGTCCCGTGATGTCGGCCATCCCAGCTGCAGGCTAGATTGAGTTTCCAACAAGGAGAAATCACAAACAGCCAAGTAGAATGATTGTCGAGCCGCCGCTTGAAATGCCACCAGCTTACGCTGTATTGTACGCCGTAATACGCGGATTACCCTGCCAGAAGTTTCTCGATGGACGTGTTCTAATTGGAGGATGGAGCTCTGAGAGTAGGTGGGGCTTCTAGATACTGTCTCTCATTGGCGGATAACTCCCAGCACAGGCGTAAATTACGGCTGTTACTGCCTGTGACCGGTACAGTACTGAACTACGGACTTTTTTATTACCAAATATTTTTTTTTGCTCTCCGCAGTGGCAGAACTCTCTCCGAAACCTGCAGGACTGGACTGGACTGGACTGGAAGCGCCCAACTGGCTTGTCACGATGCCTTCTATTACTGGAGAAGACTTTGATCTTCCCTCGGCGAAACGCCAGAGGATCGTGCAGCCGCAGTTGCTGGCTAGACAGAAGGACGACTCGCAGTCGCGGATCTTTTCTCATTTCCGGGTAGGTGCTTGCCTGGATTGGCCATGAATATAGCACGAAGACTGACTCTTGCTCAAGACCCTTGGTTTAGTGTCACCAACCGCAGTTCCGTTTACCTCGGTGCGCCTAGGAAAATCGACATATCAAATCACGACATCCGTGGGAAGAGTGCTGCAGACCTATGACCTTCGACGAGGATTACATTTGGTATTCGCCAGCCAACCTCGAACGCCGGCAATTATCACAGCCACATGCGCCTGGAAAAACTATGTCTTCGCAGCTTGGGGAGGGCAGCGGCCCGGGGAAGAATCTGGAGTGTGGGTGTTCCAGCGAGGAAAGAAGATTGCCGCCTTAGAAGCCGCACCTCAAGCCACTGGCCCGATCATTCGTCTGCTAGTCTTTGGGTCCTGGATCATAGGTTGCTGCGAGAGGAGTCTACAAGTATGGAAGACCACGTCGTATGAGCATTATACAACACTGGTCCCGGAGATATCTCGCGGAGCTTCCGACCTACCGGTGTTCACGGGTCATGTTTGTACCATGCCCACCTATTTGAACAAGATTTTTGTTGGACGATATGATGGGACTGTCGAGCTCTGGAATATCGGCAGTGGCAAGCTTCTGCACCGATTTCTACCCCCAGCGACGGAGGAAGTTGCGATCACCGCGATGGAAGCCACCCCTGCTCTGTCACTCATTGCCATTGCTTATAGGAACGGGACGGTCGTCATTCGCAACGTCGACTCGGATGAAATACTGCTGTCCTTGAATGCATCAACATCCAAGTCGAACCCTATCACCTCAATTTCTTTTCGGACCGATGGGTTAGGTGCCGGCAACGAGGGTAGGGAGGCGGGCGTCATGGCCACTGCGACAATATACAGTGGCGATGTAACATTGTGGGATCTCAACAACGGAGGCAAAAAAACCGGCGTGCTCAGAGGCGCACATGATATGTCTGCTGAGAGTTCTGACAGCGGTGTTAATAAGATAGAGTTCCTAGACGGCCAGCCAGTCCTGGTGTCGTCAGGGAGGGACAACGCTTTGAAGACATGGATTTTTGATGAGTCACCATTCTCGCCAATTCCGAGACCGTTGCATAGCAGGGGTGGTCACGCTGCGGCGATCTCTTCGCTTAAATTCCTACCTTCATCTTCCGACGGTAGCGACGCTATTGGGAAGTGGCTTCTGAGCGCATCCAGAGACCGCTCTTTCTGGGCTTTTAGTTTGCGCAAGGATAGCCAAAACGTTGAGCTATCACAGGGAAAAGTCAAGGCCATGGCCAAGAAGAAAGGCTTGTCAAGCGCAGCTGAAGCCGCTGAAGAGCTAAAAGCCCCCGAGATCACTTCAATTGCCTGTTCGCTCAATCGTGATCCAGGAATGGGAGCCAGCAGCCAACAAGTCTGGACAAACTCGAGAGATTTCAAGAAGAATTCGCAAGGCGAAAATGGATGGGAAAGCGTTATTACAGCGCATCGAGGCGACAAGTACGCGCGGACTTGGTATTGGGGAAAGAAGAAGGCCGGTCGTTGGGCGCTCGAGACAAGCGATGGGACAGAAGTAAAGGTATGTCTTTTATCACTCATCTTTCTAATTAAAGCGAATGCTAAGTTCTGACAGACTGTCGCAATATCAACCTGCGGTACGTTTGCCTTGGTAGGCTCGTCGGGCGGTAAAATCGATATGTATAACCTACAATCTGGCTTGCGTAGACAACAGTTTCCACCACTGCCAGCCAAAGGCAACAAGTCTGCCATTGGTGTTGCATCGTCAGGACACACCAAAGCTGTTACCGGTCTTGCAATAGATAACTTGAATCGGAATGTTGTGAGTTGTGGACTAGACGGGAAATTGAAGGTATGCAGCATACTCTCCCCCTTGGAACTCAATCAATACTGATATACTTAGTTCTGGGACTTCAATTCTGGAAATCTACTCGCCGAGCTAGATTGGGCGCCTATGACTGCCATCACTGGGCTGCGCTTCAGTACCATCAATGAACTCGCAGCCCTGAGCTGCGATGATCTGTCTATTCGCGTGGTGGACCTAGAGACGAAGAAAGTCGTCCGAGAGCTCTGGGGGTGCCGTGGACAGATTAACGACTTTGTCTTTTCTAACGATGGTAGATGGATTATAGCGGCGTCTATGGACTCTATCATTAGAGTCTGGGACTTGCCAACGGGCCATTTGGTCGATATCTTCCGAGTGCCGACTACATGCACGGCTCTTGCGTTTTCAGGAACCGGTGAATACCTTGCCACTGCGCATGCGGATGAAGTTGGTGTACATATCTGGAACAACAAGAGCCTCTTCTCCAACTTCCGACCTAATCACATTGACGAGAGCTCACTGGAATCAAACACGACTTCTGTTGCTTCCGTTGAATTAGCATCCGGCATGGTTGATGCCGCCTTTGCACAGGAAGCAGACGAAGAAGGTCAAGAAAAGCCTGTTACTTCTTTTGAGCAGCTTGATCAAGACATGATGACTTTGAGTATTGTTCCACGAGCTTCTTGGCAGACTCTGATCAACCTAGACACTGTCAGGGTAAGTCAAAACTTACCTCTCCTTGCTACTGGAGATTATCTTATGCTAATTTTACAACAACAAACAGGCACGCAACAAACCCAAGGAGCCTCCCAAAGCTCCTGAGAAAGCACCCTTTTTCCTACCCTCTTTGCAGGATAACCAGTTGTCGAATCCTATTCGCGGATTTGAAGATCCGAAGGAGACTGGTGCCCCAATTCCATTCTCCAAGAGCCTTTCGAGTTTATCACAGCCAGACTCGCCCGTCAGCAAACTATTGGAGTCGGGCGCAAGGAACAATACATTTACACCTTTCATCGACTATTTCAAATCACTCTCCCCGGGCAAGACAGACCTAGAAATACGCTCTCTAAACGTGCAACTCCTACCGGGCGGATACTGCGAGCTAGTAAGCTTTGTTGACGCATTGGCAGAAAGACTTCGCGTGAAGAAAGATTTTGAGCTCGTGAATGCATGGATGGCAGTCTTTTTGAGAGTTCACAGTGATCTTATCTCTGGCGATGGCGAAGATGCAGATGCAGATGTAAGCAGTGTTTTGCGCACTTCTCTTCTAGCCTGGAAAAAGGAGCAGGAAAGTGAGGCTAGACGCCTATCGGAATTGATGGGATATTGCCGAGGGATTGTTGGATTCCTTCGGTCGTCTCGTTAAAAAATATATATATATATGCTTTTTTCTCTCATTATATTATATATTACAATAAGCATTCCCTGTTTGGGTGGCGAAGTCTACAACGTACTATAACTTTCTACCAGCAGACTCGACCAATTGAAACCAAAGACGAGCCAAAAGTAGTAGTACTCCTTAAGCTGCCGATTCCGATGAGAAATCACCATGAAATTCCCGCCTCACTTCATGAAACGACCTCGTCAGAACATGAAGAGGAGGAAGCCCTGCCAAAAGACCTCGAAGTTTCTTGACCGGTCCATCCCCAAGCTCCAAATCCCGAGTAACCTGGAAAACCATACGCAGCGAATACAAAACTGCCTGTAACTGGGCGAGGGCGTGCACATTGTCCCAGTCAATAACGCCAATCTTATTACGGCTGCTGCTGTCAATGCCAAGGAATGCCTTCAGCCCATCGCGGTAATCCTGAGGAGGGATGTTTTGGGTCTTTTGGCTCATAAACCAATCCGTGCGGACCTCATATAATGCAAACAATCGCCAAAAAAGAAGCGGCGAGTTTTCCACGTTCTGCACGAATTCGAGTCCGTCTATAAGACGGGTCGCTTCTGCTTCAATTTCTTCTTGCTCACTGTAACAAGCCACGTCGTCAAAGCAGAATCTCCTCCCTCGTCGCACGCACTCATTAATAGTCGGATACTTCTCTGTGAGAAAACTGTTCATGTTAATCAGAGAATAAGCAAGTCTCCTGATCCGAGCGCCATCAGTCCAAGCGCATCTTCGAGAATGATCTTCCACCAGAAACGGAAGATAAATCCGAGGGGTGCCTGTTTGGTCCTGGAATTCGTCGCTCCAGAAGCATTGCGCTAACAACTCGGAGATTCGTGTGTCATAATTCTGTAGTAGGCGGCTCTTTGACGGGTTGTATTGGAAGTTTGTTAGGTCGTATTCTTTCAGGAACGAGATATACGCCGGCGTCTTTTGATTTGACTGAGAGGCGTCCTTTGCACGGCGCACGAGCTCGACGAGGGTTGAGCGAGGACTGAGTTCCATCTCATGAGCGAGGTAGGATAGAGCAGGTATGCCCAGTCGATCTGAGATTGAGGCTGGGCAAAACCGCATGGCTTTGATCATAGACTGTGTCGGGTCTTCGTCGTCCCAATTCTCGGAATAGATGGTATCAAAAAGAATAACAGAGCTATCAGGGCCGAGCTCAAAAACAAGCAGATCAGAGTCACTCGTGAGTATGGCCGTGCCGGGTTTCTGAGCCGCCAAGGAAGCGCAAAACATATCAGCTTCTCCCGGGACGATCTCGGTAAGATCTGAGAGGCGATCATCGACATTCCTCTCGTATAAGCTTGCCAGTCTTCTCGGTAGAGTTGACTTGATTTCTGCCGCTGTCCATCTTGACTTCAGATCTTCAGTCACAGCGGACACCATGAACGGGTTCCCCGGCAGTTTGGCACGCTTCACAGCAGAGTTATGACTGCCCAAGAGTCTTCTAGGATGCATTGTTTCTGGCCGACGTTCAATGGACGACAATCTGAAACCATCCCGCTGGGTTAAACAGAATGTCTCCAGCTGTTTCCTGGAGATTTCCAATCTCGATAGCCTGGTCTCCCGTTTATGCAGAGGAAGGGCACCGTCGAAATAGATCTTGGAGCTAGTCATGTTACTTTAAACGGTGTATAATGTGTATATACTTTTTTTTCTTCAAGGCGTCGAGTATCCAACATACATATTCACACCGGATATCTGCAATAGCACGAGATAAGTCATCACGGCCACGCTGACTTCGTCACAGCTTGGTTGCCGTTCGATCTGGCTGATGTGCGTGCTGGCCTGTGCCAGCAGGATTGAGTACACATGGTACACGAGGCCTGGTCCATCGATTACCGCAGATCGTACTGCCTGGGCTGACTGGATATGGCTTTTTCCCAGGAGAATCGACTCTGAGAGCGAGGAAAGATGCCGTGTCATGTGCGAAATACCCATTTCGATACAGCAATTCCCTCACAAATGCATTTGAGAGGAAGCTAAGTTAGGCGCATCTTGGAATCTCCGTCTCACGCGGTTTTCTTCGTCTTTGTCGATGGCAAAAAATTAACGGAAAGAGTCGCGGAGAATCAATACGAGCCAATACGCGGTTTTGTACCGACGAGCTGGATATCCGGAAGGTGGGGGTGTTTTTGGAGCTGCTTATTGGACAGAATGCCAAAACAGCGCTGTAATTTCAGTACGCCGAATTTTATCGATAGTCCAAGGGTCAGATAAGATTTTGAGCACTTCAATTCTTTCAACGTCGCTCAGGCATATTCTCTATATCCCCATCTTCTCACTGCATAACCATCCAACATGGGTGTCAAGAAGAAGGTCCGCAAGTTCGCCCAAGTCAAGCGTGCCATCACCTTGAGGGACAGCCGATTGTCAGTGTTCATGTTCACGTTTTTCTCCAATATCGTCCTCGACTAACCAGTGTCGTATAGAAAACCTCAAGACGCGCAGAAAGACACCAAAAAGGAAGATAATGTGGTTCGAGAGATGTGAGTTCTCAAGAAACATGTCCCGCATCGAAAAAGAAAAACGCTAACAGACTGCTGTACAGACCTCAAGTTTCCTCCTCTCTTTTCTTCCAATACAACACAGCCTTGACACCACCCTACTCCGTCCTGGTCGACACCAACTTCCTCTCTCACAGCGTACAACACAAACTAGAAGTAATTCCCACCATGATGGACTGTCTCTACGCCAAGTGCATCCCAGTCATCACGGACTGTGTGCTGGCCGAATTGGAAAAGCTCGGTCAAAAATACCGACTGGCTCTGCGCATCGCGAAGGATCCTCGCTTTGAGCGGATAAAATGCGATCATCGCGGTACTTATGCGGATGATTGTTTGGTGGACCGGGTCATCAAGCACCGGATCTATATTGTTGCGACGAATGATCGGGACTTGAAAAGACGGATTCGGTAAGATCTCTCTCTCTCTTTGTTATTTATGAACATTATGCTCACTATTGTTGTTTTGTAGTAAAATTCCTGGTGTTCCTATCATGAACGTTGCTCGGGGGAAATATACTATTGAACGTCTGCCCGATGCTCCAGAAAAGTGATATCTATTTTCGACCATTTGTTATACACTTGGAGTTTTGCGGTGCATTTGTGGCGTTAAGGAGGACAATTTTTGTATTCTCGTTGTTTTATAAGGGCTACCTAGGTAGAGGACTCGGTAGTTACAACTTACCAGTATAGATGTGATTATTTTTTGTAATTGTTATATTATTTTCATAAGTCTATATAACTTGATAATTCAAAGATAAAATCATGATGCCCAAGGACCGAGCACGTACTCCGTATACACACACAAAAACAGACATTAAAATTATGTATCAAAGGTAACGGGGGTGAACTGAAATATAATTTTTGCCATTCATTCATAAGACAGCGTCAAAAGCCGGCATTTAATCCCATCTTACAAACATGGAATCCGAATGTTCAGCATCTCACCCATATTCAAAAACACTAGTTGGCCTTCTTTTGGGCCTTCTCCAACTTCTTCTCGCGCCACCGTTTCACTGACTCGGGAGTGTACTCGGTGTCGAGCACGTAGTCCCACCAGCGGAAGCTGCTGGAGTAGTTTCCAACAAATTTCTCATGGTGAATGTCGTGGTGGTGAGCGCCAGCCCAGAATGGCAAGAAATGGTGCAGACTCCATGGGAACTCATAGCCGCTGTGAGCGTCAATGGCCTGGGACAATCGCAAAACAATCCAGATGTACATGGTCAAAATGTGCAGGTCCCCAGTATAGGCGCACCAGACGATTGGGCAACCGACGGTACCGAATCCAAGGGCCATGACTTCGATCGGAGAGGCGTATTCTGCAGCCAAGCCGAAAGGAGCGGAGTATTGGTGGTGAATCTTATGGACGTGTTTGTACAGTGGTCCCCAGTGGAAAGCGCGGTGAGAGAAGTAGTGCCAGGCGTCCTCCAAAACGAAGAAGATAGCGATCTGGTATGCCATTGTCCAGAGGGATGGGAAAGGAACGGTGGTAGAGAGGCCGAAATATTGAGCCATGGGGTGGAACAACCTGTAGTCGCATAAGTATACTTATATGTATATATATGAAGATTAAAAGAAAAGAGGGATTAGTTTACCAAATCTGAGGGAGCTCGACGGTAAAGTGACTCAAGAGCACAAGCTTGGCGCAATCCCATTGTTCCTTGGCCGAGGGAACTTTGTTCTACAGGCAAGAGAATCAGCAATTGACTCGGTGGAATGGAGTGGCTGGTGGCTTACAGTTTGGATCTTGTACTTTCTGAACAACCCCAGACTATCGATAATGATCCATGGAAGAGATCGGCCGAAATACACCACCTCGTGCATCACGAACGACATGATACCGGTGGCGAGGACGTCGTTCTGCATGTAGGCATACCAGGCCACCCACAGCCTTTCGAACACGTTGAGATGGACATTGTACTTTGAAGCTTCCTCAAAGTGGCCCCAGTAGGTCTCTGGAGTCGGCGCAAAGAGCGTGCTATTCCTATCGAGGGATTAGTCTTGATTTGGTTTAAAGGCTAGGCTGAGGCGGATTGCACAAGGAACGTACATTGCGAAGATGCGAGTTGGCTGGAGCGCATGCGAGAGTGTGCGAGATGGGAGAGAGTCGAGGCCGTGAGCAAGCTGGAGGGTTTAATACTGGCAATTGCAAGTCTCTGCAGAAAAGGAGAAACGCGCGATGGGGTCTGGTGGAGAAACTGGCGGCCCGCGGATTGGCTGCCTCCCCTGCGTGTGGACGCTTCTTTCCGGGTGGTGCGACTGATTCTGGAGGCCTTCAGTCTCAGGCATCCGGATTATTGGCCGTGCCGAGTCGCATGAGCTACTTCCAGTCTGGCATTAGCTGACGTCTACTCCGTATACTGGCATGATCCTGATGCTTATTGTGTTTATTACGATTGCATACATCCGCCGAGTGGCCTGTTTCAGTCGTCCGGGTATTCGTCGCGCACGTTGCTCACAAACCGCCGCTCCTCCTCGCTCCATCGCTTGAAGTGCAGCCCAGCAATCGCCAACAGCTGACTCGGCAGCTCCGACATGCTCGGCCGGATGATCTCAATGCTCTCCTCCGCAACGTATCGCACACTGCGGTCCTCGACACTACAGTCACGTCAAATCAGTACACGGTCTCTATCTCGACGGACCCAAGAATCAACTAACAGCGCGTGGTAGAAACTCTGCTTCCTTCCAGCCTGGAGCTGGTCGACGCCCATCCTCCTCATCCATTCCTCTCCCGCTCCGCATTCCGAGTCCCACCCCGTGATTATTGCCCGGTAGTTATATCGTCGATGATGGAAGACTTCTCCCACGCGGTACTTGACGTTTTTGTGCTCGGCTTTGCGCCTGCGCACCTGTTTCGGCATCTCGTCGACGGTGCGCGTAACACGCAGACCCTCTGCCACATTTTCATACTCGACCGTCCCCTGAAACATGGTTTGAATGTACTGCTCGACCAGAGAGATATCCCATGGGAACTCCTTGAAGAAAAGTTCCATAAACAACGGCAAATATCGTCTGATCTGCATTAACCAGATCTGCGGTGTGCTCAACATCAATGCCCAGATGCCCGCATATCTAGCACTGTCAGTGTCCAGGGTTTCGGCCGCGAAATCCACAGCGTGCTGTTGTTGAGTTTGTAACGAATTCCATATGTTCCTGCCACATCGCATTACAATGTCTGATGTTGATGATTGTCCCAGAAACGAGGAGTGATTTGCCGTTGGTCCTCCAAAAAGGTTCAATTGGCGCTGTAAGTCGGCCACGGGAACTTCGTTCTCAGATCGAAATGGATCCATGTACATCGGCGCGCCATCGCCCTCGTCGGTCAACTCATTACCATCCATGTCAAGCCCTGCAGGAGGTAAAACAATGGCGTGTACGTGAAATGGAAACCCGCACGGCTGTGCGTTGAGACCAAATCTTTGCGCCACATAGCAAAAGATTGCCGCCGATATCAGAGGTAACGAGTTATGATCCGGATCACGAAGAGCCAGTCCAAGAAAGCTGTGCTCAATGCTATGATACTCCCTGCCAGTCTGAATCCCCGTATAGTTATTTGCGAGCAGGTAAGATGCGATGATGAGCGCCTTCTGGCGCGGCGTTGAATCTACGATGTGCGGGTTCTCGTGCGATAGATTCCCAACTATAGCGTTGAGCATGTCACTAATCTGTTGTACCATCAAAATAAGCATAAGCATAAGCATAGATTATAGATAGTGGAGAGAGAAAAAGACAGAGAGAGAGATACCTCCTCTAGAGAGTTTATCTCGCACTGGGGAACAAAGAGATCAAAAGCTCCCAAGGCACGTTCCAGTGATACAGCCTCACCATCCCTCAATTTAGCCCACTCAGCTATAGCTATGCTTCGTCGGAGGCAGCCTAGTATCTGATTGCTGAAGTATCTGGCACAGAATGTCCATCAGGCATAGTCCGCATGTATATTGCTAATGAGTTGTGTCTGTACACACCTTCTAGCTAGCCAATCATCCAAGTCCAAACTAGCAATCGAATGCCTCATCAACGTATCCTTCACATCATATCCCCGATCCAAAATATCCTGTGCTTTTCTGATACGCCCGACGCGGTTCGAGAGTATATCATCCAAGACGCGCGTGGTCTCTCTGTCGGTGGCACACCTTTGGGCAAACAACTGCTTCCAGCCCACGGCCGAGGGCGGCTGTTTTAGTTTTGCGTCAATCTCATGTCTGCTGTCCCAGTAGCGGAATGCGACTTTGCAATAATGCCGCCATAGCAAGGGCTCGTTTGTGACGTTGCGAAATCGGCGGGAGGTGCGCTCGAGAGCCACGCATGGGGTCGGCGGGTCGATGTATAACAATATCAGGTGTAGGATTTCGTCGGGGAGGTCGACCAAGTTACTGCCACCGCGCATTGTGCTGGTGTATGTATATATATATAAACATTAAGTCTGAGAGTGTGTGTGCTAGCAGTCGGAGGCAAATAAGGAATAAGATGGATTGGTTACGCGCCGATAAGATAAGAAGACTAAAAGTTCACCCCACAAAAAGTATTTACACTGTTTTTCTCGAGGGGCTCGAAGCCTCAGCCACGACAGCAGATTCCTATACCCCTTCACCATGGGCCAGAGCCAGTCCACAGGCGCGAATAAAGACGATGCCGGGGGTGACGACCGCCGAGCTGACTACTACGAGCTTCTCGGGGTGGAACGCGATGCCTCGGACGAAGAGTAAGTTACTCCCAACCATCATCTATCTAGCTTTGCATACATACTCGTAGAATATGGCTAATACTTTTTCTTTCCTTGCCACGCAGTATCAAAAAAGCCTACCGCAGAAAAGCCTTGGAACTGCATCCCGACCGAAACTATGGCAAAGTAGAAGCCGCAACGAAACTATTCACCGAGATCCAATGCGCATACGAGGTCCTTTCCGATCCTCAAGAACGAGCATGGTACGACACGCATCAATATGCAGAAATCTCCGACGATGGGCCAGTTCAAGGAGGAGGAGGACAGCAGCAAACTGCTACTCCGGGTGGGTATCGAATGACAGCCGCCAACATACTGTCGCTAGTATTGAACTTCAACCCTCATAATATGGAATTCTCCGACTCTCCGAACGGCTTCTACGGCGGGCTCAGGGACGTCTTTGATCAGATCGCACAGGATGAAGGGGTAGCGGCGCGATGGGATGATAGCTCTGCTCCTCCGGTTGACTATCCGAGTTTTGGTAGCAAGGAGGATTCCTTCGACGATGTCGTGCGCCCCTTTTACGCTGTCTGGACAAGTTTCTCAACGAGAAAGTCCTTTTCCTGGAAAGATAAGTACAAGTACAGCGAAGCGCCGGATCGTCGCGTGCGCAGGCTCATGGAGAAGGAGAACAAGAAGATGAGAGAGGACGGAATTCGGGAGTACAACGACGCCGTTCGCTCGTTGGTGGCATTCGTCAAAAAACGTGATCCGCGATACAAAGTCAATATCCAGACCGAGGCTGAAAGGCAGAGTAAACTTCGCGAATCTGCCGCTGCGCAGGCGGCGCGATCTCGCGCTGCGAACCAGGCGAAGATGCAGGATCATGTGATACCAGAATGGGCTCGGACAGCAGCAGAGATAGGAACGGACGAGTGGCATCAGGAGGGAGACGAGGCGTTTTTTAGCAGTTCGGAGTCGGAGGTAGAGCATTTTGAGTGCGTGGTTTGCAACAAGACTTTCAAGAGTGGCAAGCAGTTTGAGGCGCATGAACGCAGCAAGAAGCATATTAAGGCTGTCAAGCAGCTCCGTAAGGAAATGCTGATTGAAGATGATGAGCTCAATCTCGTCGATGAGTCGGAGACGGGGCAGAGGCTGGACCAGGAGGAGAAAGAGATGCCTACGTCTGTTGTTGATGAGCCTGCTGTTGTTGCAGAGACACGGTCAGTTACAGATGACGACGACGACGACGACAAAAGTCCTAGTCATGATAATGTCCCGGTCGAAGCAGCTTCTACATCGCGATCTCCATCTCCATCTCCATCCGCCTCAGAAGCAGAGGATCAAGATTACATCGATCGAGAGGACAAACCCGTCAACGACGACGAAGGAACCAAACCAAAGCTGGGAAAAGCCAAGCAAAAGAGAGCTAAGAAACTAGCAGCGCAAGCAAAGCAAGCAAACCAGAACGAATGTGCGCACTGCTACACGGTATTTACCTCGCGGACACAGCTGTTCTCGCATTTACGAGAAACCGGGCATGCTCAAGCAGTTCTAATGACACAGTCAAAACAAAAGAAGAAGGCAAAGTCTAAGAAATAAGTCTTGATTGTTGTCAATGGTCTCGTCTAAGTCGTCTATCTTACTCTAATGTTGTTCGAAAGAAATACAAAGGCGCCTGGAAATGCATGATGGTCTTGCTCAGATTCTAGCCCAAGCCAGCACGTGTGTTCTTCACCACCTGAGCCACAGGTTGCAGAATACCTTTGTTATTGAGGGCACCCAGTGCTGTTCCTGTGCTCCATCCCATCTTCTCCAGCATCGCCCTGCCCTTGTTGTTAGCTCCGATTTCAGGCGCAGAGGCTCCAACAACCTCGCCCTCGAGATAGGATGCCGCCATGTTAGAACGCCGACGGTTATTGTTGTTCTTGGGCTCTTGTTCTCGGAACTTGGGCTTGGAGGTCATGCGGCCGCTTTGGCGCTGGTTGAATCGTGGTTGGGCTAGTATTTTATCCAGCTGCACGCTGTGTTTTCCATTGAAGTTGGGCGTCCGCGCTGTTTTGTATAGAACTGGGAATCTCGCAGATCCTTTACCCCTGGACTGGGACTTGAGCGTCAGAGCATTGGCTAGTTCGTGTACCACTCTTCTGTGGTGCTTCTTCATGGGTGGTAGGTCGAGACTGTTCGATTTGTTAGTAGATGTCTAGAATGAGTAGAAGAGAAGATAGAAAACGGCACCATTCTGACTGTGACTGAAGGAATTTCTTCAGCTCAACCTTCATCTCATCAATGCCAAATGCTAGATCCTTGGATCTTCGATCAGATTTCTTGTGCTTTTTCCCGAGTAAGCCCTCTGCGCGAAGTTGTTCCCTCTCTCTCTTCTTTGCTTTCTTTTTGTTCCGGTCCTTCTCCCAGGCGTCTTCTAGCTGAAGCTCGAGGTCGCTATCGCTCAGTCCGAAATCGATCGGCTTCCTTCCTTTCTTCTTTTTCTTCTTGTTTAGGGGTCCATCCTGTTGCATGTCTACGATGTCGAAATCGACATCATCCAGCATTTCTGCGGATAAATCATTCGACGAAGCCCAACTTTCATCCATCATCATAAACGATGCCCCTCGGCGAACGCGTGATAGCAGCTCTTCAAGCGAAGAAGAATCATCGGAGTCATCAGAATTGTCGTCGTCGTCGTCATCATCAGAGATATCATGAGCGAAATCTTTACTGGCCAGCACCTCACTCTCGTCAACCGTGTCAAGAGTCGACAATGCGCGAAATTTGTCCTTGTCTTTGCTTGACAGCCCAAGCCCGAACCTGGGTAACTCATCGTCGCTGGACGGGTCGGAGGATCTATCTTGTCGGGTTACGTTTCGTACGTAATCGGCGAAAATGGCATTTTCGTCGTTCAGCGTAGAGTGCTGTTTGTTCTTGTTCTTCCGTCTGTTTCTAGTCCGTTTGGTCGTCGACAGGCTGATGAACGAGTCTTGGGCATCCTGTGGATCTAATATCGCCTTCCACTCGGACTCTGCTGGTTTATCTGTGGTTGTTTGCTGCGGGAGAAACTGTATATCGTCGTCCAAGACCGTCACGACCACTGGCGCTGTGGCTGCAGTTGTAATCATAGTTGAAGTTGTATTTGTAGGCGCGGCTTGCGGGCGAGCATTGTGAGGTTTCTTTTGCTGCCTTCCGCTGAAGATAACCTCATCCTCGCTGCTGTCCAGTTCGCTAACATTGTCGGCTACGGGTACATGGTGCGGCTGGGTGCCGTACGGATCGGTGAAGAAGAAGATGTTCTCGGTCTGGTTGGAGGCAGCCTCATGAGTTGCCTCATGGCCAGACATACTGGCTTGCTTGCTCTGATCTCTGAATTTTCAGACGTCGCTTGTTACTGGCTGACTATGGCCTCTGTCAGCACTCGGGCTTGGGCGTGTTCATTCAGTATCTAACTTACTCGATTTCCGTCTGCACTGTGCGTTGTTGGGAAGACGAACAGGATGTCGCTCGGGGTATTTGGCTTGAGGTCGTTGGGTTGGGCATGGAAGTCGCGCACGTGAAAGAATCGGGAAGTGGCGTTAAGCCGCCCGACCGCGATTCCGCCAAGTACGTCCTACGCCCTACGGTGTTGATACCTCGCCATGCGGGCACTGCTGCGGATGTTTGTATTGCTTTTTCTTCTACACGTAGTGATTTGTGCAGTAGATTCATTCTGTTGTTGAGTATTCCTATTCTCGTGGTGCGTGGCCATCTGATTGTGCCGTGGCAGGGCGAGATGGTGTACGTCTGATGCTATGCTGGTCGATATGCCGGATATGTACGTGTTGCGCTTCTAAAATGATATGTAGTCTTAATTTATATCTCAATCAAGTTGACATGGCCTGGTCATCTGGTGGTCATTGTCGTCAAGTGATGTGCAGCATGCCTCGCAGATAGAAACGGTATACGTGTGTGTATGCGTATGTGTATAAATATATATATATATATATATTTATATGTTGTTTATGGGGGACATTTCAACCTCTCCGCATCCACTCCCCACGTCACTCCTCATGAATCCACCAACTCACCGCAAACATGAATAATATTGACATAAGTCGCTACAAACGCATGATACAGTACTTCTGGGATGCCGAGCCTAAGAACGAACAAGGCCCAGGCTCACGAATATGGTGTTTGGGTAGGGAATACGTGACGCCAGAATACCCCACAGGCAGCAACAGCAGCAACAGCAACAGCAACGATGACAGTGCGACAACAGCTACAAGCAACAAGGATAACTCACAGGAAGAAGACGGAGCAGAAGAAAACGTCCAGTCAAAGGACCTGGGCTGGCCCCAAGCCTTCCTGGACGACTTCGAGTCCAGGATCTGGATGACGTACAGATCCAACTTCCCGCCCATCGCGAAGTCGGAAGATGTGAATGCCGCGCAGGCCATGACGCTCAGTGTCCGCCTACGAAGCCAGCTCACAGAAGGATTCACCTCCGACACTGGCTGGGGCTGCATGATACGCTCCGGCCAGAGTCTTTTAGCCAATGCTCTAGCCATATCGATGCTTGGCCGAGGTGTGCTTGACGCCCTTTGAATGAATGTCGGATTAATGAATATCAACTAACTACTATCCTATCCATCACTAGATTGGCATCGAAACAATAATCGGACGGACGAAGCCAAGTTACTCTCGTTATTCGCAGATGATCCCGCGGCGCCGTTTTCAATCCATCGCTTTGTCCGACATGGAGCGCTGTTCTGCGGGAAGCATCCCGGAGAGTGGTTTGGACCGTCCGCCACGGCCTCATGCATACAGTATGTACCCTGCAGTCCCCCGCCTGATAATATTGAAAGTATGACTTATTGTAACTGCGACAGGGCGCTATCCGACGAATACAAAGACGCGGGCATGAACGTCTACGTGACGAGCGACAGCTCCGATGTCCATGAGGACAAATTCAAAGCAGTGGCCTGTAGCAGCAGCAGCAGCAACAACAACCGAATAATGCGCCCTACGCTGATCCTCATCGGAACAAGACTAGGAATCGACCGTGTAACTCCCGTATATCGAACGGGACTGACATCATTACTCAAACTGCCGCAGTCCCTAGGAATTGCAGGGTCAGTCCCCCCCCCACGTACCTGCAAGTATGAATATGCCAACTAGCTAACAACAATTTTGCGCATAACAGTGGCCGTCCCTCGGCATCACATTACTTCGTTGGCGTTCAAAATTCGCATTTCTTCTACCTCGATCCTCACCATACCCGCCCCGCGCTGCCGTACAAGGGCAAAGATGAAGCATACCGTTACACGCAAGAGGAACTTGATAGCTGCCATACGCGTCGGCTTCGGCGACTCCATATTGACGATATGGACCCCAGCATGCTTGTTGGATTTCTGATCAGAGATGAAGATGACTGGCTTGACTGGAAACGGCGGCTCTCAGCGCTCGGGAAGAACGGGAAAGCAATTGTTCATATTGTTAACTCAGAGACTGTGCCGATGACGACGACTGAAAGAGAAGGGGCACTCGATGAGGTTGAAGCGCTCGACAGCGAGCTCGAAGAGTAGTTGGCGTCACAAATGCAATCAAGTCGAATAAATCGAATACCAGAGTAAAAGACGGAAAGTATGTAGAAGTATTGATTGAATGCACTAAAGCTTGATTTCAAGATCTAGTAGTAAGGGTGGGATTGTTCAAACAAACCCCAGATTCTCAGCGTTATGTTACACCCCTTTCGCGACCTGGAGTCGCTACCGTAAAATCATTTCGGCCCAAGGTATTCAGGAAACGAGAAATAAAAAAATCAGACCATCCCATGACACATTAGAAACCCGCGAACACCCAGTAACCCGCCGCCTCCAATTTGCCAGAGCGCGAAGCAGCAATAAAATAATAAAAAACAAGAGAACAGGAATGAAAAACAACCAAAAGACACTAAACAAGCAGCAACGAGACGTTTATTTGGCGGAAGAGGAGTACTTGGTAACAGCCTTTGTACCTTCCGAAACGGCGTGCTTGGCCAATTCACCAGGGAGGATCAAACGGACTCTGTAGAAAGCGCTGTTAGTTGCGGAGGGAAAAATGATGGACCGCCAAGATGCGCCAAAGTGGAAACATACGAAGTCTGGATCTCTCGGGAAGAGATGGTGGATTTCTTGTTATATGAAGCAAGCTTGGAGGCCTCGGTGGCAACGCGCTCGAAGATATCTTGATGGAGAAATTAGCTGATGTCGCACGCGACCAACAATGGATCAAAAGACATACCGTTGACGAAGGAGTTGAGAATGGACATGGCACGAGTAGAGATACCAGTGTCGGGGTGGACCTGCTTGAGGACTAGATGGCAAAAGACGCGTCAGTTTTGGTGTTGTTGATGGATCGCGAACGCGTTGTTTGGGATCGGCTCACCCTTGTAGATGTAGGAAGAGTAGGTCTCCTTGCGGGTCTTGCCGCGCTTCTTCTTCTCGCCAGAGGCAGCAGTGGCAGTCTTCTTGCCGGCCTCCTTCTTCTCAGCAGGAGCCTTGCCAGCTGGGGCCTTGCCACCAGTGCTGGGCTTCTTCTCAGCGGCTTTCGGAGGCATTTTGGAAATTGGAGGGAGGTGTGAATTAAAAAGTGGGAAGGATGGGAGTGATGTGCGATGAGCAGAGCAGGAGAGCGAGGCGTCGTAGAGATGGAAATGCAGAGGAGAGTTCGGCTCGAGAGGAAGTTGGGGGAGGGCGCGCTCTTATACTGGCGCCGCAAAAGAACGGGTGATCCGGTGTGGCCTTCAGAGCCGGAATTTCGATACCGTCACGGCGCCGTATGATCCGTATGATCAGGGCCTGGCGCAGTGCGCGCAGCGGCGTGCCCCGCCGTCACGCCCGGTAACAGCCGTACGGTACGGCGCTTGGCCGGTTCGGGGCGGGCAGCGCGGGCGGTGATTGGCTGGCGGGGCTGCCTTGCTTTGATCCGAGCTACGCGTTGACGCGTTTGATGATTGGCCGTCTTATCTAAGCGAGAGCGTGATCTGGGAGCCCGCCAACGTCACCCTCTTATAAAGTCCTCGTCGTCTCCGGCACCTGCACGCCCTGCTCTCTTCTACATTTTCTTATCCTCCACGCTCTATTCACCGCACAAACACACGTCTCGTGTCCCGTATTCCACCTCTTTCGAGTTCAATCTCAACAACAATAATAACACATTCAAAATGACTGGAGGCAAATCCGGCGGCAAGGCCAGCGGCAGCAAGAACGCTCAATCGTACGTGTTTTGTTTGATATATGTCGCGTCTTCTGTCCCAAATACTGACTTTTTCTGTCACAGCCGTTCTTCCAAGGCGGGTCTTGCTTTCCCCGTCGGTCGTGTTCACCGTCTTCTCCGCAAGGGTAACTACGCCCAGCGTGTTGGTGCTGGTAAGTTTGTTTTCTGTTTCACGCGTCATACATCCTCGCTAACTGAACCAGGTGCCCCCGTCTACTTGGCTGCTGTCCTTGAATACCTTGCTGCCGAAATTCTCGAGTTGGCTGGAAACGCCGCTCGTGACAACAAGAAGACTCGTATCATCCCTCGTCATCTCCAGCTCGCCATCCGTAACGATGAGGAATTGAACAAGCTTTTGGGCCACGTCACCATCGCCCAAGGTGGTGTCCTCCCCAACATTCACCAGAGTATGTATTTCCTTTTCGGCGCTACAAGAAAAAAAAATCAACGCGTTCTAACTTTTGTTTCCAGACTTGCTCCCCAAGAAGACCCCCAAGAGCGGGAAGGGGTCTCAGGAATTGTAAACGGTTTTCTTGTTTTCTGGTTTCTTGTTTCTTGTTTTTCGTTTCGGCGCGGTTTGGTTCAATTATTGATGAGGTAATGGGGTTATGGACTGGGCACATTCATGGCTCTTTTGATTTTTTAAATGGTTGTACATTATGTCTACGGGCATGGTCTCTACTGGCAGCTTGCGAAGGTATTCATTCGGGTCGATATACGATTCGTTCAGATTAGCACTAGAATACAAATTCTTAAGCCTTCACTTTACTTTTGTTTTCAACGTATGTCACTGGTCCTATTGCTTCGATTCTTGCCTTCGATGGCACCCTGATCGTGGACAGTGTTTGACTATTCGCATTTAGAAATTTACGTGAACAGAATACCTTGCAAGTGATTCAGTGAGCGATTTGTAATTGAAATTCTATTTTTGCATAGTACTAGCTACTCCGTGGTATAATTATCAAAGCATTCGAAGATATATTCAATGTTCGCCGGGTGCCGCAGCATCTGCAACGCGACCATAGTTAGCAAATGCAAATAAAATCTTCATAGAATGTCCCAGTGAACGCAAACTCACATGGCAGATCGCGCGGTGCAAGGTTTCTTTCGTATTTGGATCCTAGAGCCGTTGTTAGACCATGATGCTCTGTTTTCCATGCCTTGATAAGGTCGCTCGCTCATACCTCCGGGCGCAGTGGGTGCCTTATAAGGATCGGGGTGCTTCCATGTCTCCAGCAACTTCTCCGTCTCTCGTAGCAATAGCTGTCCACCTTAGTCTCAGGTCGTTCATGCATGTTCGTCACGGTACACACCTTCTGCTGTCGAGGGTCTCGCACCTCCCGGTTGGCGTCAAATAGCGATCTGATGTACACGGCCTGGCCTCGCCAGATGTGCCTGTGCACAGCCCAGTCAAGGGAGAGTTTCAAGCAGCGACGGTACAATGATCTGGAGCGGTTCAGTACGTATAACCTTCGATTGAATGGGGTTGTGCGGTGCGATGCGATGGCTTACGCTGCGGGTTGGAGCGGCATTTTGCTGGTAATCTGTGCAGTTGAATTAGCCTTTGCTCGCAGATACAATAATCGCCAACAGCAGCATACCGAGCAATTGACACGGACAAGTCGCGCGTTGCTGCAGTGCAAGCCTCAAGGGTGAGCAGTGGAGTTGTCCGGAAAGAATTGGCGCTTTCGGGTTGGCGGCTGCGTCAGTTTTGGGCGTCGACCCGGGTGGCCGGCTAATGCTATGTAATAAGTGGGAAATCCCGGCCGCGTTAGTACTTAGTACTTACTCCAGAGTCTGCAACCACAAGCCACGCTTCTCTCGACTCGTTTATTTTATTTCTCTCTCTGAATGCCTTTTTGGAGTCTGTTCCTGCGTCGTCGACATACCAGTATATAAGTCCTCCACCATGGCTAGCCGAACAAACATCTCGCGCTTGTCGAAGCAAAACTTCCTGAAATCTGCCCACAACTTGCACAGGCCTCTGTCGTCTTCACGCGCCTATTCATCGTTTGCCTTGGCTTCGCAGAGAACCTCGCTGCGCCCTCAAAGACCGTTGCGTTTCGCTGGGTACAGTCATCCCCCCTTCCTCGGCAATTGGCTAGACTACAAAGCTGAGACGTTGCAGAGTACAATCTCCCGAATTCAAACTGGGCTTGCTAGCCACACAGCAAACTCGTCATTATGGTCTGTGGCTGCTGTCACCGCGTGCTTTTTTTCGGTTGTTGTTGAATTCCTCTAACTAGTAGTCTAGCCGACACAATCGTCAAGGTGCCAGAGATGGCCGAGTCGATTACAGAGGGTACTTTGAAGCAGTTTACGAAACGTGAGTATCTATCTCCGTTCGTTCGGGTGTTTGTTCTAACAGCAGTCCGTCAGAGGTTGGCGATTTCGTGGAACGCGACGAGGAAATTGCGACGATCGAAACCGACAAGGTAGAACCATCTTGCGGTTCATAAAAACTTTCGGCTCTTTGTTTGTGTGTTAATGTTTCTCTTCCACCTCTAGATCGATGTCTCTGTGAACGCCCCCGAGTCCGGAACTATCAAGGAGCTCCTCGTTAATGAGGAGGACACTGTGGTTGTTGGACAAGAACTTGTGAAGCTAGAGCCCGGTGAGGGAGGTGCACCAGCTGAGAAGCCCAAGGAAGAAGCTGCTCCGGAGAAGGCCGAGGAGAAGAAGACCGAACCAGCTCCGCCCAAGCCTGAGACGAAGGAACCAGAAGCTGCTCCTTCGAAACCTGAGCCTGTCAAAGAAAAGCCTGCACCAAAACCCACCGAGACTAAGAAACCAGAGCCCGAACCAACCCCAGCTCCCAAGGCTGGAAGCCGTGATGAGCGACGTGTATGTTCAAGAATATCGCTATATTCGCCTATACGGCAGCTGACTTGAAGCAGGTTAAAATGAACCGCATGCGCCTGCGCATTGCGGAACGTCTCAAGCAATCTCAAAACACCGCTGCTTCTCTCACTACATTCAACGAAGTTGATATGTCCTCGCTGATGGAATTCCGCAAGTTGTACAAGGACGACGTCTTGAAGAAGACCGGAGTGAAGCTCGGATTCATGAGCGCTTTCTCTCGTGCCTGTGTCCTGGCCATGCGAGACTTGCCCGCCGTCAACGCTTCGATTGAAGGTCCCAACGGAGGTGACACTATTGTCTACCGCGACTACGTCGATCTTAGTGTTGCTGTTGCTACAGAGAAGGGTCTTGTTACCCCCGTTGTGCGAAACACTGAATCTTTGGATCTTGTTGGTATCGAAAAGGCAATTGCCGATCTTGGAAAGAAGGTAATTAATTTTCCCATCCTTTTTTTTTTTTTTTTTCTTTTCAATTCATTCTAATGTTCTACCTTGACAGGCCCGTGACAACAAGTTGACCATTGAAGACATGGCTGGCGGTACATTCACAATCAGCAACGTAAGTGATTTTATCTAGCTCAGTTCTGAACAGCGAATGCTTATACATAATAGGGCGGTGTTTTCGGATCTTTGATGGGCACTCCTATCATCAACTTGCCACAAACAGGTTTGTTTCTCTGCCATATGTCTTGGTCACATCGTATTCATTCTAATTTATGACAGCCGTCCTCGGTCTGCATGCCATCAAGGAGAAGCCAGTGGCTATCAACGGCAAGATCGAAATTCGCCCGGTACGTACCTCCTTTCTTTTATTCGCGTGTGGTCGTTTATACTGACGTTTGCCTGCAGATGATGTACCTTGCCCTTACCTACGACCACCGTCTGCTCGATGGCCGGGAAGCCGTCACATTCCTTGTCAAGGTTTGTCCCCCGATTAACCCATCGAATCAACCTCGCAGGACTCATAACTAACTCCCACCAGGTCAAGGAATACATCGAAGACCCTCGCCGCATGCTGCTATAAAGAAACCCGGTCTGAGCGCCTTCTTTTTTTGGATGGTGTTGACTGTCTGCCGGTCATAACAACACGTATTCAATACCTGGTCGCGGGAGAGAAAAACCAAAAATTTATAGAAAGAAGCAGAGCAGTCTTCGAAGTTTGAGTGTTTGGAGTAGTAGTTAGTCATCGTTTCATGACTTGTAGATTAATTCTCGTTTTGCGTGCCTTCGTCTGTATTTGTTGAGATATTCCGTGAGCTAGTCATATATGTGCAACCGTTTTCGAGATTGAGTAACTAGTGCGAATATATCATACGGTCATGTATATCCGATGGTGAACATTCTTCGTTTCTGTCACACATCCAGGTGAGTAAGATTTATCCGTTCAACTCGTCAACGCTTCCCCAGTCTCGAGCTTTACGAGTATCGGCGTCTCCAATTTGAAGAGGAAATCCTGAAGCTGCATGGTCATCATGCACTCGAATTCAAAGGCCGGGAAATGCTGAGCGAGATGGTTGAAGTGAGCTTTTAGTACCACTTCTTTCTTCCCTCTGCCACGGGACGTTGGTGGCGGTGATAATAGATCGAGGTATTGTGCTGTCACTGCCGTCAACTCTCCTTCTTCTTCTTCTTCTTCTTCTTCAATGATTGTTAGCATTTCCTCCATGACCTCGGTCGCCTCTCTGTTGAAGAGAGTGTACTGCTCGAGCGCAGACTGGAGCAAGTACTTTCCCAAAAGGTCACCGAGTGAGGAAGAAGAAGACGACAATGACGACGATAGCGCGCCAGACGCTGACATGGCTGAGCAGAGACTAAGGAAGTCCGGGAATAGGTCTATTAGTGACACGACACTCGACCTGTCCTCAAGTCGGTCAATTCTTGGTATTTTCAATATGTCGAGTATGGCCGCGTAATCTGTAGCTGAGAACGATCGCCGGGTTTTCGAGGGAGTAGTGTGGTGACTATTCCGTCCGGATTGACGCGCTCTGTAGAAAAAGAGACGTGTGAATGTGTTTAGCTGCAGTTTCGCCTGTATATCGCGCGACAGTGACGATGCCTCGCGCGTGTTGTGCTTGGCTTTCATGAGCGTTTCGCAGGCTGTTTACTCGTTGGTTTGTATGTACGTATTCATACGTAAAAGGGGATTAGAGCATACAGTCAAATATTGATAGTAAACTATCGCTGCTTTCTTTGTGCGCTGCGGTAGATCTATCGCTGAGCTCTGCGATGCGTCGCAGCAGGAGTTCGTGCGTGGCTTTGCAGCATGTATAGTCGAGTATCATCATGTTTGTGTGGAGTTCGGTTTCTGGAGTCATGATGTCTGTCACTGGTATCTATGTGCTCGTATGGGTTATCGATTTGCTGTGTGCTGCTTTTTCCCGGTCCTAGCTTGGTCGCGCGAGTGGCGAGACGCGCGCGTTCGCGTTGTTTTCGTGGTCGTGGATATCCTGTCGACGAGGCCTGGCCTGGTGTTTTATGTATATATATCTCCCAACCCCGGGTATGTCTGACGGTGACTGCCACCATAACACTACACCACACATAAACCTTGAAACGTGTGATCACTGAGAGGATACAAAAGCACAGATAGAAATATCGCATACGAATAAAATATACAAATCTAGGTAAGAAACTCCTCGAGAACCCCCTTCCGCGCCAAAGCCCGAGCCCAAAACTCCATCGCCGCCGAATAATCATGGCGTTTCCCCTCTGCAAACATATCGTCTGCCTGACGGAGCTGCATCTCTTCCATGATTGACCGCGTAACATCTCGTTGGTCATTGGCGAGACGGACATACTCCTGCGGGAGCTCATCGATGGTAAGCCCTTCGTCGTCCAAGGCCGGGACGAGATGCATGCTCTCTTCGGTTAACCCCAACGCCGGACTTGCGCCTAGGAGCACATTTTCATAAACACCAGTGCCTAACATTGCTCGTAAGTCGTCGAGTTGGGATGCAGTAAGCCGATCGCGTATCCTCTGCAGCTCCTTTACGTTCCGAGCCAAGTGTTCAACGTGGTCCCGGAGAGGATCGCGTACGAGACTCAGCACTGAAAATTCTATCTGATCCTCTTCATACTCGGTCATCTTACCGATAAGATGCGATCGAACTTGCTCAAGCCAGTCGCCGTCAGAGCAGGCCGCTTTCCCATGAATGTCAATAACCATCAGCGAGACCACCTGGATCAGAAAGACCTACCGAGATCTTGAGGCTGACGCTCCAGGCCATCAAATTTCCACACCCGGCCCAGTGCTGGCACGAATGCGATGAAGTGGAAAGCTGCCTCGTCTGCGTTACTCGGGTCCCTTTGACGCTTCGATCTGCTGCTAGCAGTGGCTTCATTCTTCAGATTCAAGTCTGAATTCAGAATATCCATGTTGCTGTAGAGGTATTAGCACGAGTTAAGACAAATAATAAACAGCGTAAAACTGACCGTGCAAATGAATTATGTATACCCTTAACAAACTCAAAATTGGCTATGGCATCGCCTCTCAACGCAGGCGTGAAAGGCATCGTGAATTCCTTGAAACCGGCAAGAGTATCGCCGAGGGTTATATCGTCGATGTTATTAACAATGTTCAGGAGAGCCACGCTCGCACAAGCGTTGTCGGCCGTCTAATTATCGTGAGCTACAATGCTGTACGATAACATACTGCATATCAACTTACCTGGTTCGCAAACCATAAGCCATCAGGGCAAGACGCTTCCTGGTTGCTGGGATTATCCTCGTGCCAGCGAAAGAGAAATATCACGCCATAGACTGGTTTGCTATACACGGTCCTCCAGGTCAGAAAGACAACTTCACTCCAACGAACGATTTTGGGCTCGGGGTACATGCGGCAGATAATCCATCATTTCCTTGTCCAGCGAGACTACTTCTTGAACCCTGACGCCCTCGACGCCAAATTCTCGAAGCATGACGTTGAAGAAAGCCAGGTAGAATGTCAGTGTATGCCATGTTCTTTTCCTCTTTCTTTCCAAGGCGAGCCTACTGGTTCAGATTCGATCTCACAGAATCCATTCCAGGCACTCTTCTCGGGCAGGTCTGAATGCGCATCTGCCGTTGTTTCGCTGTCGTTGAGCCGTCTTCGCTTCGCGCGGGCTGTCATGTTGGGTAGCAGGCAGAAGGAAAATGCAAAGTCCAGGGAACAAGTAAAATGTGAAGAAGAAGAAGAAGAAGAAAGACAACTGAGCTGGTGTATCATCAGTTGTAGTCTTAGATGCGGCCGCCCTAGGAGCTCTCTGATTGGCCAGAGCTTGCCCGCCGTGACGCGACTGGCCGCCGAGCAAAAGTCTCCAACGCGAAGGAAGTCGTCGATGTGCTCTCTCTCTCTCTCTCTCTACCAACTCTGCAGCCAACGCCCAGCACGCCCTTTGCTTGCACGCTCTTCAAAGTCCAGCCTTTGTGCATCTGACCAGCCCTGGACGGCACGAGTACATGATTTGACGGCTGTCCCAGCGCCAGTGAGAGAGAAATCCCTTGTGCGCTTTTCACGATTTTGATTTTGATTGAAGAGCCTCTTGTCTTCACCGCCAGGAGCGGGGCATATCTTACTGACTTCAATCGTCAACTCAGCACTCTGGCCTCCGAGAAATCACAGCCGGGCATTAAACCTGCATATCGAGATGCGATGAACGGCACTCCCCGACTTCGTTCCGCCTTCCCTCAAACTCCGCAGACGCAGCACGGCGACAGACGGAGACGCAATGCTTCCTCTCCGCCCATCACGAAGCCTCAGAATGTGAGCGTACAGTCCGCTCGAAACAACGGCGCCACGGGCCCGCTCATTCCCACCGAAGTCGTCGATGCGCCTTCACAACGCCTGTACGTCGCTGCCGTCTATTTTGCGCTTGGGGCATGGCGGATATATGACTCTGTTGGGGCGTTGAACGAATTGGATTCAACATGGATGTTCCTCAAATGGAACTTCATCGATGGCGTCTTTCTTTTCGGCATTCAAGCGCTCAGAGTGCCCTGGTTAGAATGGACGTTCCCAACCTTTCTCGCTATCTTCCTGCTTCATGCAGCCGCCAATGTGTTTTTGATGTTCCGCATACCAGTGAGCTTCCCCGTCCATGGCTGATGATTCTGTGATGGCACAAGGAGAAGACACTAATCTTTTTTTTTTTTTTTTTGTTGCAGCTGCCTTTTGGGGCATGGGGTTCTATTTTGTTCAAGGCCCTGTACGATCGAGAATTGTCCATATCGGAGCGCAGCGTCAAACCTGGCGACATTATACACAATGCCTCATTGATACTGGGCAAACAGATTATTCATATCCTCCCTGAGGGGTGAGTCTCAGCATTTTTTTTTTCACTGGACTATTTACTCTTTAGTCTCTTTGAGTGATGTCGCTGATGTCTACTGCAGTTCCGCCACCTTAAACCCCGACGGGATACCACTGTGTCTCGGCTCTCAACAGTCCTCTGTTTCTCTTCCAATACGCGTTAACCAATCCTCGCCGATGCTCGTCGAACTCCTACGTTTTGACTTATCAAGTGGACAAAATGAAACCATCAACATACCGAGCAAACAACTCAAACAGATGAAAAAACAAGCAGGGGATCAACTTTCCGACGAGCATATCGATCTTCGCTTCCCTGTGAAGAAAACGGGAGTTTATCGGCTGGCACGGGTCCTGGACGAGTCCAATCTTGATGTGCAAATAAAGGCATCCGACACGCTGGTTGCGGTTTGTCCAAGAGCAGTGCCGAAAGCCACAAACGTGGACAAATGCAAAGGAGATCTGTCGGATATAACTCTGGAGGTGGAAGGGGTACCGCCGCTCAAGGTCAAATACAGTCGTAAGATCAATGGATTTGATGGCGGGTTTTCGTTCCAAAACGTGCAACCTGAAGGCTCCCTCGTTCAGGCAGTTGGTCGGAAACAGTCCGGAGTTCTCATCGATCCCAAATTTCCTGGTCCTCCGGCCTGGGCCCAAAACCAGATTCTACGCATATCGCTAAATGAGACCTTGGACACTGGTGGCGATTGGTCCTACACTATTGAGGAAGTCCACGATGCGCACGGAAATGTTGCCAACTATTCGGCCCAGCTGGATGAAGCGGATCGTGCTCCATCAAAGAACACGCTGCAATGGCATCAGCTCTCGATTCATGAGCGACCAAGACTCTCACTGGTCGGCTGCAATGCCCAGAAGTTCCTCCAGACTGCGAAAGGAGAAACCACCGAGTTCCCATTGCACTTCCACTCTACCGGCAGAGACTATAGCGGCGATTCACCTTTTCAAATAACCTACTCGTATTTAAACCCTGCAGAGTCAAATGAAGTTTCCAAAATTAGCCAAATATCCTTGAAATCATTGGAAAACCGACCAAAGATCAAGGAACCTGGTTGGTATACTCTTGAATCTGCTTCAAGTCGATTCTGCCGAGGAGAAATCTTGGAGCCATCCTCCTGTCTGCTGCACAACCCTCCAGAGCCGGAACTTTCTCTGCGCCACGAGAAGCTCTTTGACAAGTGCGCTAACAATTCCGTTGGTCTACTGGTTGATTTGGACATGATTGGATCGCCCCCATTTCGTCTGCGGTATGTCATCGAGAGTGACAAGGGCACCGAAACATTTTCGGAGGTCATTAATGGGCTACGAGGACAGCTTGACTTCACACCTACCGAGGCGGGTCGATATCGCTATCGCTTTCTGGACATTGCAGACGGTATTTACGGCCCGAGACCATTGAAAGATAAAGTGCCTGTTCTGGAACAAGATGTCAAGCCTCAAGCATCAGCACACTTTTTGGGTATGCACCAACAACAGCAAAGAGCATGTTTTGGCGAGTCGGCCACTGTTGGCGTCTCCTTCATAGGCGAGGCTCCTTGGGTTCTTCAATATGAAGTCGTCCACAATGGCAAGAAGACCAAACACGAGTTAAAAAGTCCCGACTCTGTGGCAACGATTGTAACAGAACCATTAGTTAGTGGTGGAGAGCATATTATTTCATTGACAGGCGTGACAGACCGCTTGAACTGCAAGCGTACTCTCAAAGACAGTACGGTCGTTCAAGTGCGTCCCAAGAAGCCACAAGCTGCCTTTGGTTTTATTGAAGAGAAAAGGAGTGCGCAGGCACTGGAAGATGCCGTGGTGTTATTGCCGCTTCGACTGAGCGGACAAGCTCCCTGGCTCGTTAAATATCGCAACTTGGATGCAAACCCTTCTCGCTTGATTGAAAAGAAAATCTGGGACGAAAACGGAGCCATATCTACTTCTCAGAATGGGCGCTATGAGCTCGTTGAAGTCTTTGATGCTACTTGTCCGGGTAGTATCGACGAATCTGCAAGCATTTTTGAAATCAACTGGCTTCCTCGACCCGCCGTATCTGTTCCAGGACGGACAGGTGTCGGCAACAACGTGTTCAAGCGCAGTGTATGCCAAGGAGATGATGACATCCTCGAGCTTAGAATGGAAGGCAAGCCTCCATTCAATGTCAAATACGAGCATCATCATCGAGCCGGCGACTATGGAACCGCTCAAGTCAAGTCGCGTAGCTTGAAAAGCACTTCACACGTGGCATCATTGGAACTCGATACTTCAAAGCCTGGTAACAACGTTTACAGATTTACGGGCGTCTCAGACGCGCTTTATGATGCCGACCCGAAATCACAACACTCGGTCAGTATCTCGCAGACAGTCAGTGGGCTACCATCTGCTCGTTTCGATTCGCCGGGTCATATCTATGCGTTCTGCAAGGAAGACAGTGACGGGGACGAGTTGATACCCATCTTGCTCGAAGGCCAACCTCCATTCTACCTTGATATATCCATCAAACATCATTCGAGCTCGAAGCCAGAGTTGGTACCTATTGGTCCTATTCATAGCCACAAGCATAAACTTCCAATTCCCCGTCGACATCTGGAACTAGGGCAGCACGTTGTTAGCATCCACCGAGTTGTAGACTCTCTTGGATGCCAGCGCACGTTCGAAAAGGACTTGACATCTGTGCGTGTGGCGGTGTCCGATGTTCCAACCATCATTCCTCTCGAGTCTCAAACAGATTACTGTGTTGGAGAGCGGCTATCATTCTCACTTTCTGGCCATTCACCATTCGAGGTCTTCTATGACTTTGAAGGCGTGCAAAGAAGGGCCGTCTCGCACACAAATTCTTTCCGACGTATCGCCGAAAAACCCGGCCAATTCACCATCACAGCCGTCAGTGACGGTGCCAGTGGCCGCTGCCAGGCCCACAAAAACATCACCAAGATCATCCATGAGATGCCAAGTGTGAGAATCAGCAGAGGACGGGAGAGCATTGTTGATATCCATGAAGGCGGAGAGGCGGAGATCAATTTCGAGTTTGGAGGGACTCCGCCATTTGAATTCACGTATGTGCTCATTTTTCTTCTTCTTCCAACTATCTATATTTGTATATGTTCTATTGGCTAACATCTATTTATTTTCAGATATACACGAAGCTCGAATCCTAGGAAAGGCAGACCGGCCGAAATTCTCGACATCAAACATGATATCTCTTATGAGTACAAAAAGACGATAAAGACGTCCGACGAAGGCACTTACGAGGTGGTTGCAATCAAGGACAAATATTGCTCGTTTTCGACGCAGAAATCGTCCGGAAAGCTGGCAAAGCAGGCGAAAGGTCAAATCAAAAATTGATTAAAAAAAATAGAGATCCTCTACCTTTCTACCTCTTAATAGCACACAAAAGTACAAAGCTACGACGAAGACTTGTTCAGAGAGGCTCATGTAAAAAAGAAATGAGATGTTTTTTTATTTTTTTGGGGCTTCGGTTTTTTTTTTATGAAATTCTGTATTTTTTGAGCATTGCGGTGACTAGTGCGAATTCTCTATTAGAATATTATACATTTTTGTCCTCGACGCTGTGCACTAGCCCACCACCTAGTCTAGCTATTTCGTTCAGAATCGACTTCTTATTCACCGTTACGTGAGAGTTTTCGTCGTCATTGTCTTCGTTATCCCTTTCTCCCGGACGTGTAGAATAGCCCATTTTCAGGTTCAATGGCTTGAAGGTGGTCGAAGTCGGTTTCCACAGGCCCGCAATGACATTGTCATCATGGCCATAGAAGAAAAGAGCGCAATGCTCAAAGAGAGATTGGATTTCGTGCAGATAGGCCTTTGTGATGTCGTCGCGCTTATTCTTCGCATCGCCATCATTACTACTAGTACCGAGATGCTTTAGGTTCGCAAACTGGGGGGAATTCTTCTTCTTTTTCTTCTCGGTTTGGTTTATATGAATCAGGAAATCGTACGGGGTCAAAGAAGGCTTGAAGAGGCTTTCGATAGATGATGATGATGATTCCTCCTCCTGTTCTTGCCCTTGCTCTTGCACTTGGCCCCTCTTCTTGAGTGCTTCAAGTGCTGCTTTGGCTAATCGCGACATGTGGCCGGCGACAACCTTGGGTGGTTTTTCGTTGAGTGTCCATGTTACCCCGTCTTGGTCGAGATCAGAAGCAATGATCATGGCGACCTTCTTCATTGCAGGGTCGATGTTGCGCCAGGCTAAGAAGCGGGTTTCGATAACCTTGACATCCTCGGCTGTAAGCGCTCCTAGGTCTAAGATGAGAGGCTCCTGCTGCCAGTTCCATTTGGATAGTAATGCGAGCGTTCGGCAGAATCCGCTCATTAAACTGGAGGGCGAGTCCCATGTATGACTTGAGACGAAGGCGTTGAGAGTGAGTAGCTCCACGAATTCTTCGGTGACGTGAGAGAAAAGAAGTTGAGAGCTGAACCAATGCTTCATCAGACGAACTGTAGGGGATAGAAGAGGGTACCGGTTGCAAAGCTTTTGGATCACTTGAGTGATGCGAGGAGAATGGATAAAGGTCCTTTTGTATTCGAAGAGTGCAGCCCCGACATTTTCTTTATAGTGCGGACCAAGAGTGCTTTCCTTTAATTTCCTTTCTAGCAAGGTTGCTTCGCGATCGTGATGGATTCTCAGTCGGAAACGAGTCCCCGTTGTATGTACAATGTCTAGGAAAGCTCGATTCATGAACAGTCGGTCTTCGTTTTCAAGCCCAACTCGGAAGGATTTAATCTCGCCATTTTCTTCCAAGGCCTCACCGATCTTGAGGAGGAACGCCACTTTGGTCATCTGAATAGCGTCCAGGTCGTCTGGCCACTTGGTAGAACTCTCAAGTTGAAGGTTGATGTCCACGGGTGTGCGCACGATGTCTTTAAGGTCTGAAATGATAGCAGTGCTCCTTAAATATGGATTGGCAGGTTGAAGTTGTCTGATTTGAAGAGGAATATCATCCATATTCTGAAAGGATGACTGTAGGGACTGGAAAGCTTCGCGAACGCTTTGAAATACCGCGGAATTCTGCATTTCCGAACCGGAAAGACGTTGCAACGTCTCATCGAACTCGCCGCCAACACAGCTGATAGACTCCTTGGACACTTTCAAATGACGACTCAAGCTGTACACCATTATCTGATCGACTACCGACTGTTGCTCCGACCACACTAAACTTTCGAGGATTCTCCCATCTCTGAATCGCCTGAGTTCTGCCTTTTCACCCCAGAATTCTCGGAATGCCGAAGCTTCCTCTTGCATCTCTGCAGAAGGTCCATGGTCAACTAGGCGATTGCAGTTTTCAGAGTCCAAAATTAGTCCTATCGTGATCTGCTGCTGCTGATGTGCTTTGTTCGATCCTTTTGATCCCGGCGACCATGGGGATAGAGGCTGAGTCCATAAACTGATCACCTTTGCTCTGTCGCCCAGTGATTTCTCCAACACACTGTAGATGTGATTCTGGCAATGGACAGAATGCAGAGGGTCAAAAATCTGTTGCGGAGTGAGGGACACCAGTCGGTCAAATTTGAGCATAGGATCATTGTTTTGGAAAATGAAGACTTTATCAAAATTCTCGAAACGGATCTCGTTCAAGAGCGAGAGGGTCAAGTTGCACTCGTGACGGAGCAGCTTGTAAGGCCCGATGGCCATTTTGAACAGTACGTTAAATCCTCTTTTCCCATCGTACAAGACTGGACCTCCGGCTGGAAATTCGACATCGCTGACAAACAGACTCAAAGGCTGCATCAGGTCTCGCGCAGCTAAGAACTGTATAGCTGCTTTGAAGATCTGATAACTGCTATACGACGGCAATAAAATAGGTTTACCGTTTGCACCGCCTCCTTCAAAGAGTAGACCCAGGAGCAACATCCACTCAAAGCTCCCGAAACCGCCGTTTTGCACAGAAGACGCAAATCCTCGCTGGCGGAGCCAGGTTTGCCCCAGAAGACACGCATCTCTCATGGACGGATATTTCTTTAGGCAGGTTTGGAGCCATTTTTGATATTGAATAAGTGTCATTTCCAAGCGCAATGCCGCATTGTAGAAAGGACTTGACTTGCCGTCATCGCTAGATTGTTCCTGGTCTCCTGAGCCGGCAGCCTGCACATTGTTCTTGCTTGGAAGCGTTCGCACGATCGGGAAGATATCGTCCTCGATAGCAGTGAGGATGCGGATGCAGACGGGTTGGTGAACAGAATGGCCTGGGGCTTTTTCCGTCGATTCCATGACAATAATGGGACGCAAAAGGTCTCCGTCTTGATAGCTATAACGTAACGAGAGAGGCAATTTTGCTTCTCGTAGGGCTGCGGCGATGCATGCGATATAAAACGCCCGTTTCTGGAAGTATTTGTAGTTCCGATAGTCTTTCACTTGAAAGAGTGATTTCGGCATCGACACGGCCACATCCACGTTGAAGGTTTCTGTTGCCTGTGATCCGGCTTGCAAGTAGAGGCTGCCTACAAGGTCAACGCTGGTCGGAGGCTGGAACGAGACGTGACATTTAGTGAGTTCGTCCGAAGAGTGGCATGGAAATGGTACTGTGATGCGATGTTTGTCCCGCAGTTCCTTCCCAGCCAGGTCGGCTCGCTTCGACTCGCGTTCAGAAACGTGAAGCAAGATATCTTTGATCCGACGCAGAGTTCCTTGAACATCGGAGACCAGCCTGTCGTAATCCGGCCTTAGTCCAACAAGCAACTCATCTGTCTGGAGTTTGAAAAGGCTGGATTTGGACAGGCCGGTTGCTCTGCCCGCCTCTGCATAACGGTTTGCAGAATGCGCCCCATTCTGATTTTTCGCCTGTTTGGGTATGCTGGAAGTGCCCTGACTTTTCACCTGCGGCTCGCCTGAATTGTTCGTATCGTGGTCGCTGTGGTCTGCGCTTGAATCGCTGTCATCGTGTCTTCGATGTGCAGTGGCCGGGCCATTGAGCCGTCGTCTCTTGGTAGAAGGGTCTGACATTCTGGAAGGATTGTAAGAATTGGCTTGATATAAAAAAAAAATGCTCCGCAGTTGAGCTTTCAATAATAATTCCTTTCCATACTATACACAAGCCAAATATCAGTATTGCCTCGAACAAGATATGATGGTCCGCTGAAAAAAAAAGAATCTATGTGCAGCCACACACCGCCCGCGGCATTATTATCGCGATGATCAAGCTTTAAGTGGGCCTCATGATTTAGTTACTCCTTCTGGCTCCTTGCAATATTCTGAATAACTTCCTCCTTATGCCTAATGCTTAGATGGATCTTGTGTTGCAGGACGAGGGCTATCGTCACTGCTCAGCAAGATGCCTCCTTGAAAAACTCTTCAGTCGTCATGGCTCGGGGCTCAATCCCCTTCTTCACGTTCCACGTGCTCTCCAGATCCCACGCGACACCAACGCCCTCGCCGAACACAATGCTATACTTATGCAGCGAATTTCGCGGGTCCTGCAATAGATTCTCTCGCGCTTGATCGACCGTCAATACCTTTCGCGTGACTGGCTGGCCGAGCTGTTTCTCGACGATGGCCGCCAAATGATTATAGGGAATCGTATCGCCTCCAACGAAGACAGGTTCATTCTTGAATGTTTCACTTTGCGACGGATCAGAGAAAACATAGTCAGCTGTGATGTGACCAATATCTTTAGGCGTGGTTACTGTGACGCGATTCTCGAGGGCGCCCAGTGCCGTGATTGTCCGTCCTGGTAAATCAACAACGCCGAACCACGGCTCAAACAGAAAGCTGGTGAACATCCCAGTCGATATAACAGCCCAACGTGTCTTTTGATCGGCCTGGCGCAGCAAATCACGCACGTCTAACTGCTCATCAAACAGGTCTTGCGCAGAGCCGCGTCCGATCTTGTCATAGTCAACGCCAAATTGCCACGGAATGAAGAACGAGACCCCGGCTTGCTGTACAGCACGTGCGATTTTAGTTTGGGTGCCTGGGCCTGCCACAAAGCCGGTGCAGCTGATAACGAGATCAAAGGGGGCCAACGCCTGCGCCAGCTCGGAGTCCGTGGCAGTGACAATGTCACTTTGGACGAAGCCGATTGCTTCAACCAGCTCCTTGCTGAGACCCGGCGCTTCCAGTAGTTGTGTTTTGGTGCGAGTCTCGGATCTTATGAGTACTGAGACTCTTGCAGTGATGTTGTTGTACGTACGTTGAGGGTGTTGCAGCAGATGCCTTAGTACTTGGCTGCCAAGCTGGCCAGCGCCAATGACGAGGATGTTATGAATCATTTCTTCTCTGTTTCTCCTTCTGTTTGCTCAAGCAAGTGCTGGGGTCAACGTAGCTGGGGGGGATACGTCGCATGGTAGCAGTCTCTAGCTCGACGACGGGTCAGATACATATTCCAAAGCAACAGCGGGGTGAGACTGGGGCATAACTACGTAGCTTCCTCTCAGTGGCGTAGAGAATCAAACGCAATGGAATAAGTCTTTTATGGAAGATATAGTCGCCAAAAAGATATACAATGCTGAACCTGAAGTATACCAAAAGAAGCTTCTGATTGGCCGACAAGTATGAGTCAGTCTGCGATCAAGTTGAGTTATGCCGATTTCGGCGACCGAGACAAGAAGAATTAATTCAGCGACTCACCATGAAGTGCAAGCTCCAAGTGTCTTTCATACTACCTTCGATATATTCATCATGCTTCAGGCTCTAGGAGGCACGGTGCCTCCAAACACCGACCATGTACGTTTGCTTGAACCCCCCGGCCATTTTGTCCCCCGCTCCCCCGTCGTAACATGTGAATCTAGGCTATCAGCGTCTCTCTCCCGACATGGAAAAGCAATGTTGGATACGAGGAGGGGCAGGACTGGGTTCTGAGCCGCATGGAATGCGGATATCCGAGATTCTACGTCCACCCTTTGATTCAATCGCTCGGCCAGGAAATCCTGCGTCGTTCCGGTAACACAGAGCTCGAAGCCGCAACCCTTTTCCCTTCGTTGAGAACTGCAGAGTTATGCCGGGATTTCATCGTGGCAAGAATACCCCCCGGAGAGACGTCGAAACTTCGAATTGTCAGTTATGCGCCATCTTCCAAGGCCGCTTCCGATATACGTTCCAACGTGACCTCGAAGCTGTTCTGTGTGATATACCCTAAAGCCCTGGCCCCTATAGCAAAACAGGTGTGGCAGCATTCCGGAGATGGTATATCAAGTCGACGAAGCGAATTCTGCTCCAATGCTCTGCAAGATGGCTATCTTGTGGAGGACACTTCTGCAGGGGCCGACGGTAAGCCTTCGATATTTTCCAAGGGCCCGAGACGCTACCAACAGCGAGCCCCTACGCCTAGGGAGCCTGATCATGGATCCAAAACAGTCGAATCCTCGGATGGACGAGAATACTCGGAATTCGTGGAAGAGCGATTTGGTCGCAATCTTAGTACTACATTGGCGAACAACGCTAAAAGAGCAGTGCGGAGACGAATTGCTGGTTCCCTCACTGCTAATGTTGACCTCCACGAGGCCCTAGAAAGCGAAGCGGCAAGTGGCAGGATCGCAGGCTTGACAGAAGAAGACGTTTTCCTCTATCCCGGCGGCATGAGCTCGATTTTCAACACACACCGGACCCTCTTAAATACCAGGGGTTCCTTGAAAAGTATATGCTTTGGATTTCCTTACACAGACACGCTGAAGATACTGGAAAAATGGGGTCCCGGGTGCTTGTTTTACGGCCACGGCTCTTCGGAAGACTTGGACGATTTGGAATCACGCCTGGAGCAGGGAGAAAGGTTCCTCGCGTTATTCACGGAGTTCCCAGGAAACCCGCTGTTGAAGTCTCCAGACCTCAAGCGCATCAGTGAACTGGGAAAGAAATATGACTTTTTCGTCGTGGTGGATGAGACCATTGGCAACTTTATCAATGTGAATGTCTTGCCGCACGCCGATGTTGTAGTCAGCAGTCTATCGAAGATCTTCAGCGGTGATAGTAATGTCATGGGAGGCAGTGCTGTACTCAATCCGCAGAGTCGTCATTATCATACCTTGAAAACTAGGTTTGTGGCAGACTATGAAGATAATTTGTGGGCTGAGGATGCTGTGTTCCTCGAGAGAAACAGCCGTGACTTCATAGCCAGAATCGAGAAGATCAACGCGACAACGGAATTCATTACTGAAATTCTCAAGTCGTCACCACTAGGTGTGTGAACATTACGAACCTGTCCTCAATTTAGACCTGAAAACAGTCTTACTGATACCGAAAAAAAAAAAAAAAAACCTATAGTGAAGGATGTTTATTACCCCAAATACAGTCCAACGAGACCATTTTATGAAGCATGCTGCCACTCGACCGGGGGTAATTACGGTGGTCTCTTTTCAGTAACATTTCATTCGACTGAAGATGCCATTGCATTCTTTGATGCGCTTGAAATAATGAAAGGACCGAGTCTGGGGACGAATTTCACATTAAGGTATGTTGTATCATTTCGCACAGTGCGTTATTCATGCTAACGATGCCATTGTAGCTGTCCGTACACACTGCTAGCTCACTACGGTGAAGCTGATTGGGTGAGTGATACACAGAGATGGATATTTTGATCTATCCAGCGTACGTATACTAACTATATTCTACTTAGGCTTCTTCTTTCAATGTTCCTTTTGACTTGATCCGAGTCAGCGTAGGGCTGGAAGAGCCCGAAGATCTCGGCAACCGCTTTAAACATGCTTTGGATGCGATCAAGCAGAACTCTGCGTAGGGTTCATTATTGTCAGGTAACGGCACTTCCATGCAGAATGGACCGCGAAGTACAGATCTCCTTCATCGTCATCTCACAGCGCGGCTCTATACGTGGTATACTCGATTATACTGCTGTTTCCAATGTGGAGACCTTAGAAGATTCGCAATAAATAGCGAAAAAAAAAAAAATTGGGAGATCGAGTCCTATCCCATATAATGTACAGACAGTCAGATATGAAGCCAATCTTAATGGCGTCTGGTAGACAAGCAAGACCTGTAGTCTATAAGAACAATGAAACATAATTTTTTTTATAAAGATCGAATATCAAGAGTGCCACCCATTCTTCTTCTTTCCTAACCTATTTAGCGAATATAATCCCTCGGCGTTTCTTGGTTATTCGAAAACATGAACAAAATCAACGAATGGGTCACGTGACAAACTAGCGGCTACGCGCCAGGCCGGGATTTTTCTGAATCTCAACCGACGTTTGGCAGGGGATTTTGAGCAGGCCAGTGCTATCGCCAGGCCCATTCAACAACGCCGCCGCACAAGCTCATTTCGCTATTTTCCCAATTAAGCTTACATTTGCCTTTTCTCTGATTGAGCTCACTACGCTATCGGAGGTCTCAGGAACTATCTTCACATCGGCCTTCATTCACTTCCTCCCACAACATTGCAATTGGAGTTTCTCTTCAACAAAATCAACGAACAAGATGCAGTCTCCTTTGATTGCCGCTCGGCAATCATTCGTTTCTCTTCCCTTCTTGCTGCCATCTTGGTGTGAACTGGCCTCACTATCAGGAAGACGTTATCAATCCACCTATCGGCGAACCAAACAGCGACTTCGCATCAAGCCAGACGAATCTTTTAACCCATCCACAGAAAAGGACGACACCATCTTGTTCAATCCCCCATCGAGCGCGCCAAACGTCTTCCACACTCCATCTAAATTCCTTCCAGACTCTGACGTGCGAAAGCCTCTCGCAGCCACAGCTCCTTCTGGAAAACTGCAAGCCGGATCACCAGAGGAACTCCCCTCGGCCAACAAGCCTACAGACTACAAAAGGACCCATGTACAGAATCATATAACCCCCGAGGAAGTGAAGGAGATCCGGAGACTGCGCATTGAAGACCCGGCCAAGTGGAGCCGGTGGAAGCTTGCGAGGCACTTTGAATGCTCTCCTCGCTTTATTGCTAATGTCTGCGAAGCCATTCCGCAGAAGCAAAAGTATGAGCTGCAGCGACAGGTCTTGGAAGCTGTGAAGTCGAGATGGGGTAATGTGCGACGCATGGCGAGGGAAGACCGTAACCTTCGGAGGCAGGCTTGGGCTAGAGATGAATGATTGACTCGCATGACAGTCTGGGGAAGCAAGACACGCGACGTTTAAATGTTGCTTTTTATTTGTGCTTGGGATTTGTTTTATTAGTCAAGTCATGTATTTTATCATGGAATTTCCAATATAGCTTTATTTATCTGACGGAAGTACACATTTCTAAAGAAGCTGCAGGTGGCAGCAGCTCTTTCTGACCAAGATACACATCTGTCTAGCATTGTAAATACTAGATACATGGAAATAAGCTGTTTTCTCTAGTCCGACGGATTATAACGGCAATGTGTCGCGCGGCCTCAGGCCATTCATTCACCAATGGAGGACCCGTTAATAATCAATCGTCAAAGCCGACGCTGGCCGCATTTCTCTCTTAGTCTATCTACCATGCCCCCCGCTCTGCCCCTCAGGCTTCTTTTCAGGCCAAACACAGCTTCTTCGATCAACAGCAGGACAGCCTCCTTTGACTGCCATCGATTCGGCTTCTTGAAATCTACCGTACCGTTCCGACCTCTCCTTAGCAGTCGTTTCTACTACGGCCACATCAGCGATCCCAAGATGGCGCCTCAATTGGAGCCCTTTTTCAAACAGTTCGTGATGCCCTGTCCATTAAAAAAAGAAAAAAAAAAGAAAAAAAAAAGAAGAAAGAAAAATTCATCTGTTCTCTCTTTCGCTGATTCGATAAAACGTATAGGGTCGATGACCTTTCCGAGTCATTCATTGACCGTACGTTCGCTCATCGAAGATTGTCCTAGAGTTATACTAACCATTGGGGGGAAAAAAAAAGGTCTTCGGAAAGCGGTTGCTATTCCTTCCATTTCCGCTGCCGATGAGCACCGTCCAGATGTGGTCAAGGTATGTTAGCAGGTCCTTATCGATAGAATTGCGCAAAGGGAATACTGACAGCAGACTTTGCTTTTCAGATGGGCCAATTCCTGGCAACGGAACTGGAAAGGCTCGGCGCTGAAGTCCAACAACGCCCTCTCGGCAAGCAGCCAGGAAAAGAGCATCTTGAATTGCCCCCCGTAGTCATTGCTCGTTATGGAAACGACCCCAACAAACGGACCATCTTGGTATACGGACACTATGACGTTCAGCCAGCGTTGAAAGAGGACGGTTGGGCGACAGAGCCTTTCGAATTGACCATTGATGAGAAAGGTAGAATGTATGGACGAGGAAGCACAGACGACAAAGGCCCTGTTCTCGGGTGGATCAATGTGATCGAAGCCCACAAGAAGGCCGGAGTTGAATTCCCAGTCAACTTGCTCTGCTGTTTCGAGGGTATGGAGGAGTATGGCTCTGAGGGATTGGATGATTTCATCCAAGCTGAAGCCAAGGCCTTTTTCAAAGACACTGATGCAGTGTGCATATCCGACAACTACTGGTTGGGAACTGAGAAGCCTTGTCTTACTTACGGTCTAAGAGGCTGCAACTACTACTCCATCACTGTTTCCGGTCCTGGCCAAGACCTGCACAGTGGAGTGTTTGGTGGTTCTGCCCATGAGCCCATGACTGATTTGGTCACAGTCATGTCCAAACTTGTAGATTCACAGGGCAACATTCAGATTCCTGGATTGATGGATCTCGTCGCACCCGTCACTGAAGAGGAAGAAAAACTATATCCTGGAATCAGCTACTCCATGAATGATCTGCACGAGTCTCTGGGCAGCACAACGAGTATACACGCGACCAAGGAGAGGACGCTCATGGCACGGTGGCGTTACCCATCTCTCTCCCTCCACGGTGTCGAGGGCGCCTTTTCTGCCCCTGGCGCTAAGACGGTGATCCCAGCCAAGGTCATTGGAAAATTCTCCATTCGAACTGTTCCCAACATGGAGAGCGAGGATGTGACGAGGCTAGTGACAGAATATATCAACAGCGAGTTTGCTAAGCTCAAGAGCAAGAACACATTGGAAGTGTCCCTGGTGCACGATGGTAAATGGTGGGTGGCTAGCCCTAAGCACTGGAACTTTACTGCAGCAAGCAAGGCAGTCCAGCAAGTCTTTGGTGTAGAGCCAGATATGACCCGTGAGGGTGGCAGGTACGTGTACACCTTTCTGATTTGAAATGGACGAACGATCTAACTTGCATACACGCACAGCATCCCAGTCACATTGACTTTTGAACAAGCCACTGGCAAGAACGTTCTTCTCCTGCCAATGGGAAGCTCGACGGACGCCGCTCATTCCATTAATGAAAAGCTTGACAGGAGTAATTATATTCAAGGCATCAAGTTATTGGGTGCTTATTTGCACTATGTTGCGGAAGAGCCGCTTAGTGCTTGAAGGCATTCATCCTAGACCGCTGTCTTTTACCTGATGCTTGATTGAGTTCCCAAAGAATGTCGGATTGTCTTCTTTTATCTTTCCTACTTATTTTTCAGTCTTTCTTAATGGCAGGGCTGTTCTGATACATTTGGAATGTCTTGCTATAATCAGCTTTAAGGGAGATAGGGTGCATGAATTAATGAATGGGTATGTCATTTTATCATGAATTGCATCAGAGATGACTGTACTCTTTTTGTCCTGGAAGTTGGAACACAGTCCATAAACACGCGCGTACAAGCCGGCCCAGAAGCTTCATCAGATAGTTCAATCTATTATTGGCTGCGATTTCAGCCATCTGACACGTCTTTGAGCCAAAAATTTGGGCCCTTAGTTGGTAGCCATAGGGATAGTGAACAAAAGAAAAAAAAAAGAAGTTCCTATTGGAAGCTGACAAGAGTGGGATTCGAACCCACGCCTCTTGCGAGAGATGCATACTAATATATATATTGCTATATATATAGGATGTTATAGGGAGTGTGCTCCGTATAAGTAAACCTTGAAACATCCGCCATAGACCGCTCGGCCATCTTGCC